ACCGGCGACTCACTCCTATCGCCAAGGGATATTTGTCTCCCTGATATATTTTTCTAGTGCAACAAGCCAGCGGAACAAGCCTAACCAGTAATAGTGAGTGCTCTAAAAAAAATTCTCTTTACTTACTTTAATCCTCAGCCAATGGCTTTATGCTTGCTTGCTTCTCATAGACAAATAAAGCGTTTTTTTCAAATGAAAGAAAAAAAATGAAATGATACATTCTTTTCAGATGTACGGTTAGCACTCAACGTTTCCGGTAAGACTCCACTGGCTAATGAGATATTTAGGCTAAAACCGACTAAGTATCTTTAATAACAGGCTTAGGATGCAGAGCCTCGAAATCAGGCGACAGCTGCGCTCGAAGTCGCATAAGGTTTCCAATATAATTTTTTATGATCTTTATAATTTTTGGCGATGAAACACTAAAATCTGCAATAAATTTTTTTGTACTATTATAAACGAAATTTTTATTCCATATTTGAAAAAAAATAGAGTGAAACTTCCTTACTGTCTTCTCAAAAATTTGACCGCAAACCTGACATCCACAACAAAATTGGGCGCAGCACGGCGATAATCCAAGAAAAAAGCACTCGGCGAACCGACTTCCTCTTTCCACATATAAAATAATTACTTTTTCTTCGTTATAATAGTTCATTTACAAATTTTATTACAAATTCGTTTTATAAATAGAATTTGGCAAATTTTCACATAAAATTAAAAATAAAGCTTCGGTAATAATTTCCATAGGCAAACATTTTTTTTATTAAGAAAAGCCTAAAATTTCAATGATTTCCTCGCTGAACTTCACTCAATAAAAACTCATCGCCTCAGACTAGCAAAGGAAGTAGGAGGTTGCCAGGCAGTTTCATAGAACCACCCGAACAGTTAAGCAGTATTTGCATGGACGGAAATGTATGTTTCTTATATGTCATTCTACATCCCCTTCATTCGAATAGGGCTTGGTGCTTTTTTCTTAAACCATAGCGAAAGTTTCCAAATTTAGATAAATTTCGCTGAGAAAAGTTTCATAATTCCTGCCGGTCATACAAACTCATTGTTTTAACCCACTCTTATGGGAAGCTTTCAAGAAACTTTCAAAAGAATCCAGGCATCAAGGCATCCAGATGATTCCACGCTTTCATAAAACATCCAAGTGCGCCGCCAGCTATCACCAAACTCGTAAAAATAATGATCGGACCCAACAAGGATAACTTCTAAATTTTTTTCGACCAAACATAATGCTGTTGCAGAAGAGAATACAGACGCGTCACGTTATCATGTAAACACCATTGCGATCAATAAACGTTTTATGTTGCGGTTTTTAAGTGAATGTGTTTTTCAATCTTAATTCTCGTTTTGGGAAGAGATTCTATAAAGTTTAGAGGTAAGCAAGTGATAATAACAAATTAGTGACAGGATTGCCACTTCTGATCCTAAGCCCGCTGGAAAAAAGGGAATTCAGGTGACGGTAGAAACACGGGTGGTCGCCAGCAGCACAGCGTTTTAAATGAGTGTGAGGATCAGTGAATCGGATCGCTGATATTTGAGGTGGTGCAGGTCGAAGTAATGGTGTCTATCACTTCACTATGCCTGCCTCGTCGTCTTCGTTTATCTTTTCCTTCTTAAATTCTCTTCCCGAAATTTTCTCTTTATTTATGATTGCTTCCAGTGAAACAATATGGCACCTCAGAATCCAAGCGTTGTTCTTTATGGCAAAGGCGATATCCGTATTGAAGATCGACCTATACCCGTACCAAAACCAAATCAATTACTTGTGAAAGTTCATACTGTTGGTATTTGTGGTTCAGACGTACATTATTACACGCATGGTTCCATTGGTAGATTTGTCGTTAGAGAACCAATGGTACTAGGACATGAAACTAGTGGAATCGTCGTTGGAATGGGATCTGATGTCAAAGGGTTCGCTGTTGGTTTGTTTTTTGATTCTTTGTTTAAGTTAGTCTTTATAAGTTTTTTTTTAGCAAAATTATGCTTTTTAGCCACTATCATAGCATTTTAGGCCTTATAATTCAACTTTATGCGGTGAATATTTGTGCATAATTAGGGGTGGGACGGCCGAGTGGACATTGAAACAGGTTATCGTATTAAGAGACAAGGATTTGGATGTTGTCCCCGACATCCTTATATATCATTATAAAATCCTGATAGGGCTGGCGGTCCATCGCCAAGTGGCTCCATGTTATTAATTTCTAACCGTACTAACAACGGTGCTAACGAGAAATAGTGAGCGCTTACCACTTACTTTGCTTATGCAGTCTATTTAATCGTCTTTTCAGTCTTAAAACTAAATTTAAAATACGTTTATTTGAAAAATGTAAGTTCGAAAAAATGTTTTACTAGCGCATTGAAAAGATATCCATGATATTATTTAGCACAAATTCGTCCTCCTCAATTCTAAGTCCACTGCGATTAAAATAATTTTCTCTATCGACACTAACCAACAAATAAGCCCTAATATATCGTGGAAATATCAAGGAAATAAATTTTGTTCTTTGGCTTAGTACTAAGGGATTCGAAGAGAATTGTGCGGGGACATAATGAAATCATGCGTCTGAGAAGAATGATAGAGAAGCAGGAGTACGTCGATAGCAGATGAGTGAGATAAAATTTAAGATTCATTAAATTTGCAGCCAAAAAACGAACAAGCATAAACACTACCAAATTACTGCATAGATGGATGGTATATATTGTGAAAAAGAAAAAAATATATATTGTAACAGCATTTTGCACTTTATAAATTTAAGGCGATCGCATAGCACTCGAACCTGGAATTCCTTGTCGACAATGTGAATTTTGCAAAACTGGTCGGTACAACCTTTGTCCAGATATGGTTTTTTTTGCAACTCCGCCAGTGAATGGCTCACTTGCTCGCTATATTGTTCATGATTCGGACTTCTGTTTTAAGTAACATTTCATGAACGAAGAAACGGGGAAAAAACTAAGAAAAATAATTCTGCCGTATCCGATACCTCCTTTGTCCTATTACCTTCTCTCCCTTTCCCCTGTTATCAGTCCTTTTCCCTTTTCTTTAATAAAATCCCTTAGTCCAAATAATATGAGATCATAAAACTCATCATTTGAGGAAACCTCAGAAATCACCAGGTTTGTTTAAGGCTTCCTGATAATGTTACAATGGAAGAAGGAGCCCTTATGGAACCATTAAATGTCGCAATTCATTCTTGCCGACGAGCAAATCTTGTTGCTGGTCAAACACTGCTTGTGCTTGGTGCAGGTATCACTACATTAATTGTTTTCTTTACTGAAATGGTTCTCAACTTTTTTCATCCTTCATCAGAATTTCATGCTTTAAATTTATGAATTTTTATTCAATATTTTTATTTATTAAGCCATCTAAAATTTTTAAAATTTTCTCCATTTACTGCATTTGCTACACTATTTTAAAAAACTTTGTTTCTTTGAATCCAGGAAAATCAACGGATTTCTGCAAGAATCGATTTCTTTTTCAGGCCCAATTGGATTGCTGAACATATTAACAGCGAAAGCGATGGGCGCAGCTAAAGTATATGCAACAGACATTATGGAAGCCCGTTTGAAACTCGCAAAGGAAATTGGTGCAGATGGTGTTTTTAACGTAAAAAATAAAAGTCCAGCAGATGCAGCAAAGGAAATTATTAAAAGCATTGGATTTCAACCAGATAATGTTATTGAATGCACTGGTTTTGCTGCTAGTATTGAAGTTGGTATAACGGTTAGTCATCGTTTTTAATGTGGGCAAACGAATATGCACACTCTCAGTGGTCCAGTTTCGCAATCATATTCAAAGCCATATCGCAAAGCTATATCAGTACTGATTTTGTTCCCATAAGCCGCATTGTTGTGAGTCTCCGGTGCTTAGCTAATATCTACTCCCGATATCCACTCTCTGACAGTGCGGCGGACAGCTGGACCGTTTCACGTTATCAGCTTGGATCGAACCTTGGCTCTAACTATAACATGATCCAACCCTTAGTTCCTCTGTGCGCGTCCATAGTACAGAATTCTTCAGTCGATGATTGACCAAAGTTTAATTAATGTTGGTCAATTTGGCGAGTTTTATGTAACTAGATATCTTCTGCAGTGCTAAAAGTATACATTTGTGGCTCTTGCCTCTCAGCCTGAGCTGATTAGGCTATAGACTGTCCTTTGGCGTCCATTATAAGAATTTACTCATATCTGGCTGATTGCATAGTCTTGTGATGGATGGCGTAAGATACGAGGAGATACGAGGCATAGGTAAGATCTTGATTTAAATGGTCAGGAGGGATTTTCCTTGGGTAATCCACTGATACAAAGCCATGGATTTTACCACTAGAATATATTAAATCTTAATATAGACGGTGAAAAATGGTGGAACGATAGTTTTGGTCGGTCTTGGTGCAGATCGCGTTGAAATGCCAATCGTTGAGGCAACATGTAAAGAAATCGATCTTCGTGGAATCTTTCGCTATGTCAATTGGTTATTTTTTAACCATAGATTATGAATTTACAGTTCTTTCATAACTTCAGTCTTCCTCATCAAAAACATCGTTTCTAAATCTTTTGTTCGAAAAATTTGCGACAGTTCTGTTAAACCTTAAAAATTTTAGCTACCCAACGGCTATCGAAATGGTAGCATCTGGACGTCTTAAACTAGATAAACTGACAAGAGCTCATTTCAAGTTTGAAGATTCAGTTAAAGCATTCGAGAAATCATCAACTGGAGACGTCGTCAAAGTCTTTATTCATTATGATGAATCGTCCTAAAGTAAGCGTATTCCTGATGATATTTTTACCATTTTTTTATCAGTACTGGTTTTTGATTCCTCGCGAATCCATCCTTTATTTAATTTAAGTTAATTGAGAATAAATAGGATTAAAGTTGTAATTGGTATTCGGTTATCTCGTATGAATATTTAATATATTTTCCAGCGATAAAATCATTTTACCTCAGATTCGTGTGTAACCAAACAGATTGGAAAATAAACTTTTTCCAGTATAGCCGGTTATAGGAAAGACAATGAAATAAACAAGCTTTCGAAAAATTTCAGGATATAGCAATTCAAAGTAAGATGGTTTAAAAAAAAAAAATGAATGAAATCAAAGCAATTTAATTAATAATTAGTGAAGATTGATTAAAAACATATTAACAACTAAATAGAACTAAAACCAAAAATAAGCGTAAATCAATTAATTTCCTAAATCCTATTTTCTGAGCAGTAAACAAACAGTACAATATATCATAGTGTCTTCATTTAAAAAACTATCAATATCTGCATATCTGCATGTGTCTGCATCCGAAAAAAATCATCTACTTCCTCCAAAATCTGCCTGCATAATTCGGCCAAAATCTAGATACTTCCCTCTAGGAATCTTAAGGAAATAAAATGGGTTTTGAGCGTATGTCACAGAGGTATACCAAAGTTTGAAGATAATTCTGTTTTTCCGTAGTATGAGTCATTTTATCTAAAACTAGATTTTCTCAGCCTTCGTCCCCGTTCTCTACCTCATAAATCCGTTTATTCCAACCAATCTTTCACACTCAGCCTTCTATCTTCTCCCAATATCTCACGTTAAAACTGCATAACTTGAAATAACAAAAAAGTATACTGCGAATTTGAATGCCGAGGAAAAATTATGAGGGTTTGGAGGGTGTAGAAACAGCATAGCAAGGCTCGAAGAAACGGGAGTATATAACAGGTTTTCAAAAAATTATAGAGTGCATCATAATGTGGAGAGCTTTGCTCGTCTGCAAAATATATTAACATTTGAATGTGAGTACAGAACAGCGACAGATAATCTGCAGTATTACAATATTTTAAATTTGACAAATATCGCACCATGAGAGCGGATCATTTTCATATGCTTCCGAATAAAAAGTTTCCATTATTTCATGCGCAAGCAAGTAAATTTCCATATTTGGACTTCTGAAATAAAATTTCGGTAGAAAATTATTCCAGACAATCAGCATTTCTCAATTTCTCCATAGCGAAGGAAATAGTAAGATGGGAATGTGGACAGATAGAGATCTTAAAAAATTAATGTATGTGAACGAACTTTTGTGTGAAGGAACAATGAATAAAACCCAATCTTTCAGTTTACTGAAACATACTGAAACTTACAACTGAAGAAACTCAAGCTTTTCGATACCACGAGCTTCTTCAACGAATCGTAAAAATGGATTGACACCATTTGTTACTGGAAACAACAATCAATTTAATTTGAAACTCATAAAAATTCATACGACACAAAACCAGAACAAAACTACTTAATACCTACAATGACTCAATGATACGCCTGGAAATTAAATAGACCTATAAGCTTGTTCTTATCTATCAAACCTTAGGTAAACTTTAGGTTAAGAACTTCTTTCGCAAACCCAAAAAATAAACGGTAAAATCTAGTACATCGGTCTCCCACTGTATAAAGTTTTGGATTTAATCTGTTTACACAGCCTTCTTAAGCGTAGTGACATAGTCACCGAAATTGTTTTTGGTATCTTCTTTTCTTAAATCTTAAAATCTAAAGAATTGTATGAATCAAAAAAACGATCTAAAAGTCTAGCAACCATTCCAATAAATAATTACAATACCTTTCAACTCTTCCCCCTTTTTAAGGGCATTTTCGATTCCAGTAAGTGCAAGATGCACAATTCGGGGTTCCATAACAGTTAACAAATCACAAAGAGCACTAATCGCTCCTTCATTTATAACCGTTAACACTTGATCAATATTGCCAACTATTAATGCATTAACTACAGCATGGCACGCCTGAAATAAATATGCAGTGAAAATACTAAATTGGAAAACTAAAAAAAAAAACTAAACTGAAGATAGTATGCTCTCAAAAACACTACTGAGTCCTTCGAAATAAAAATATTAGAAATGACCTCTTTCCTAATTTTGAAATCACCCGAAGATAGATTTTTCACAAGCAGTGGAAGAATACCAATGCTAATAACTTCTTGAACATGGTTCGTTGAATCAGCAAGAATATTCGACAACATCCAACATGTTTCTTTCTTGATCTTTAGATCACCATTTTCTAAGAAATTTCGAACACAATGCAAAGCACCACAATCAATCACTGCTGTAATCAAAATACCTTGAAATAAAATTACGTAAAAATATTTTATTTTATATTTTATATTTTCATTTAATATTTTCACCCACTACAAATAATTTGATCTCATTCATATAAAACGATAAACCAAACAATATCTAAGAAAAAAACTATTAAGTTATGAAAAACTAGCAAAAACCCTATGTCAGAGGCTAACAATATCTAAATATTATATATACTGTATAAAATTATTTAAATCATAAAATGATGAAACTAAGATTAAATTAGAAATCCGAACGAATAGGACAGATTAAAAAAAATTTCATTTATAAATTGAAATCTTAAAAATTTCCCAGAAAACTGTACAAAACACACACCCTGCAAAATTTCTATAAAATACAATGCGAAAAATTTTGGTGGGTCAATATTCAGGAGTGTGAGAAGCTTGGATCGAAGCTATAACAAAATCCAAAAGAATGTATAACGAAATATAATGAAACCTAAACGTCATTATTTGAGGTTTACGATAGAAAAATACGAAAGAAAAAGAGGTTGAATAATCTAAAGAAATATAGAGTTTAATATGATGGAGTATAAAGTATAATGAAAAGAGCTGCACCGAAAGAGAAAACGAAGCTGTAAGCTGAGATAGATAAGAGGGTTCAAGAGATAAGAGATGATATTGATGGCTAAAGCAGAGCACTTTTTAGAAAAAAAATGACAAAAAGAGGAATCTAACGGGGTGTTAAGATGAAAAAGTATGGTTTGGACTCATAACCGAGGATGAACAGCATATAATAGAATTTAGAGAATAAGAAAGGGATTCAGTGGAATTTCGAAAGAAATAATTAGAAACAAAAAAAACTGGACAAAATCAACGCATACTTATTAAGCACTAAGCGAACAAACCACAAGTTTTGTGAAGCGTTATCGAAATCAAAATCCCGTGCATTCTTTACCCTTCTGAATATTTGTGCACTTGCTTGTAGCCGCGACAAAATGCATAACAACATCCATGCATTTAGAAGGATATTAAGAAGCATAATAAGATTATGTGGTATCAAGAAAACTACTGGATCTGATGGGTCGAAGTAGTATAAAATGGTGAATGGATCAAAAGAGCACAGCCGCTTACAGATGTTAAGAAAGGAGTTTAACAGATTCTGAATTTAAAAATTTAAATATAAAAAAATTTCCTTTAAAAGAATAATTATGCACAGGGAATTCATTATTTTATCTATTTCCATACCAATAATTTTCATTTATATGCCAGCCATGAAGTCTTTTTTTGCCCTTATATTCTTCCTATGTATATATTTTGTCTTAAATAAGTTATATCAGATATAAAATAATGCATCATTTTCCAAGAAAAAAAATCGACACATACCCTGTGTATGATGTTCACTCCCCGTTACAATATTGCCTATGACACGCAATGCCGAAAATTTAACTTGTTGGTTAAGATGTGACAGCAATAAATAGACAACTTGAGAAACAATACCCGAAGAGACAACGACTTCAATATTTTCGTTTGGACCCAAACTCAAACAAAAGACAGCTTCTAAAGTGCAGATTAAAATGGAATCGTCAACACTCAACAGCTGCTTTTGAAAGACATAAAGCACAGATGACATCTGAAATCTTTTATGATTTAAAAAAAAATAAATTAATAATTAATAGTAACCAGAAATATAGAGATTGACGAATCAAAATTAAAAAAACAGTTGAAAAACTGATTGAGTGTAAAACTGAGTGTGTAAATTCTCAAATTTTTTTCAAAAATTAGGTCAAATCATTTTAAATCTTCATACAAATCGCACATCTTGAAAAACTAATGTTTTTTTCTGGAAATATAATAGAAGATATTATTTGTCAAATTATCAAAGCAATATTCAATATTTAAATACTCAAATTGTAAATACTCAAATTAAATACTCAAATTCAAAATAAAAACCAAGTTTTTTTTTAAATTTTAAAGTTTAAATACAAACCCGGATCAAATCACGGCAACATTCACCGCAGTTACATAGCATAGGAATTAACGAAGTAACATAACGCACCTCCAATGGCGACTCCGCACTGAAAGATCGCGTGAAGATAATTTTCATTTTTAATTTGCGATACCTTCTAAGCAAAGGAATTAAAATTGGCTAAATTAAAGAATAAAGAAAGAGCCATTAAAGACAGTAGTCAGTATAAAAAAACAAACCGCTTCAAAAGTTCTACAGTAGCTGGGACAGCACCCAATTCAATACACAGATCTCTCTGCATCATGCCTTCATTCGCTATTAAACCGATTATCTCCACTGATAGCTGTCGCAGTTCGAAGTCGTCTGACCTATCAATAAAGATTAAAATTCGACTTGCTTGACATCTACAGCAGTGATTATTAAACATGGTACCAGCTTCGAAAAAACTGAAGATTACGCAAAAAATTGAAAATTGAAACAAAAACTAACGAAAAATAATCAATGAATGTACTGATCAATTTGTGCATTTCTTCGATGTTGAGAAATTGAAGAACGTCGGTAAGTGCTCCGGATAATGATTTGGTAGCAGCTCGACGCATTTCAATCGGTTTATTATTTTCAGTGAAGAAAATAATTCTGTCAACCAAGCCAAGCGTTGCCCAATCCTCAATTTCCGTAATGCCTTTAATACAGAAATCGCTTCAAACGACAAAGTGGACTATTCTGAAGAATTTGTAAACAAAATCCCTCAGCGTTTGTATCTCTACCAATTAGAAAAACGAAATAGTTGAAATTAAACTTGTTTAATAATAAAATGATAATAAAAAAAATTATTAAATGAGAACAAATTTTACGAAAGAGTTTATATTACAGAGTGAAGCAAACTGCAAAGACTTAATACCAGAAAAAAGTACCCTGATTAAACCACCTTACAGATGCGCGAAGAGCCGCCATTTGAATAGACGGATCATTGGAGAACAAATTTGCGATTATCTGTTGTCCATGCCAAGAAATAGGATCAGCCTATATAAAATAATTGATGAAATATATTAAATTTTATGCTTGAATAACTGCAAACTGCTATCAATTTATTTCGAAACAATATATGCCGATTAAAAGTGATAAGGATGAATATTTTCCTACACATATAGCCCATCCGCTAATCAAAAAATGGAAGCGTCCAGAGATGAAAGATTAGTATAAGATAAGGGTATATACAACAGAATAATTGCAAATTATGGTGATGAAACAGCACCACATTGCAAGAGATGAATATGAATGAAACAGCGGGAATAAAAAAGAAAGAATCCCATAAATATATTAACGCCCATCAGCACTGTCTACATAAAGGAAAAGTGCTTGGGAAATCCCCTGACTGTTTTTAACCGAATCTGTCACTAAAATAATTCATATACAGATTTAAATATTTTGACTTTGTTGAATTTCAATAAAATAAAATAACGCGAGACATCAAACTGCTAAAGAAACAAAGGTTACTCAAGGTTTCTCCGCCCCAGTTAAAAAAATAACGAAAAATGACTAACGCTAGCAAAAATACCGTGATACTAACCTTAAACGGATCATCTCTCTCTAATAGTGCTGTTATCTTCTGCAAGTGACTCTGGCTACATTTATCTGCCAGCGGATCAAGCCTAGGCAAAAATGGTGAGCGCTATTAGAAAAAAAAACTGAATTAACGTTAAACGATAAACGGGAAACTATCGCACAATCTAACTTAAAAGCCTCAGAAAAAATCACTGATTTCAATTATATACATGAAATATCACCATGTCGAAATATTAAAATTGCCAAAAAAAGATTACGTTATCATCAGCGCCCTCTGCAACTGATAATTCAATATTACGTTTTTTAGAAAGTGTCTCAATTCGTTTGGCTTTCCGCAGTTGAAAACATTCGACTTCCCTTGCTCTTCGTAAAGTCTGTTGTGTTAAACCTATACAAAAATAACTAAACTATTATTTAAAGGTAATATTCTAAAGCATTTTAATTCAGTCACTATCACCAACTATTAAAGAGTCGCGGTTTCAGAGCTCTTTTCTGTTCACTTTTTTATTCTACTCCAGTCTCTTCAGTCTCTAAAAATAGGAATGGGAAGAAAAATAATGACGTATCAACCAACACTTATGTTTGAGGTTCAGATAAATGGAAAGCCCTCGTTTTTAGATAAATAAAAATTTAATAAAAATATTAAACCAACAAAAGTACAAGATAAATGAGTGACAAAAAAAGCATTTCCCTTCAACATAATTCACTGACACCAAGCAACATTTATAGATCACCAATTTTTCAATGGCTAAAAAATTAGATACTTTCCAAATATTGCGGCCTATGCTTAAATACCATTACGTACTTTTATGCGTCCGTCATGTATTACATATTATACGCTATTTCAATTTCCATAAGACAAAATTCCATAATTATATAGCATCAAATTCCAATTTATTGAAGTTTAATTTTAATTCTTTAAATTCATAAACTATGATTTTGAAAAATTGTAAAATAATACCTTTATTTTTATACAAAATTTTTCGTTTAGATACTCCCATTTGATCAATATTATGCTGTTGCGTTGATGAAGATGCATTTCTTTCGTCGATTTCCATTTCATCTAAAAATAAAATAAATAAAAATAAGAGAAAAGCACTTAAGCCAATGTTTTCATGAAATACTAAAAAAAGCTGACAATGAACTGATAATGAATTCGTGCAGCCAAAATTGTTTAACTTGAGCTGACGTTGCTTAGGTTAACCCGCAAGCAGCAAAAAACTCCACGACCCTCGAAATCTGTCATTAAAAGTGAAATCTGGCAGCTGCAGACCCATCTACACCTTTGTCCAAAAAACAATAATATACTATTCGAGAAATTAACAGGCAAGAAAATAATTGACAGCAACGCCTTTCGCAAAATTTCAACCATGCCGGTAAAAAAAATTAGAAAAATGTTATTTACAAGCAAGTCTGCTTATTTATGAGAAATTCCCAAAGCATCTAAAAAATTATGATTTTTGGTGGGAAATATTCACCATGTTCAGTTAAGGGCACAAGATAGCTGAGCAGCTGCTCAATTATCAATTACCTTCTCTATTATCAGGACTCAGATAATCAAGCATGAGTCAACACGAATAAACCTATTAAAAATTTCAAATGGTGGTGGTGACCCGCCTATTTCTATTTCTATTCCGAAACGGCTCTATGGCACAAATTCCTAAATGTATTGATATCTAACCTAATTGAAAATGATGAGGACGAACTAAATCTGCTAATAACCAAACTTTAATGTTAAGAGGTATAGCTGACATTAGACATCCAAGTACCAAGAATACTAAATCGCAGTGGCGGCTTCAGCTGAGTTCAAATCTGTCGGCCGAATGCTGAAAATATGCTTGTACTTCGCTTATGTTGGCGTAGCAAGAGTAGCATATAATTATGGACTACACGGATGAACAGAGATGAATGCTAGGGGAATGAAGAAAGAAAGAGAAAGGAAAAACGAAGTACAAGCCAATAATAGATGAACCCTTGTGATCGCTGTTCATATGATCGCAAAGTGCGTTCTTTATTATTTTAAATGCAGTTTTAAGGCAAGTTTTCTTCTGAATTAGGAGACAAAAAATGCGTCCAAATGTTTTTTTTGTAATAAATTAAAGAAAAATGCAGTAGAAAATTGTGCAAATAAAGAAATTTTTATGCAATTTTTGAAAAAATGCAGTTTTCCCTTTTTCAATAAAAATAGTCCTTAATTATAATAAATTATAATGAAATCGGCAAATATAAAAAAGGAAATAAAAAGTGTAAAATTTTAGAAGAGATTTTTCACGCAAACATTTTGTGCCGATCAATTTCTCATACCTGAAGCAGAGCAAGCTATTATGCAAACCATACCTCTGCTACTTCTGCACTTCATTTCCTTACTGGGTTAGATCAAAAAACGCATGAACACAACTAACTGCTGACCTACTCACATTATTTAAAATAATATTGCGCTACAAAACCTTTCAGTATTTCTTGAACAGATTGTCAGAAGTATAGTTGATTATGATTTTACAATCAACTCTCGAATTTTGGAATGTTTTATGAGAATGGAAATGAGGTAGGGGAGTTTTTTAGGTGTTTGCACTCTTAAAAATAATACTTTTGTCGTAATTAATTAAATTATTTGGGTATTTTACTAGGAAATTGGAGGGGTCAAAGGTCGATTAATTTGCTGAGTTTTCGTTTAATCGAATGAAACTGTCTGCAAAATTTATTTAGAATGTTTAGAAGTAAATTAATTGATTAATTCAATCAATTAATTAATTTAATTATTAACGCTATAATTTCTTGCGCCTTATTATGGTCGTAGTTGTATTCTATAATTTTACCTAATTTACAGCTTTTTATGTTTTCTTGTTCGAAATTCATTTCATTTAAGTTTGAATTATTAAATATTCCATTAAGAAAACAAAAGAAAATTAAAATTTCAATTCTAATCTTTTCTTACGAAATTGCTTCTTTGTTTTTTTTTTTATATTTGCAAAATGGCGATCGCTGCATGTTTATTTGGCAATTTAGGCAATTTAATTTTTTCATAGAAATTTTGTTTGTCTTTAAAAATATTCACATTTATCTATTGTTTTTGCTGCTATTTATTAAGTTTTTATTTATTATTATTTCTTCGTTCTTGTTATTATCGTTATTATAGTGCTATTATTTTTATTATTATTATTCATTATTTTTTCTTTTATATCTTCTTTCGCTGTTGTTACTGTTTTTAATTTTCGATCAGATAATTAGAAAATGATAGTTATTATTTAATGCTGAGATTATTTCTTTATACTTATTTTAATATATAATAGTTATGAATTATTGTATTCTGGTAGTAGAATATACAGCAAACGCAGTAAACGTGTCTATCAAAAATCCAGGTGATGCTGGTGACCCACCATATACATTTTTTGCCCAGTGGTTCCCTGAAAATTTATCTGAGCCAGCTGAACGAGCCTAATCGGAAATGACTAGCGGTGTTAGAAAAAAATTTTTTTATTATTTATTGTCGTTACTATAAAATTGTTGAAAGAGATTAACTGTTGAACAGCTTTCTTGTATTGTAAATCGAATATCGTTTAAATATGAATATTTCACTTTCATATTTCAGAATCCCTTTTCTTCAAGAATTTTGTTGCGCTAATTGTATTTTTATGCCTGAAAAATTTAGATCATCGTTTTTTTTGATATTATTGGGTATTTTTAGGCATTTTTAAATTTTTAGGTATTTTTGATGCTTTTATTTACTTTCTTTTGTTAAACAAAGATGTTTTTATTTTTTTTTTTTAGTCTTTTCTTTACCTTTTCTTTATTTTACTGTGCTTTAAGGAATTAGTCAATGATTTATTTTCAGATATTCTGTATAAAAATTTTGATTCTACTATTGATTTAAATAACTGAATTAATTTGTGTTTGAATATCGATGACAATGGAGCAGTCAGCGCCTTGTACTCCAGATGCTACAATGATAAATACTGTCACCAACAGAGATAGTGAAATAGTATTTTTAATTTTTTTTCCCTTTAGGACTTTATGGGACAGAAGTTGGGATTGATGAGAAACTAATAAGATATCTAGTTTTTGCTTTTTGTTTACCCAGTTATATGTTATGTATATCTATAGTCGCGAACTCCATAATTTGCTACCTATTGTTGGAAAATATTAATTTTTTTCGTACATTTACTGAAGTCATCATCCTTTCATCTGAAAATGCTTGTTTTATTTTATTTTATTATTTTATTTTATTTTATTAAAAATTTTATTTTTTTTCTAGTCAAGATTATTATTGTTTTTTGAATTATGAACATAATATTTATTTAATATTTAATTTAATGAAAAAAGTATTAAATATTAAAATATAATATTTTATTTTCAGACAAATGATTCTCATGTTACACAAGTTGCAAGTTCGGCTGGTGCTAACTCTTGTTTTATGAATGAAGCTCAGAGTCCATTGGGTCAGCTCGATCCTCACAGGTATATTATTGGATGATTATTATTATGATGATATTCGCGTTTTACATTTAGCGATTGGTTGTTGTTATTTAGGATAGCTTTTATGTTGAAATTTCTTTTTAACCTACTCTGCAAATTTATCCTTGCTTATTTTAGAAATAAAATTATCAGATTATTATTAGTGCTTCATCAGTGAAAATTATTCTTGCAATGAAAAATTATTTTTTAATCATTTTTGCTTACATTTCTTAAATTATGTTAACTTGTTTAGATTACGAGATATGGTTGTGGATAAACAAATACCGGTTGGCCAGACACAGACTGAACAACCACATTATAAGCAAGAAGTTGTAAGTTGACATTTTACATAATGATTAATTGTTTTATATAGAATATATTATTTCATTCAGCAAAATTTAATAATGCAAATTAAGTAAATAAGTTTTAGCATATTACATTTTTGTTATGGAAAATCTAGTATATTCAAAAAAGTTTTATATAATGGCTAAATTCTGACGGTTTTTGGTGATTGAACGATTTTTTGGGTTTTTACGGTCCTGATATAATTTTTTGATTACTATAGTATTGGACACCTTCATCCACCAGTGGTGCTTCATCTTCACCCACAAATAATGTGCGCAATACACCAGTTAGTTCATCGTCACCTCTTATTCAAGCAGTATCAAGGATGTCACAAGGTATATTCGACTATAATTTTGATTAAATTTCTGATTCATAAAAATATTTTTTCTTGCTTTTTGTGTCTTCTCGTGTTTGTTATTGTTTCACTTCAGAATTTTATTGCATTTCATTTTAAATCAAAGTTTCTTTTTTGTTCCAGAACTATTTTTCTTCATAATTTCTATCTTTTCATATAGTCTTTTTTTGCCTTCTCATTTGGTTTTTCGAAAATCAGCTAGTCGTTTTTCAAATATTTTCCTTTCTTTTTTTGGTTTTCTCTATTTTTTTGAATTCACATATCATTTTTTTTGAAAATATTTGAAAATCGTTATATCAAAAAATTCTAAAAAATATGTTTCATTTGTCTCCTGTCTCGCTGATTGTAAAAGGCTAATTGTTCAATGCTTTATTTGCTTTTTCTTGTTTTTTCTCCTCGCATTCAGTACTTTTTTGATTTAAAAAAATTATTGTAATTTTAATAGTGCTCCAAAAATTTATTTTTGTTTTATGTGACATATCTCCATTAAAAATATGTTCTATATTAGTTTATTTATATTTTTATCTGTTCTTCAAATTTTGCATCTTTTAAACTCATTTTTAAGAGGGGTAAATTATTTTTTATTGTTATTATTATTATTATATTTTTAATTATATCTTCCAAATTTTTTTGGTGCAATGAGGAAACGAATGAAAAATTACGAGGTTTTTCCTGGAGTAATCTATGAATCGAGGAGATAATTGATGGAATTTTCGATTTTCGCTTGTTTGGGTCCTCGTTACTAAGCATTTTTGTCGTTTCTTCACTTAGCCAGCATTAAATCATTTCAGGGCAAATAAATAAAAAACCGTTGCTCACTTATTTTTCACTTTGGAATCATTCATTTTAAAATTCATTATTTTCAAATCGAAAAGAGTTAGTGGATTCATGTCAATTGAAGGGTCAAGTACTCCACAGTCAGTTAGGGATTCTTCGTTAATGTCACCAAGTGCATCACGAAACGCGTTACAACAACAATTGGGAATATGTATGCCAGGTTGGATTTTTTGTACCTTTGTACCTTTGTATCAACTGGATGAATTCCATGTTGCAAAGATGCTTTAGGTGTATATGTAATATAATATATGTAATATTATTTAATTTAGGCCAAAGCCCACTGAATAGTCCAAGTGTGATGCATCCACCTCCTTCGCCTTTCATTGCTCATCCATCATCAGCTCCATCTCCGTCAGTTTATGTGCCTCCACAAAATACCCCACATTATCCGGTAAACATGCAACAAATGCCACAAAGCCCCGCTGGTTAATATTTGATTTTTTTTTCTAGTTTATTTATGGTTATTTTTTGAAGTAGCATTTTTAAATTTTGAGATTTTGAATGTTATTATAAAATTTACGTTTGCAATTTTTTTCAATAAATTAAATTAAATTAAAAATTAGAAAATTAAAAATTATTAGATGAAGAATCATATTTTTTCCACTTAATTGTTCTTCTTTTTTTTTTTCATGCGTTGAGAAAAAAGTAATTTGCAGTTCTGCACAAATGCTATTTGTTTTTTTGTTTTTTTTTTAATATTGTTAAATTTCAGATGTCGTTATGCAGCCGGGACAAATTCAGGTCATACCTTCAAATGCCACCATGTATCCAAGGATCAATGCAATGAGTCCACATCAGTCTCAGTATAGTTATCATCCTCAAATGCAACCTCAGTGGAGTTCAAAACCTCAGCCAGTAATATTTTTAGTCTGCTTTTTTCCACTTAAGTGTTCTTGTTTTTTTCAATGAAAATTTTCAAAAATTGCCGATGGTCTCTGCTTAATTTTTTATAAATAATTTACATAAATAATTTCGAAGCATGTGCGTCATTTAGCAGCATTACATTGGCCAAGCTCAAATGGTGAGTGGAGTTCCTTCTCAGCGCATATTAGTCCAACGAGTATCTTATCCTCCAACAGGTTAGTTCAGTTTTTTGCTAAATGCTTGCAAAAAATCTGCGATGTAGGAATTGTATATTAAAGCAAAATTTTGCCTTTTCTATGAATTTTATTAATTCAGTCGATTTTTACATTTCCGTTTCTTTGAATGTTTAAAAATTGGAACACGAATATTCAACAAAGGATCATTTTTTGCTCGATTATCCATTTTAAAGTCAATCACACGTTTAAGATTTTTTCTTACAATTTATTTTTGCAATTTGTTGTATTATATTTGACGATGATAGTTGCCATAAATTAGTGGGTAATTAACTTAATAAGAAGTATTAAATAAAATCAAGAATGTTTTGCGTCTAAATTCAGTGTTATAGAAGTAAATTTTAATAAGTTCGATTTTCTTGAGGTTATTTGAAGTTTTTATTTTCTTAATTTTTTTCTGTGTATTCCATTTAAACAGTTATATTTCATTTATGAATAAATGGATATCGCTTACCATTTCTGGTTAGACTCGCTACACTAACTGTTAATGATGATAAGAAATTTTTGTGAAAAGTTGTTGGAGGATAAAAATACATATGAGTTCCATGAGTTCCCAAGTCCCTAACTTCAGGCTTTTTACTTATTTAATATAAACTTTTGAAGTATTTTGCATTTTTTTAATTTTTTTTACCATTATTGTCAACTAACAATGTACGTTGAAATTTAAAATTATATAAAGTTTATTTATTATTTTGAGTATTTGAGTTCTTTCAATGTGATTGGTGAATAAACTTTTTTCTTGGAATAGTAACATTTTTGTTGAGTAATTTGATTTCATATTGTTGAAATGATAATAGAAAAGAAGAAAAATAATGATAGGTAAAAGTAATAAGGAAAATAAGGAAAAATTCAGGTATTTCATTTTCTCTTGCATTGTAACTAATCAGTTTCAAACTGAAACAAAACAACTAAAAGGGAAGAGCGAAGAGCAAAAATGATGGATATTTTGCAATATAATGAAAGGCTAAACGAAATAACGAGGATGATTTACCATTATTACGATTTCTTTCTTGCATCACGATTATCTGAAATTTATGGAAAAGTAGTATAAATTTATTTTTGGTGAAAAAAGGATCGGAGGGGTGAGAAGAAAAAGAGGGAAATTATGAAAAATATTTGATGAAAAGAATAGAGGTGGTTTATAGGTTGACATTATTTTGTCGTATTGTCATCGTCTTTGTTGTAGTTATTCGTCGATACGACAGATTTGCTATTTTTTTGACTAGGAATAGAGATTTTAACGACTTGATTAATTCATATAGATGGTGCTCATAGAATTTTAAAAATTCCCTGAACTAGTTGTAGATTTTGGTTTAAATTTTGTGATTTTTATTCATTTAATCCATTTCTTTTGTTCTTGTTCATTAATATAATGCAATTGTGAATTTTGTTTAAAAATATTTATTCAGTTAAAAGGTCAGTTTATTCGTTTTCTTCGTTGATAAAAGGAGTGTAAAACATTGAAAAAAAGTAAAAAAAGCAAGTGGTTAACACTCACAATTTCTGGTTAGATGGCCATTGGCCATTGGCCGTCGTGATTTTTTACTGACAATGCCGAGATCAGCCAATTGAACTTCGTATGCAGATCGAAGTAATGCATTTGTAATTTGTAATTTGAATTATTTTTAGACTGTGTTTCCTTGAAAACGGTTTGATAAGTTAATACAATAATTAAAATAATTTTTAACTATATATGAATATTAAAGTATGATTGTAAGTGTATTAAGTATATGATTACTGAAATGGATTAATTCTCATGCACTTTATGATTTTTTTTTTATAACAGAGGGGTTAAATAGTTAAAATAGAAAAATTTTTCATTTCTTAAGAATTATTTTATTGATAATAATATAATGATATATGATGAATGAATTTTTCTTGTTATTAATAAAAGTTTATCATGAAAAACTATAAAATTATTGTTAAGTGTATATAGTTATATAAGTGTAAGTATATCGTTAAGTATATGTAGTTTTTTTTGTGTGTATAAGCATTCAGTCATATTTGTATGTTCATTGACTACATTGATATAATGTAGGAACAGACTGGCTGAGCAGTGAATTTTGCTTTGGTTATATCAAGTTTCGTGGCCTCTGTATTAAACCTGTACTTTAAAGTTGCAAATATTAGTGGGATTTTATCTGCACTTATGTTTTTTTTTCAAGTTACTATTTGACAAAAGTTTATTCTATTAATAGGCAGCAGAACAATTCCAACCGAAAACGGTAGGCGCAAACTACAAACCAGCTAATTAAGTAATTTAAACCTATTTCTGAAAAGTCATCATGATTTTATCATTTTTCATTTTTTTAAAACCTTTGATTAACTTGTAGTGATTTAGGTTGGTTTAATGAGTTTTTTGCATCGAAATTTTTCGAAAATTATTTTTCATCTTTATGTCTTTTAATCGATTTTCATCTTCAATGAAAGAAACGAAAAGTTTTTTATCTGAAATTTTCAAATTAGTAATAAAAATGAAAAATTATTTTGATAATTTTTAAAATTTTATTTTGAAGTATTTTATTTGTCGTACTTTATATGAACTTCCATAGAAACAAAAAGAGAATAAAGCAGTTAAACAACGAGATATTTTTTAATTTTGTCTTTTTATTTTAAATTTTCATCGTAAATAATTTTACTTTACTTTATCGTAAGCAATTTTACTTAATTAAATTTTATCCCAAAATTTACGGTTAGTTAGAAGACGATTAAACTATGCAGTAGTCATGCTTAAAAATATCAGCGCCATACGATATCAATAATAAAATAAAACGATAAAAATATAACTAAAACCATTATTCTAGAGGATTATAGATAGATTGAAGGTATATTTGTGTTAATATGATGGATAATTTTAAGAGTCCTCTCCTCACTGATTAGGCTCGCTCTGCCGGCTTGTCGTGCTGGATAAATATTCTAGGGAGTTCCTTGATGATAAAACCTTAAGTGAATCGCCAATATCGCCTGGATTTTTCGACAGTTTTACTTCTGCTGGGAGTAGAACCTCAGTATCGGTACTTTGAATTGAGCAACGACCCACTGAGCCACACATGCCTGGGTAATGTTCAATTTAGGTCATTTCTTCGAATAGTTGATACTAGGAACAAAAAAAAGTCTAAGACATCAACTTAATCTTACAGTTGCTTGATTTCCAGTCCATTATCCTCAGGTATTAATAAAGCTTGAAGAAAGCAGTTGGTATAAATAACTGCATATACTATTATGATGGGATTCTTGACTCTACCTTTTTCTGCTGGAATTTTTCGATTTTTTATAATTTTTTTAATACAAATTTTTAATAAACAGGGTTAAATTTATATATTAAGGGCTTGAACGCAAATTGAGCGAATGAATTTTTGTTGAAGGCGAAGGCAACGGTATTCGCAACACGATATTTTTTTGCAATTACTTACATTAGTTCATTCATACTGTTTCCTATTTTATTTTTCATTTTTAGGTTATCCGCAAAATATGTCACAAGCGCAATCGTTTTCCGGTCAACCACCACCTCAGACACCTGTCGTTTATCCGCAGGGAAATCCATCGAATATTCCGTCAGCTCAAGCCACTTCTGCAACAATACCTCAGGCTCGTCCCAATATATATCCTACTCAAGCACTCTCCCAAACGGTTAGCGTTCCTGCAACACCAGTTGCAACATCAACATCAAATCAGTATCAATCAGGTTATTATCAAAAGACGCAAAATTCATATTCGCAAGCTCAGGTCTATCGACAACAGGCAAGCGCTATTTTCGCAGATTATGTAGAAAAACACTGTTTTTTTTTTTTTATCTCGATATTTCTATTAACATATTTCACAAATAATATTTTATATATTGTAGTATGGGAATTTTAAAGCAAAGTTGAGATTTAATAGTTAATGAATTGATTTAGAATGAGAAAAGTTCTAACATGACAACTGAAAATCTTTTTGGTTGCTATGAAGATGATAATGATGTTAAAAAAGTTAGTGACATATTGTTAGCTTTTATAAGCATATATTAAGACAATGTTGCAGTTTTTTTACTAGTTACAAATTCATTTAAAACAAGAAGAAACAAAAATTTCTTTTTTAATACTGAAAGATTTAAAATTAAAGATTTTTGTTTTATTAGAATAAGGTAAAGAGGCTATCTTATTTAAATGAGAATAGGTTTAGGATTAAGGATAGTGGTTATATTTATTTATTCAGCTGGGCTTATCATTTTTAAGCTTTTTTTCCTGATTTTTAGCTTAAATATTGATACTATTTTTCATCGAAAAATTCACTTTATTATTTATTATTCATGCATTTATTTATGCCTTTCATATTTTATATGGTTTGGTACAAAAGTGGAAGAGGAAAAGAATAAGAAAGTAAAAATTATATAAAAAAGGGGAAACTAGAGAATTGAAGATAATATAAGTAGGATAGGAACAGAGGCATTTACTTGGCAAATTTATATAACCTGAATTCTCCTCAATATCCATCGGAAATTTTCCTTTTTGAAAACCATTTCGAGATAGCTGGATTAGATTTAATGTTCCTTCTCTTCCGCAAAAAAAAAACGTTTTCATTTATTCTGATAACGGTATTCATAAATTCTTCTGTCATTTATATATTATCTGATCTTTAATGACGTTTTTTGCTATTTTATTATGCAAAAATTAATCGTTGTTGCTTATTGTTAGAGTTTATGGTTGGTAACACTTAAGACGAGGAAATAAGAAGATTTAAAGTTTTTTCAACAAATATTATGAATTGTTTTAAGAAAATTTAGTTACAAAATGTATTTATAGGCACCACAGTCGGTTCCAGTTCGGCCATTTCTTGCTGCTAGTCAATCACAACAACTAGCATCACCAACTTCATATCCGAGTTAGTGTTTTATTTGGCATTATTGGCTGACATTTAATATCTTTAGTTGTGAATAATTTTTCTTTTAATCTTCTTTTAAAAAAGCTAATTAAATAGGTTATCAAAATTTCCTTTATCTTTTGTGTCTTCCACTTGATTTAAGTTGCACTTCGTACTATTTTTCTATTGTTACCAGTCTTTTAATTTTTACTTTACTTATCATTTTATTTATACTGATTCATTTACAAAAAAATGTAAAAAACAAATTGTTTAAATTGTATGAATGAATAAATTGGTTTAACTGACGAAAACTGAAGGCTTTTTCGAATAAATTAAAAATTAATGAAGCATAAACGTTATGAAAGATGTATTTATATATATAGTTATTATTGGTGTGAGGTTCGTTAATAGCGATAATGAGTCGGTCGATAAGGTTGTTCGATAACCTAATAACCGCTTTTTAAATTGATTATTAAACACTGAAACAATTCAATAAAAATAATTTTAATAATAAAGTATGATGATGGATGTTAACAAAAAAAGTATCATTCCATTACCGAGAATTCTTTTTAATTTTTTTTGAAATAAATTTCAATAAAATAATTTTTCATAAGATAAATTTTAATTCAGCTATTCAATGAAATATCTGAAAATGAAATATTTTAAAAAAATTTATTAATCTATAAATGTCTAATTAAAGTTCTAGAAAATTGTTAAGTATAGAATAATTTGTGCATTGATTTCGATATTCTTTTTGTCGTCGTTGAAGAAAAAATTTTTTACATTTTTTTGAGAAAAGATCGAACGAGATTTATATGAAAAGGTATTATTCAGTTTCGATTTCTCTTTGAGAAGTGAAAAACTAATTAAGTTTTTTTTTCGTTCTTTTTATATTGAAAGGTGAGCTGACAAACTGGCTAACTCGAAATAATTAACAAACGGTTGAATTTACTTATTTACTTATATCAAACATCTCTCATCTCCATTCGTTTTTTTCTATGCAATTATTGAAAATTATTTTTCATAATTTATTACATTAGATATTCAAATGTGTATGTAGGAATAACAGTACGAATTGAGGGCGAATAGATATGATTTGTAGTAAAATTTAATACTTCTGTCTCAGTGAAGAATATATATGTTCGTTTTCGTCTTATTTTGATTCGGTTTCTGATATTAAAACTTCTTTTCTTCATTTATTATATAAGATTTCGATTAATGATTCTTATCTTTGTCAAATTCAACATTGACATTTAATAAAAATTTGTAATAAATTATAAACTACTTTTTGAAAAGAAATATTTTTTTATAATAAAAATTCATTAGATTTTATTTCATATTTTATTAATTTTATATATATATATATATCTATGAAATATTTTTGATAATTTTCGATATAGAGATATAATTTTCGATATAATTTTATTTTATGAAAATAAGGAGAAATTTTTAAAATTTTTAAATTCGAATTTAATTTTTGAACTTATGAAAATATTCGGTTGAAAAATTTATTTAAATTATGAATATATGAGTAAATTAAGATTTTTTTCTTACTGGTAGAAATTGAAGAAAAATTTTGATTTATGGAAAAATCAGTAGACTTCGATGAATGTGTTTGTTTAAGTAACAAATGAATATTGATGTGAATAGTTTATTTGTGAATGATGCATATTCTTAAAATTTTTAAATGGATAACGTTTTTTGGTATCTTTGCTGACTTTATTCAAAAAGTTTTATTTTATTTATTGCTATTAATTATTGCTACTGATATTTTTATTATTATTGATTAATTTAAAGGCGAAATTCGAAGAGGTTTGGATAATTGGTTGATATAAATAATTAGCATTGTATTATGAAAGAATTGCTCAATATTGATTAATATTAAATGAAAATATATATATATATATACATATATATATTGAATTAAGAGATTAATATCTTCATTTAATTCACCTGCTTAGCATGAGATTTACTCATATTGAATGAAACCCGCCGATAAATTAATTAATTTTAGTTTCGTTTCTCTCATTTAGATCGGCTTAACTACATTTTAGCTGCTCTTGCATTGCCTTAATAAAGTTTTTTGTTTATTCATTTATTCATTGAATACTTTTCCCTTTTTCCAAATTTCTTTTTTTAAAAACTTAATTCTACAAATTATTCTTTTTTTCTTACGCGAAAATATGTATTCAGAGGGCAAATCGTTTTTTTTTCGTCGTTTTTGTAAAGAAAAACGTTAAAAAAAATCGTTGAAAGGAAAAGCAAAAAAGGTCGATAATGGAAGATAATGATACTGATAAACAACGACAAGAGCGACAGCACGAAGGGCAGCAGCAAATATATGGTGAGGAGAAGAATTTCACGGGTGGTGGTTGTTTTATTATACCTTGTCAAGAAGCGTCAAGTCATTTGTTAACAAATGATATAAGAAATGAAATATCTATAACCGTTCTTCCATCATCATCCTCATCATCATCCTTCTCCTCGTCCTCATCATCATCATCATTATCACCGTCACCATCTCTATCATCATCATCATCGTCATCATCATTGTTATCAGTGAATATAAATCAAGAATATATAAAATTGCTATCATCGCCTGTTAATTATTTGTCAAAGATTAGCACTTGTCAACAGTTTCGGCAACATAATCCACTGAATGTTAAAAAAATTTCAAATACAAATGAAGCAGATCATTTACCTTATCATGCAGCATCATCACATGCTACGCTTACAGATAAGGATAGTAGAAATTTACTTAAATCATCATCATCATCCTCTGTTATTCCATCTGCATTAACGAATCAAGTATCTTTATTATCGACGCGAAGTGATAAATCGGAAATGAACGAAATAATTTGTTGTATAAGTCGTGAAGTACATCCTACTGAATCAGTTGTAGTAATAGATCGAGATTATGATGAAGAAGATCAAGATGAGGAGCAATTACTATTGCCGAGTCCGGCGATGCTTAATGATATGATGTCGAAAATTCAAAGTAGGTTTTTTTAAACAAATTTTTTATTTGATTTTTTTTGGTATTGTTGCAGTTGAAGTATTGCGTAGATTTGTTAGTTAAACAACTAATAAAATTCTGTATCTTTCTTTATATCTGGATAGATGGATTGAGATAGATTGGATACTTTTCTTCGAGACGAATTGTCTGTTTTTTTCATTTCTCTTTGCTCTTTTAAAAAGCCATTTAAATAAATATTTAAATAGTATTTAGCCTCTGGGAACAGATGTTATTAATAAAGTATTTGCAGCCTATTGATTTAACTGTTTGTCATTTTTTAATTTTATTTATTTCATGGATTTAATTTCAGTTGGAAAATAAAGAAAAATTTGTTTGAAAGATTTAAATATAGATTGTAGAAAAATGTTGATATCTTTGTTAGAATGGAGATATCCGAGTGGACAGTAGCTAATATTACAATATTGAGATCATTTAAATTTGTTTTATACTTTTTATTCGGATATGCTTCATTTTGATGATTGTGGCAGAAGCCAGATCTGGTTTAACTCTTTTAACTCTTAGTGAATCAGATAATACGGGTTTGTAACTGGAAAAGTACTTTAGATTTTCAGATTCATTTTCATATTTTTATATTTTTTTTTTCCTGAACAGTTTTCCTTCTTTTTGGAAGAAAAATTTTTGAATTATAAAAGAATTAATGTGATTTTTAAAAACAGCGATTAAAATTTTTTTAGAAAGAAAAATATTTGTATATTCTCAAGAAAATTGTTAGAGTCGTATGGCAACTATTTTTGATTAACTGCACTGACTAGCGAGATATGGTAACTTTGTGGGAAATTCATTTAACAATAGAAATACTATTGGATCTCGGTTTTTTCAGTGATTCTTGGAAAAACAGGAGTCGAAGTTGAACTGTGAAGTTGGAAATGATAGACGATATACATTTGGCTTTATTGCCATCTCGAAAATTTTTTTGACGAAATTTGTTTATTTTTGCTTTAACTTATTTCTTTATTCATAGAAGAAAAAGAAATTTTAAGATTTTAGGAGAAAGAATAATAGAATGAAATTGGTAGTAACAGTCGGTAATAGTATAAACGACCATAACTCATTAAGATCAAGCCTTAATAGTTATTAACTTTAATTAACTAAAAAGCCTTGGCTTTTAATTAATTTCTTTTGCTTTTACATCTCTCTGATTCTCTTATTTGAATCAATTGTGCCCTACATTATCTAACATTTTCTTGTAAAATTCCTCTCAATCAATCATCAGTCAATTCATTTTTATATCGAATCCGAAAGCGTTCTTATTATTTGCATAGAATTATTAGATCGGTTTTTAAGGTTTTGTTAAATATTATTTTTGATAGATTATAATCATAATATTTGTTTTCTTTTTATCTTCAGCAGTGATCAACGATGTAAAAATTTAGAATTATTTGATGAATATTTCGAAAGTTTTTAAAATTTTTTATATTAAATGTTTTATTCTTCTATTTTAGTTGTTTTAAAAGATATTAGAATTTGATGATTTATAAGTGGACGATGATGTTCACATATAAAAATTAAGTGATCGGCTCGCACCAATTGTGATTAGAATCGCTTCACTGGATATATTGAGAAATTTTCGTCAGGAATTCCCTTCAGAGTAGAAATGTAGGTAATTCGTTAGCATTACACGGTTCTTTTATTGGTAGGTTTACCCCTAGCAAAGTCGAGTCCAAATTTAAGACAACAATCTTGAGTAATAACCGCTTGATTACCTGTCGCTTTTTAAGGAGAATCTTAAAGTTTATGTAATAAATTAAGAGAATAGATTTATTATAATTCAGCGAATATTTTGCAATTTGATTTATTTGTACATTTCTACAGATGTTAATAGAAATACATGCGGTTTATGTCCGAGGGTATAATTTTACCCTTTTTTGAGTGACGAAGAAATTATATATAAGCTAATAATATAAAATGGATGGTAGGAGACGAAGCGACGATTTTTCTAGAAAAACTTTGAGCACAGCCTGAGGGATGATGCAAAGAGTATTGGAAATGTGAAATTGCAATGGTAGCAGACATTTTTCTTCCTAAATGATGGACGAATTGATTCGATAGTTCTGATGATTCGGAAAAAAATTTTAAGTTTATTGAAAAGAGTGAATTTATTTATTAGTTTAGTTGTTTTTTATGTGCGTATAAACAAATAGTCGACGCTCACCATTTCTGGTTAAGCTCACTGTTCTGGCCATTAGTATGATGGGAAATTTTTGTCATGGTGTCATTTGGCGGTGGAAGTATCGATGGGACATCAGCGTCATATGGATTTTTTAATGACAGGTTTATTCCTATCGAAAGTGGCATCCGAATGTTGATGCTTGAGAGGATAATTTGTGGAGCAAACACTCAACTATCTTTCCTCCTTACATTTGTATATAATGTATGTCTAAATGAAATATTGTTGTTAAACAAGCGCTTGAGTATAGTTGAGGTTTATTTGTTATAATTTATATTTTTGTTGAATGTATGGAAAAGAGAAATTATCGTTGTCGCCGATCTAGAATAATGACGAAGATCGTTATTCTCTCTTCTTACCACTCTTTTGTTTAATACTTTTTTGTTTGTTTACATATTGGTTATTACTTGAATTTTATGAGAAAAAGAAATTAGTTGCTAGTCGTATTTGTAATTAACTGATGAAATTTGTCTAATCGGGAAGAAAAGAAAATTGTAAGAAAATAGTTGTTTTAGCGAATGAATCGTCATCCCTTTTATTTTTATCGGAACATAATATACATATTATATACATTCGATTTTTTTGGATAAAATAAGTTTTTTCATCTTTGTGAACAATAAAACAAAAAGTAAATAGTAAAAGTGGTTAATGCTTACAATTTCTGTTTGGATTCCTTCCGGTAAATGATGGATTTTCTCCTCGAGCAGTAATTGCAATAGCTCATGTTTTAGATATTTATCATGATTTTAGCTTAAAATTTAACATTTGTTTGCAAAAAATTTAAACAAGTTATTTTAGTATTTTGTGAAAACCATGAGGATCTATTATGATTGGTAGAAAGACGGTCGAAGAAATTAAATGGAATGGAAACGATGAGATAATGGCTCGGTTGGGGGGATTCATTGTAAAGAATGAAATTAAATTCAGAGCCATTATTTGATTTGACCTCATCTTTAATCTGTATGACTAATTTAAACCTATATTTAATTCGTATATTCCCTTTCAGTTATCTACCACTTTTGGTTAATAACCTTACTAACCTTATTAAAAATTTTGTCGTTAAAAAATTATCGTTTTTGTTAGTTTTTGCGATTCTCTAATTTTTTTATTTTCGCTAATGATTGAATTTTTAATTCTAGCCGAAATTCAGATTTAATATTGTTGGTTTTTGAACGGTCAGTTTTAGAGCAGAGATTATCATTAAATTAATTCTTATGATAGAACCATTGACTTTAAAGGATTCTCTGAAACGACCTCATGGATTCGCGATCTATTATAAGCATTTTTAGCTTTTGAGTGAATACTCTGTGGAGGACCATATGATTTGAATGATTTATTAAAGGATTTAGATACACATATTTGTGTAATTAAGGAGAGATTATGTTTAATTAGTTATCAGAAAGCCACCTTGCTTTTCCTTTTTTGCATTATCGAAACAGTAGTTATGGGCAGAAGAAACAAAACTATTGGCAAACATATCAACTGCTACATGCACTTGTCGAATTTAGACATATTTAGCAATTTATAAAAAAAGAAAGAAAAATTTCTGTTTTTAATCGGTAGATGTTTGAGATAAATAATTAATAGTATTAACTTGACATTACAATTCTGACTGAATTTTGCATTATATTTTGTTTATTTTAGTGTATTCAACAGCGACGAATTCAGCACAACAATCTGGTGTACAAACTCAGCAGTATTCGCCTGGTTTGACTTTTTTGTTTAGGATTTTTCTTTGTTAGTGAGATATTTCTTTTATATTTTTACTTGAAATTATTGGTTTCCCAGTTCTGTGAAAGCCAGATTTTGTTTCATAATTTCTTCCGCTGAATTTCAGCTAGATATCCAACAACGGTTCAAGGTACAGCTGGAATAAGTCCCTGTTATCCCCAAGGGCAGGCACAAATAATATCTCCAACTCAAGCGCCTACAATCGCATCACAGCCACCTTCTTCATCTATGGGTCCAGCTGTTGTACCAAATGCTGCATCTATTCCACGAAGTAATTCAGTTCTTCAGGTTTCGATGATTGATTAGATCTTTTTGAAATAAAATATTTTTTCTACGCTAATTATATTTCAGTGGAAGTGCCTGGAGGTGGTGGAGCAATTGCTCCACAACACGTTCGCATTATTCCTCAATCAGCACCATTCTTTGGTCATGCTAATGCAGGTTATTTAAAAGCTTTCTTTATTATGTTTGCCAGGTAAAGTTAGAGTGAATATCAAAAAGTTCAATTAAATTTCACATATATTATAATCTTGTTGTAGTTCTAAATTCTTACATTTTAGTGCAAGGAGATATGTGTCTTATCGGTTGTTTCTTCATTGTTATTGAACATGAAAGAATATTAGTTGATCGTTTGGATGTGCAAGAAATTGGTGCTGTTGTACGACTGCATGGAGGTGAAATTGAATTTGGTCCTCGTGCTTATAATAGTGTGAATAGCGAACGTGTGACGCATATTATTTGTGAATCGATGCGTCACCATCTCGTGCAACAGGTTTTTTTTAGATGGTTTTACTCATTACGCATCATTTTTTCTTTGAGATTATTATGGGTCTTTTTTGATTCTTTTCTGTTTATAGATTTATCAAATATTTAGATCATGATGGAACTGGTTATAAAATCGAATTTCTGTGGTTTTTCTTAAGAAATCCTTTAATCATAAATTTTTATAAAAAACCAAGTTCCATCAAATCAAATTTATTCAAGGCTCTAAAGGAGCGAAAACGGTGCATCACTTTGCAATGGCTTAATGATGTTGTGGCGAAAAAGCGTCTAGAAGTACCATGGAGAGTCTCTCATTTACCATCTCTATGGGCAGAGAATCATCGGCCAGCAGCTGGAAAGGTATGAAAATATCGTTAAAACGCGAGATAAAAAATCAGATATCATATTCTATACTAGTTTTCGATTTTAGATTATAGCAATTCGTGGATTTTGCGAAAATGAACGTAGTGGTATAAAATTGATGATAAATGCTATCGGGGCGCGATATACACCGTATCTCACTCGGCATAATCATTTTCTTATCACAAAGAGGTTTCCATTTGCAGTTTTGTTTCTCTTCATTTTTTTTCATAAATTATTTATTCTTTTATTGTATAGAAAAAAAATTTAGAAATTCGAAAAAAAAGTTTTTAAATTGTAGTAATGATAGTGAGATAATTGAAAAATGCCGTGAATATGGTGTAACAGTTGTTAATTACCAATGGCTTGTGGATATATATCTCGGATTGAAAAATGTTGTTAACGAAAACGAAAATTGTTATTTTCCGATGCCGAATATGGTTTCCGAGGTTAATGTATCACCATATGCACTCGAACATTTCAGCGATTTGTGCAAACAGCTGCTCGGTTTGTATTTTTTAATGTTTGATATGAAAAACTGTGTATTGTGTACTGTTTGTTTCATTGTTGTTTTTTAGTTTTTTGCAAATGGTTCGATTTGTATGATTTTTTGTTTTCTATGTGGAACTTTTATATAGAAATTTTAGCGCCGTGGAGATCTCCAATTATTTTTACGAATGAACAGTGGCAACGCGCTAATGAAATAAAAAGAAACGTTGAGAATGATGAAAACATTTTTCCCAATAAAAAGCTAAGGTATAGATTTTCTTTATTGCGATTTGAAAAAATGATTATTGTTTATTTCCAAAATTTAATTTTAAAAAAAGGCCTCTCAAATCCTTTTAATGTGAGGTAATGATTGACACAATCAAATTTAGGTCAAAAACACTCTACAATGATTAATTGAATTTAAAAAAGTTCACACTTTTCTAAATTTCATCTTCGTTGAAAAAAATAATATAATTTCATCAAATATTGATGTTAATAAATCATTTTGGCAACACTGTAGATGTTCAACGCCACCACCCACTGAAGAAGATATTGCGATGAATCTTGGTGAAATCGAGAAATTAGAAGAAATTCCTGTCGTTTGCTTCACTGGTTTTACATCAGAGGAAATGGATGCTCTTGGAAGGGTAGTGCATAATTCGAATTTTTAAGGTTTTTTGAAGCAATATTTGCCGATCTACGTCTATTTCAAATAAAAGTTTAATAAAAGAGTCAATCAAAAAGATTTGAAATTTTTGATTTATTTAAATGTTCGTTTGTTTTATTCAGTTTTTTGTTTTGATTCGTATACTACATCAATGAATTTTATGGTTTTATGTTTTCATTTGTATTTTTTATTTTATAATTTATGTTTTGGTTTGATTAGAGATCATGTAGGTATTTTTGTTTTAGTAGGAGAGAATATCTTTTTTAATATTTTACAAAAATTTGTAAAAATTGGTCACTTTTATTTATTTTTTTTCTGTTTGTGTCACTTTGTCATGCCTCTTTCTCAGCACTTTTTTTGCAGAAGATTCGATTCCTTGGTGGAAAAATAACAGATTCGGTAATGGAATGCACACATCTCGTAGCACTAAATTTGTGGCGTACGATGAAGCTATTACAGGCTATAGCCTTAGGCAAGAATGTTGTTGGTCCTAATTGGATTACTGATGGTTATCGATATCGAACTATACCAGGCTTGTTGTTTTTCTTTACGAAACATTTCTTGTGTCAGGTAAATTATCAAATATCACTCACCATTTAGCTACATTTCAGTTTGTTTTTCATTTTCAGCAAATATTTTTTTATTTTGATTTTTACTGATTTGTTCCGTCAAATGGAATAAAAAAATGTCCTTTTGAGAGATGAATGTTTAATAAATATTTATTAATTTCAATACAGTTTTCAGATACAATGGATTATTTTATGCGGGATGACGAGAATGAAAAATGTTTCGGTTATAATCTTAAGTACAGTATTTTACGAGCAAGGTGTCGGAAAATTTTCCAAGTAAACTATATTTTTCCTGGAGTAAATTCTTTTCCAAAACAATTTTTTTTATCCATTTGGTCAACCATATATCTTTCAAATATATGCCTGTTAATTTTGCAGGACGTTATGTTTTATTTGACGCCGAGCGTGGAACCATCTTATAGCGCGCTTTCATCCCTTATTATATTAGCTGGTGGGAAGGTTTTGGAGGATAAACCTCAACCTCAGTTTGTGATTCGTTGCATCGAGGTACTGCTTCCATTCAATGTTGTTGAATAATTTAATAATTTAATAGTAGGCAAGCATTTGCGATTGAAAATTGCCAGAATGCTTGAAATAAGTTTGAAGCAATACCTGTGATTGTTTTAGGGTTTTAGGTTGGTTGAAAATCTGTGAACTGGTGTTGGAAAATATATTTTCTTTTTACTGTTTTTTTGATTGATTGCCTAGTTTCAACTTCTATAAAATAAGTTTTTTCATTGTGATTATCCTAATTGCTCTATTGATTGATATTTCCTCCGTTCCTGGAAAATTTAATTTTTGCAGACTGATTCTCCGTTACTTTTAATTAGTAACGAAAGCGACATTCATCTGCTGCAGTATCTCATGGATTCTGCACTGCGTTAGTTTTTGTCATTTTTACACGAGAAATATAATTCTTTTTCTACTTTTTATATTTCTTATATTTCATGTTTTATTGCAGCTGTTTTTAATGTGGAAATCGTACTAACAGGTATTTTACGACAGAAACTGGAAAATTCGCCCTTGTATCGTGTACCAGTCACACGACCTTCAACGTTTACACCATCGCCTTCACAAAATTCACGCTCGAAAACTCCACAGATCACAATGCAGCGGATTACTGCTTGAATTTTTACTTATATTTAATATATGGTTTTTTTGGTAAATGTCTTCTATAAATATTTCTGAATGTGAAAATTAATTTATGGATTCAGATTTTACGGTTGTGGCTTTGTGATTATTTCTATATATCTTGTTCAAGCCAAGCTCTTCGAGAATTTTTTTACTTCCTTATCGCAAGAATTATATATTCCTGTCGCTGAATTGAAATAATACTTAAGGACAACGAAGATTTAAACTGAAGGAGAACGGAAAAGTAGTGCCGTTGGCAATAAAGATTTCGATTTCGATGGCTTATAGATGTTATGTTTTATTTAATAATGATTGCTTGACGTTTGATAATTCTCAACTACTAACGTGTAACGTGTTATTGAGTCATAAGATGCAAAAAAATAAAATTATCGGTCATAAATGAATCGTAGTCAGGAAACCTTATTAAAATTCACTGAATTAATAATGGATTACAATGGATTTCCTATTGATATATGGTAAAATGAAGGGCTGGAAATCGATATGGAATAAAAAAGCAATGCTTTGGTTCGCAGCGAGTCGCTACCTTTCCGGTGAGGTCCTTGGGCAAGACTCCCTTAATGCTTATCTTTTCTACGTCAATATGATAGTGTCGCATACTAGAGTCATGCCGGCTCGGATATCGCCCTGACAAGGTTTGCGTTAGAGATTTTGGAACCAGGGTTACCTGATGAGAAATTGGTTGCTGGAACAGCGCTAGTTGTGGGACTAGAGTAGTCTGGAGTTTAAAGGGCTATTGGAACGAACCTTAGATAGAGAAAATAAGAAACCTGGAAGTGATGGAATGCTACTATAGTAAATCTAATCAAAGGGAATGCATGAAGCGTATGAAAGCACTGTGGATGGAAAAAAGACCTTACACACTAACTGAAAAGCAGTTAGTGGCGCAATGCTTCAATATCTCTTAGTTGGATCTTAATATTTCTTCTGCTTTACACTCCAGACCCAAAATGTTTAGAAAGAAGAGAAAAGAAGGGATGTGCTCACGACAAGCTAGGAAGCTTGGAAATTGCCTCATATTTCCAATGCGATTTTAAGAGCAGTTTTAATTAGGCAGAAAATCGTGAATAAAGTGGGTATAATTAAGCATCGAGACCGGTACCGAGACTCAGTGATGTACCAACACTAGATAATAAATCGAAAACGGAAACAGAGCGAGCCCTCGCAACAGTTCCTACTGCCTGTAACAGAAACTATTGAACTGGTGTATACCACAGCCACTGTAATTCTCGAAATGCTGGAAGTAATTCGCCCAAGAAAAAGAAGGCTGGGAAATAAGGTCAAAGAGCACACACACAACGCACAGAAGTTGAATTACAGAAAGATGTAAAGGATGAAAATAATATTGAATGCTGGGGAAATATAAGGGACACCTCATCAGAAACCCTCAAGATTGCTACAAAGGCGCACTGACCATTAAGCTAAGGAGGTATACTAGTGAGAGAGAGGCTAAAAAGATAAATGCCCTGTTCTCCAAGGTACCTCCTAAGGTATACTCTCAACTTCAAGAATACGAAAAAGAAAAAGGATAGGTATTGAGTCCTTTCAGATCTTTAATCGCCCAATTAATAATGGGTCGATATTTGAGGAATAATTTAATCACAACGTCAGATTGTTTTTGTACTTTTGACTGTTGGTTTGCAATAATATATAGCAACAACAGAGCCACTAACAGCAGAAACTATACAATACTGAAAGAATATACGTGAGAAACAGAATATTCATAACACCAATGTAAAATATCTGCAAGAACTGAGGATAAATCATAGCAATATCCTACAGTAGGAACCAACTACCATCACAGTTGCTAACATTCAACAGCGACTCGAAAACATGAAAAGTTCGATAGCATATGGCTCGGACATGAATTCACAACTATTGGCTAATAAGCGTCTAGCGACACAGTTGAACCAGCTGAAAAATTCAATTCTGTCAGACATCATAACCATTAAGCTTCATGACCACATAGGCCAGTATATGAATGCAGTACAAAAAGGCACTGGGAACAACACCAGAGGCTCCAAACACCAACTGCTCATAGAGTCGCTCTAGCCTCAAAATCCTGGCAGACCAATCTATAACAGAGTAAATTCTCTCTATCTTTCATTATGTAACATAAAATATATTGGCGCTGAATCCTTTAAATTCCATGTTATGCCTCTAGGTCACCACTATACGAGCAATTCATCATAGTTTGGATTAATAAAAGGAAAGTCTATGACTCAATGCACCACATATGGATCTATGAATATCTATACAAAGTCGTTCATTGAGAACTCAGTGGGACTGTGGAAAACGACATTTGAAAACAACTCGAAATAGCTTGCATAAGTAGCAAATTAAGTACGGCATATACCAAGGCGATGCATTGACACCCCTATCGTTCTGTATATATCTAAACTCTCTCAGATAATCACCAGAAGCGGATATGGATATAAATTTGAGAGCAGGAGTACCATCAACCATAACCAGTATATTTTTTTACATGGATGACATCAAGTTAAGTGCAAAAGGTGAACGAGATATTGACCCGCTCATCCGTCTAACTCGAATTTATAGCAAGGACATTGGGATGTCATTCAGATTAGAGAAATATATAGTCAAGTCGTAATAAAAAGAAAAATGACTATCGAGGTGGACCTGCCGTCAGGACATATAGTGGACATACAGGCTAGCCACAAGAACCTTGGTATCCCACCAGTCACATGACAACTGCGAAGTGACAAGGAAAACAGCAACATCTAAGTATCACTAAAGGACAAAACGAATCTTGAAGAGCCAGTTCAATGGGAAGAACAAAATACGTGCTATATATATGTACTGCCAGCCAGCAGCTGGCATTGTAACATGGTCAAAGGAAAACATGGAGGATGCTGATGTAAAGATCATGAAACTCCTTACAGTGCACGGAAATTTCCACTCCAAGTCCAATATCCAAAGTCTATACACCAGCCGGAAAGAAGGCTAGTGGGGCTTGGTGAGTGTGAAAGCCACTATCTTGAACGAAACTCGAAGCAAGGTAACATCAAAGGATGAATTGCTGGAAGAACGGAACGTCTGAAGCATAGGAAGTACAGATATACAGGAAAGCGATCAAGTAGAGGAATACTACTGCAAAGCAAGGCCGTCCATGGATTGCACCAGATAGCTGAGGTAGTTGATATCGTGATGTCCTACCAATGATTGGAAAAAGCTGGATTAAAAGGAAACATGACTGAGACACTGACCATGGTAGCACAGGAGCAAGCACTAGATCCATCGAAACAAGGTACGATAGGACTTAAATGCAGACCACGCAAAACGCCTCAGAAACGGTCAAACACGTAGTCGAAAGATGTAAAAATGCAGCAGAAACAACACATACTGAAAGGCATAATTAAATAGCTGGCATAATTTACATGAACATGCACGATATGGTTTAGACCCTCCCAAGGTTAAATAAGCGAAGATTCTGTGGAATTTTCTCATCCGAACAGACAAACAAGTATTGGCCAATCAAACAGATATCGTGGTAATGGACAAAAATCAAAAATCAGCACTGATGACCGATATAGCAATACCAAACGACAGGAATGTCAAGAAGAAGGAATATGAGAAGTTAGAGAAATACTAAGGGCTGAAAGAGAAAATACAGAAGATTTGGAACGTAAAACAATTCCAGTGATAATTGGATCACTTGGAGTTGAGACCACTAGACTAGAAAAGTTGCTTCAGCAGATTCCAAGAACAACATCAGAGATCTCTATCAAGAAGAGCGTAACACTAGCACTAAGAACAGCTAATGTAGTGCGCGAAACTCTCAATCTCCCAGGCCTCTTGTAAAGAATCCAGGCCTCTTGTAAAGATAGAGGTTGAGGATGATCATGACCGCCCAAAAAGGGATGAGAGAAAAATTTCTTTTCACAAAAATAAACCGAGAGAATTTTGATCGAAAAATTCAGTAACAAAGATGTCACAAAATTGAATGAAAGAATAATTCTTTAATACAGAAGAAAAAATCAAAAGTATGAAATATTAGATTTAAAAAATTTGGACAAATCGGTAATACCAGAGAGTTTTAATTACATCGGAAGCGAAAAAACCATGAAAAGTTACTAGACAACAGATCTTATTTTTGCAACTTCAAACCTTGGAAAGGTAGCAGTCTTTAATAGTATATGCGAAGATTGTTTGTTTGCTTGTATGCCTTTCTTCCAAACCCCAGGAGTATAAAATTTTTTTGAAAATCATAGTATGAAACAACAAATTTATTAATTTCAAATTATCATGAACGATTTTTTATCGACAATAATAGGATGAGGAAAAAAAATAGCAAAAGGGGACTTAACAAGCGACGATAAATTCGCCACAATTTTATAATGTTTAATCCTTGGCCTCATACATTTATTTCACTTTCACTTATTTTATGTTTATTTTATGGAAATGTTTATTTGTCCACTTTATTTTCAAAATAAGAATGCAGATTTTAATATTCAAAATTTGAATTTATTGAAGTGACTGCCATTGTACATATCTAAAAATATACTTTGGTTTCATTTCAATTTCCTGCTCTGCCACAGTATATACAATATGACATGTATAAACCTTACCTGTCTTCCTCATATCGGATCTCGAGTAATTAAACCTGGTTCCGAGCAAAGATATTAACTATATCACTGTGGTGTCTCAGATAATTCGTGACGAGATGGCGTAGCGATTGTCATGTTTGAAAAGGCTCGATCCCCTCTGATTGAATGGTAGTAATGATCGTATAACCTACACGCGTTTCAAAAGGAAGTTCTGTAATATTTCAGTCATCATTGTATATGTTCCAACTTTATGAGCAGATGACAGCGATAAAGATATGCGGAACTTCAACTGTTAACAAAGTCTCTAGCGAAACACGACATGGCCGTAATCGGGGAAGACTGGGATGTGCGGGTAAATCATGATGCCGTTATAATGAATTGGCAAATATGGCATCGGGATCCAGTGCGCAAATGGAGAATGCCTTTTTCGTTCTGCCGAAGAGCATGAACTCTTTGTTACTAATACATGCTTTCGGCATCGGAGGAAACATCTAGATACGTGGAACTCTTCAGACAACCAATATTCCGATCAGACTGACTGTATATTGGTATATATTGGTCAGTCACCACTGGCAAAGTCCCTTGATATTCGTTCTTATTGGGGCGTTGAAACTGGTAACCGCCACGGATGCGATTATGTTATGGTTCGAGTCAAGATTCATATAAAATTGACAAGTCGTAAGAAACGAAAACAACCCCAAGATCTTTCAATTATCTCAAATTAAAAGATCCGGGAGCAATAAACGCACTTCAAACCGAATTATTGAAGCATCTCAATGACTTCTCTGAAATGGCAAATGAATACTGGTCCCAATTAAAAACATGCCTACAAAAAGTTAGTCACTTCCACACTAGAGTACTAGGAAATGCGTTAGTTGGGTATCGGAAGCAACTGTCCAATTATCTGAAAAATCTGCAATGCCCGAATATTAGATCTTGACTGTAGGATGGTTCGAAGAAGAACAACATCAGCACGCCGAGACAGAAATTGCTATTGGAGCGATATGGCCTTGAGAATGGAGAGGGCAGCTCGGATAGGTGATAATAGGAAACTGTTTTGCCTCCTTCATTAAGCAATTATAACTCGAGAAAAGGAAATGATATCAGTGAAATGATACTGGATATTAATGGATGATTATTAAGGATCGTCTCATAAGACGGAAAGATGGAAATTTTTTGAGGCCAAACTGAACCACGATGCGCCATCTGTTGTCTCGAATATAAACGATTCACCCGTCGAGCCTTATGTTTGCAACAGTGAATCACCAACAGAAGAGGAAATAATCTCTGTAATCCATAAGCTTAATACCAATAAGACTCCGGGAGAAGATGGTCTTCGGGCTGATGGACTCTTTAAATGTTGTCCATCATCGTTCATAACTCATCTTCAATAAATGTATTCTCTGGTATGGCAAAAGGAAATAATAGGAAAGGAGAGAGAAAAAAGGAAATAATACCAGAAAACTGGAACAAAGCAATTCTGCTTCCAATTCCTAAGAAAGATGACAGGACGTATTGCGACAATTACCAAGGAATCAGCCTATGGAAAAATTTTCGTTTCCCTTCCGTTAAATAGACTCATAGCAACACAAGATAGCAAAATGCCTAACCAAACTGGATTCAGATCGAGACGTGGTTGTGCTGACCACACATTTACGCTAGGAAGGGTGCTGGAACATCGCTTCAAATACCACCGTCACTTGCTTCATCGATTTTGCAGCTGCCTTCGATTCGCTTTGGAAAGTGATGGAATGTGACGATGTCTCAGAGAAGATCATTCAAACCATAAAGGTACTTTATCAGCATATTCTGGCACAGGTCTATGTATAAGGGGAATTGAATCCGTCGAAATAAGAACTTAATCGAAATAAGGTGTCCATCAGGGCTACGTCCTTTCCCCTACAATATTCAACCGCGCGATAGACTGGATAATGGACATCGCTTGTTGGCACTTAAGTCAGTCCAGGGCATAGCATCACAGACCTTGAATACGCTGATGATGTAGTCCTTTTTGCTGACAATTATAAGGAAACGCAAACAATTTTAAACAATGTATCGACAACCACAGAGAGAATTGGACTCAAAATCAATGTAATGTAAATAAAACGAAAGTGTTTTCGTCTCATATACAAGATGCTGATACCTATTTTACCTATTTTATACCTATTTTATCAATTCATATACCCAATTCATATACCTAAATACCTATTTTTATCAATTCATTGCCGACAGAGGAATTGCACGACTTTAAATACCTTGAACCCACTCTAGTCCCAAATGGCCAGGAAGAGGATGAAATTGTAACTCGGATAACGACAACTAGAAATATGTTTTTCCGGCAATGAATTAAACCTGATGAAACCTTTATGGAATCGTCGTAAAATCACCATAAAGTCGTAAATCCGAGTCCATATAGTTGAAATTCGTTCGATCTTGCTACATGGCTGAGAAATATGGCCAATAAGAGTGGATGATATTAAGAAGCTATTAGTCTTTGACCACTCATATAGATTTTACAGATCCGTCGAACGGATAAATCGCATATGATTGTATCCATCTTCGCTCAATTACCACCTGTATTAATAATGTTACACCTGTACCAATAATATTACATTTATCACATAGCGTTGCTGGTTAGGACGCGATGTCCGTCACCCACCACAGGAGTTGACGCATATCTTGTTACTTGCTAAACTCTGTAATGGTTGGCGCCAAAATCGAAGGGGGCCAGTCAAGACTTGGACTGATACAGCCAGGAAAGATTTTGTATAGATACGTACAGATGGACTAACAATATATGGACTTAGACGATGGAAAAAGGAATGGCTTCTACTACTACTAGTGATGGCATCTGATGGAGCAGCTTGGAGACGTCATAATCTTATAGCCAGCGGTGCCAGCCTAACTAGTAATGGCGAGAACTGTTAGAAGAAAAAATATAAACTTTACCATATCTGATATAGCTGGCTGAGGTTAGATGTGCCGTCATCTGGACTTTACTTTCCATAAAAGTAACTTTCAGGAAGTTGGAGAACTTAAGACCCATGCGTACCACTCCATCACAGTTAACTCATTCTGTTAATAAATCCTATAAAGAATGGTAGTGAAAAAAGAAATACCCAACCAAATCCACTCTCGCATATGCCACAAATTTCTTGCATCCATTCCTCCACACTATGTAATAATCAGGGACAATGGTTATTCGAAATTTAGAACTCCCTTATGAGTAAACGTGTAATTAAAAGTAAGATCAGAGCTGTGCTGTGAGCACATTGTACTTCTGCCCCATACGGCCTCCTACCAAACATTTATACCATGCCCATCCTAGCTAAAACTGTTGAACTCTAGCTACAGCTTCTTGATTTAGTACACTAGCTAGAGCCACTAACCATCGGTTTTGAATGACTAATTTTCAGCTTTGATTTTTTTCGATTTATTTGACTTTTAGATTATATTTTGATGTCGTCAATTTTTGAAGTATTTGTATATATCGTTTCAAAGGTTGAGTAGCTGTTTCTGATCGACCTTTGGCCCTTTTGGAACCGAGGATCCTTATGACGTGAAAATTTTATTTAATTTAGAAAACAAATAGATACTTAATATAGCCGAGTACTGTTATTTTATAGTCGATAGCGCACATTATTTTTTGCTTAAATCGCTGGATGTTAGATGCCTTTGGCAATGCTGAGCAGTGGTTGCCACCCTCACCCAGATTCTTGAGTCGCGGGCGTGTTCCTGTCATGGCCAAGGGCCGATTCCTTCTCTTTTAATAGGATAACCTGAGCCATTATCCATTCGACTGCTTTTGCTCTATAATCGATGAATAAAGCTGAATGAAATTTGCTTTTATATAATTTAAAATTGTTTCGTGAAGGAGAGAAGAAATGCAACGAGCACAAACGTTACTTATAAGGCAGCCAAGTCTTTTGTATCGAAGTCTTCCGCTATTTGGAAATGGTTTTCGTTTTAAACAAACATCTCCTGCGACCGAAAAAATTGAAATTTTTATCGATGACAAGAAATTGTTCGTTGATCCAGGAATGACTATTTTGCAGGTTTGCCTATTATTCAAATTATTTGAATATAAATGTTGCTTCATTCTTCTTTGAATTCTCCATTTTCTTTTAGTTGGTCTTGCAAATTACTAAGTTCTTACCCTTCTGCCAGATAGATTTTTGGAAACAGAAGTATAGATGGGTGTCATCAACACTGCCTTTATTATTCGACATAAATCATGGTGGATGTCTTCGCCGAGATAGAGAAAAGTGGCGACACCAGCGCATTGTATCAGATAAGCAGCAATGAGCAGCATCGAAAGTATCGAAATATTATTTGTCCCTTTGTAAGAAACTGAATTTTGCTGGATTTATTAATAAAAGGATACTTTCGTCAGTCAAATAAAAAATATAAAAAGGACTTTGCCAAACTGGTCACTTGGTTGTCATTTCGTCGAATTAATGAATTAATGTTATATTGGGGCAATTTCCTTTTATTCTGAATTTCTTACCGTGCGGCTTGAGATATACAGTTAAAATAGATTTTTTAATAGTAATAATAATAATAATAATAATAATAATAATAATAATAATAATAATAATAATAATAATAATAGTAATAATAATAATAATAATAATAATATAGCTATAGAATCTGATTTTATATATATTTATTATATATAATAATAATATATATATATAATATATATTTTATATATATAAAAGTTATATATATTTTTGCATGAGACTTTAGCGGAATTTTGAATTTTATTAAATGGCTTCTGGCTTTGATTTTGGTTTGAAGTTATCCTATGATATTTATAGGTCGAATTTGTTGTAGGTGCATTGAGATACTGTAGGAAACTCCATTAAATTCTCGAACTATTATTTTATCTGGGAAGTTTCAGGCTTGTTCATTAATGGGGATCGATATTCCTCGTTTCTGTTATCATGATCGTTTATCTATTGCTGGTAACTGTAGAATGTGTTTAGTTGAAGTCGAAAAGTCCATGAAGGTTTGATTTTAATATTAACCCCTTTCAGTTGCCTTTTCAGTTGCCAATATAATAGAAAAATGGATTTTAGCCTGTAGCTTCGTGCGCTATGCCAGTTTTCAAAGGAATGAAGGTCAAGACAAATTCGGATTTCGCTAAAAAAGCTCGTGAAGGTGTAATGGAGTTTCTTCTCGTAAATCATCCACTGGATTGTCCAATCTGTGATCAGGTTGGTTTTTTCTGCTTGATGATGAAAAAATACTTTTAATTTATTAATCTTTATCCAACTTTCTACGCATATGTCCTTCAGGGTGGCGAATGCGATTTGCAAGATCAGTCAGTGGTATTCGGATCAGATCGAAGTAGACATCAAGTTTTTCGTGATGAAAAGCGGTGAGTTCAATAATCGCCTTCTTTAATGCGATTTTATTCAATTTACAGAGATGAGGTATGGTTGATTTATAGAGCTGTAGAAAATAAAGATATGGGACCACTGGTAAAAACAATAATGACTCGTTGTATCCAATGTACACGTTGCATTCGATTTGCCAACGAAATAGCTGGTATTCCTGATTTGGGAAGTACTGGTCGCGGTACAGATATGCAGGTGTCTTAAAATATTATGCTTTGTTTGTATTGTTCAATCGCAAAGTATCTGTGGAAACATTTTCTTCTTTTCCATGGATTCTTTTTAAACCTAGGTTTTTAAATTTCTCTATGTTTATTTTATTTGGTTTATCAAATTTTCGCTTATCTTATGGAATGAAAATATCTAGATATTTTTTCAGATTGGCACTTTTGTGGAAAAATTTTTTGCATCTGAGCTTTCGGGAAATGTAATTGATGTTTGTCCCGTTGGCGCTTTGACTAATAAACCGTATAGGTAAATGAGAAAATTTTATCTTGATGGGCGTCATATTTATTTATCCTCGTTTATCTAGCCAGTTTTCTAGTTACAGCTTTTCTGCGCGACCATGGGAACTCAGAAAAACTGAGAGTGTTGACGTCATGGATGCTTTGGGTTCAAATATTGTAATCGCTCATCGAACTGGTGAGATATTTCGAATTACGCCAAAGTTAAATGAGGTTATTTTCAATCACTTTATGTATTTATTTATTACTTTATAGTTATTTATGTATTTTGGCAATAACCATTTCAAAGGGTATTTGTTCAAAAATTTTTCAGTGGGTTATTTCTTCCCTTTTTTGGAAAATTTTCTGTTTAAGGATATAAATGAAGAATGGATTAGTGACAAAACGCGTTTCGTGGTTGATGGTCTTAGACGTCAACGCCTACTTACACCAATGCTTAAAGATCAGTCTGGGATTTTGCGGTACTATTTTTGTTTTGTTGGTTTTTTTCTTAAAAGTATAAGTGTATAAATGTGTTAGTAAGTAATATTTTTTTATTAGGTCTTGTACTTGGGAAGAGGCTTTTTTTACGATTGCATCGAAGCTACGCACAGCTTCACCGCAACGAATGGCTGCTATCGCTGGAGGCCTCAATGATGTCGGTGAGTTAATTGGGTAATCTGAAGCCTTCTTTTTTTTCTGCTTTATTTTTTAGTTCAAATTATTTTCAGAATCATTGGTTGCTTTGAAAGATTTAATGAATAAATTTAACTGCGAGCTTGTGTGTACTGAAGAATCATTTCCTTGCGGGAGCGATTTTCGGTACTTTTTGATTATTATTACTCGTTTTCAAAATGGTGTTTTGCATAGAGTGAGTTATTGTTAAAATTTAGGAATCAGAATCTGGTTCATTTGCAGAAGAAAACTTAAAAATTAAAGGAAGAATTGCAAGATAGAAATTGAATGAAATTTATCATTTATCTTTATTTCGGTGCAGAACTAACTATTTAATGAACGACAAAATTATTGGAGTCGAAGATGCTGACGTATTACTTCTTATTGGAAGTAATCCACGATATGAAGCTCCTGTTTTTAACGCTCGTATTCGTAAAACGTTTGTTCTTTTCTTATTCCAGCTATTTTTACGCTAAAATTTTTTCTACTTTTATCGTATTCAAAGAAATTAACATATTAATGTTATAGTTTGGCAAAAATTAGTGACGGGGAGTTTTTATGCTGTGTTAGTTTATTACTGTATTATTTCCTAGAAGCGTCATTTAATTTTTTTGTAGGTTTTTACATTCCGATATTGAAATCGGGTTAATTGGCGCTGCCGTTGATCTTACTTATGATTATACTTATCTGGGTGATTCCGCAAAGGCCATTGACGGTCTAATAGCTGGCAAAAGCAAATTTGCGAAGGTTTGCTAATTCATTATTTTTTCATTAAGTCAAAAGATCGTATATAAGTTTTAATTTTTCCTTCTCTAACATTTATTTGATTGTAAAATGAAATATCCTCAATATCCGCGTAAGATTTGGCCACAGTATCGTAATTATTTCCAGCGTTTTTATGAGGCCGAGAATCCCATGATTATCGTCGGTGCTGAAGCTTTGCAAGGAGACAGTGGAGACATCTTGCTTGCCCAGGTTCAAAAACTTGCTGCGAAACTGCGAAAAAGCAGTGGTACAGATTTGATTATTAGAATTATTTGTTTTAGAGAAATTTTTTAGATCTTTCTAGATCTAGAAAGCGGTAAATTATTTAGCATTTTAGATTCAAGAAAGATATTCAATATTTTGCATCGGTTTGCTGCCCAAGTTGGGGCAATGGATGTCGGTTACAAGGTGCTTTTTTACTTATTTTTGGTCATGGATGTGCAAGCTGAAATTTATTTTTTGGCAAATATTTATTTCATATTTTAGATGGGAACTAAGTCTATTGTAAATTCACCGCAGAAAATACAACTTCTCTATCTTCTTGGTGCAGATGAAGGAACTATTTCGAGAAAAGATCTTGCTCCTGATGCCTTCATCATTTATCAAGGTTACCATCTTCAGTATTTTCTTCTTTTTTTTAACTGTGTTTTTTTCAAATCTTGAGGTGACTTAGACTTAAATTTTTAATGTGAATGAAAATTTCTTTTTTTTGACATCTAATTTAATTATAAAATATATTTTCCTTTATTTTCTTTCATCATTCCTTTCATAAATTATTTTTTATAGGATGCCTTTCTCCCACAGAATATCTGTAGTATAGATATCATTTGTAGTACTGTACACTTCCACGCAGCCTTAAGACTGACTTGCGATTATTGGAGTAAATTCCGCTAGAGATACAAGTGGTCTTTAGCGCCACCAGGATTTTTTTTTGGATGACGGGTTTACTTCCGTCAAAACATGCTGCTCATAACTTTTGATTGAATCAGTACAGTCACTTGATCATCCGTTTTGGTATCGCTATCATCTCTTTCATTCAAGCCTTAATTTCAGGCCATCATGGAGATCTGGGCGTTGAGATGGCCGATGTTGTGTTACCTGGAGCCGCTTACACTGAGAAGGATGGCATATATGTCAATACTGAAGGGAGATCTCAAAAAGTGCATTTATGCTGGTTTATTTTGTTAATAATTAAGATTAATCTTGCATGAAGTTTTTGAATTCTTTTCATCAGAAAATTCCATTTTAATTCTTAATTTATTGAAACTCGTGTAATCATTAGGACTCGCGATTTTATTATGGTGGTTTTAATTTGCTATTTTTATATACATTTCTTCAAGGGTTATCCGGCTATAGATCCTCCAGGAGAAGCGCGTCATGACTGGAAAATTATACGAGCTTTAAGTGAAGTTGTTGGAAAGCGATTACCTTACGACAATCTTTTTGAAATACGAGCTCGTTTGTCTGAAGTATTTACCACTTGTTTTTTGAAATTAGTAAAGTTGATTGATTTATTACAACTTTATAATTTATTATATAACTTTATATTTTATTATAATTTATTATAACTTATTCTCTACATCATTAATTATTTCTTTTGTCTTTTTCATTCGTAGATTGCTCCTCATTTGAATCGTTTTGGTGATGTGGAAGAGTCAGTATTTATAGATAAGGCGTTTGAATCATCAACGGTTAGTTTTTTTATCATTTGAATATTTTTGTGGTAAACAGTGTTTATGACAAATCTGTGGATAATTTATGTAGAAGAAACAAATGTTAAATCCAACTCTATTCAATATTCAGAAAGAAAGAAAAGAATTTTTTATTGCGAAACATTTTTCACTTTTTTACGAGCCATAATTAAGGGAAGAAGTTTGGATTTTAAATGTCATCCATCACAACTCGAACTTGCCGATTTTTGGATGACCAATAGCATAACGCGCGCCTCACCTACAATGGCTGAATGCGTGCGAGCAGCTAAGTCTTACAAAGAACATCCTCATCTTGATGTACCAAAGAAATATTGTGCTTCTGCTTGATCAGTATTTATTTTCGAAATTTTGTAACTTCATATTCGTGGATCTTTGAGGCTTTGTTTACCATTTTGCAGTGATCATCTGTGATGACTGATTTAATATTTAGGGTAATAATTGTATATAATAGATTTAACAATAAAATATAAGTGGTACTTACAATTCATACCGAAGTTTTTTAAATTTCTAAGTTTTTTTTCTAGCATCTGATGCACTGGATTTTGGAATTCTAAAATCCACAATGGTTAATTTTTCCATAGTCTATATTTCCTTGTACACACCATGAAGTGAAAAAAGAATTTTTTAAAAGCTTGTTATTTGTACACCAGGAAGTTTCACTAACAGAAACAACCCAACTCATTAGACATGTTTTTAGATGTAAATGAAAAATAATTTTTTCTTTTATGGTTTAATTCGATTTAACAATCTAGCCTAAAACGCATAATGGTAAGAAGATAAGATGGCCGAGTGGATAGTAACTCAGATTATCAAGGAAGGATTCGAGCCCCACTCCAGGAAGGAACCGTGATATTACAAAATGCGGGTGGAACTGCTGGCCTATCTGTACCCGTATGCCGAATATCACCAGGCAAAAACTGGACCGCTATTTTTTTACGTTTATTTTTTGGCAAATTAAAATACTTGTTTAGTTGTGAAGTATTAGTCAATTTTGATCAGCGAAATAGCATATTTTTCTGATTTTCTAATTTAATGCACCAAAACTTTGGTAAAATTTGAGCAAATAAATCAAAGACACATTCAAAAATTCATTTAAAAGAAACTCAAATTCAGAGATTTTTACGAAATAAAAAATTAAAATCCTTCCTCTGATATTTCTTCAATTGTTTATCTCACAAAACACCATACATTTTATAAAAAAGCATAAGGATTAGCTTCTAAAAAATTTTATAGTATATAATAAAGGATTCAAAACCACAAAAGAGCAAAAAAAGCCGAAAAATTGACAACGCAATCAGAAAATCTAAAAAAAAAAGGCCGACCGAAACAATCAACTTATTAGGAGTAGAAGGATTGATAAGAAACGATCGGGTCGATCTCATATCTTTTCCAAAAACGTTATTTGTTCAGTATTCGTCCATGGTTGCTTAAAGATTTTCACTTTATGTACCTATAAAAATTTAATATTTTATTTAATAATTTAATAATTTAAATTTAAGTTTACGGATATTTGGGGGTTAAAGTTCACCATCTCCGGTAAGGTCAGGATAAGACTTTCGCTAGGAAGCAACTTGAGAATGGAAATGCAGGTGAGTATCAAGTGTCATCAGATTTATTTCTGGTAGCAGTAGAGCCCAGACCACGATAAAACACAGTCTAAACATCGCACCACTTCACCACAAAACCTTCAATTCATTTTTAAGGATTATAACTAGATTAGCCTTATAAATTTGAAATATAAAACAATTGGAAAACTGAAAAAATTTTTCATTAAATAAAGGAGTAGTGAATATGCTTACCTCTTCTTTCCCTCCATTTTTTAGCTGACAGGATTGATGATTGAACTCCGAAAATGCTACTTGCTGAAAAATACAAATTTGATAAATCAAATTTAATCCATGTGTTATTTTATAATTTTCAAAATATCCCAAAACAAGAAAAAAATCCATATGCTCCGCAGAAAGAAAAAAGATAATGCTGGAACTATCAATTGTCCACGACAATGGCAATAACTATCATTTATCTTTTTTTATACCATATATTTGCTGTCAGCAACCTACCGCACACATCGACCATTGTGTCTCAAAATGAACTTAAAAAATTGCCATAAGAATTTTTAAAAAAATCTTATCAAAAATCTTGAAGAAAGATTGGACCATTGCATTTAAATCATGCTCGAACAAAAATTCAAAAAACAAATCTAATAACTGACATTCTTTAAACAATTCGATTCAGCAACTTTCAGTTCCATCAAATAATTTATCCCAGCGACGACTTGTGTTTGCAAACTTACTAGTTTCACGGGTACATAGTAATGTAAACTATTACTACGACTGTTAATCTGTTTTATTACAGACTGCTTCAATTCCTGAAAGAAAAAATAAGAAATACTTCAGCCAAGAAATTTTAACAAAAAAACATTATTGTGTATTTTTTTCTGGATATTTTAAGCAAGTAATTTATAACAAAAAATTGCCAAATTCAAGGAAAAAAATCCATGCAATAGAAATCCATGAATTCCACCTTACTTTCCTTAACGATATCTAAACAAAATTAAATGTTCATAAATACTACAACTCAAGTAAAAAATTAGTAATTCAATTCTATGAAAAATGAAAGCCGACCTCAACAGTATTTGAAAGTTCATCGCCGAGTTCTTCCACATTGTGTGACGTCCAACCACCAGGCATAACCTCTTTCTTTTCGTCCGCCATAGAACCAATTTGAAAACAAAATAGAACCAAAATCGTTAAACAAATATATGGTCGAGTACACATAACAATAATCTGCTTGAAAAACGTATTACAAATTGCAAAATGGGAAAATATTGGAGGAAAAAAAGAGAAAGAAGAGAGCGCCAAGCCAATAAAAAATAAAGTGTAAATAAGCGCATAGAGTTGATAAAAAATATTGCAGATTTTACGACTTTTTTTCCCTTAAATATTACAAACGAAAAATGAAATAAACCAAAATAAATGACAAATTTTCCAGAAAATTAAAAAATAAAAACTAGAAAAAGAATGAAAAATTTTATAAAAATTTCACTAGAGAAAAAGGAAACAGAAAAAAAGAAAGAAGGAAAACGGAAAATCAAGCAAATATGCGATAAACACTCAACACTGGCGGTGGCCAGTACATTTCGCGTGAGAGGAAGGAGCTTAAGCTTGCCTCTCGAATATGCATTCCATGAAAAAAGCAAATTATGCCACCACTATAATTCAGTTTTCGAAATAGCAGAAAATTGGGGGTCAGCGACCCGATTGTTACGAAAAAGCAATGCCCACCACTAAAACTTCATCACTGCAAAAAAAATCCAAAGTAAAAATGCAACACGCAAGCAAGCCGTAATTTCGAAGTAAATAAAATAAAATAAGACGTGGCGCAATCATCATCTTTCATCTATGATCTCTTATGAGTGCGTTGCCTTGCAAACGACCATCGTTAACAAAATTTATATTGAAAAAGGAAGAAAAGATAAAGCAAAGACGGTTGAAGGTGTGGTCCTTCATCGGTGCTCCCCAAATTGCTAACAAGTACCACGATCTCAATTAATGGAGCAGAAGAAGTGTAGTCAGTCGATTTGTGCCCATTGCATGACTCGGGGCCCAGCTAATGTTTGTTTCCTTAAAACGAGAACTTATCGAAGTTAGATCTCGTAAGGAAAAAAAAACCAACCAAATTTTACTGGCACATCGTGTTACTGAATCATACAGGAAAGTCGCTCAAAAATCTGGGAAATGCATTTGATTTAATAGTCCAATGTTGATGAATCTCATAATACGTACGCTCAAATTATCAAGCAAAAAATTGGATTTGACCCTAAATTTTATATAGCATGAAGATTTTCAAATTGTATTTATTTGAATCATATTGTTATCTTATGAAATTTTTTGTTATTTTTCTTTAGCAGCACCCACTATTTCCGCTCCTTTGAAAGCAAAAGGTAAGACCCTTTCTTTAGAGACTGATTTGACGATAGAGGCACATATGTATTCTCAATAGTCATCTGGATTTCATTTTTTATGACGCTTCTCTCAAGATATCGAAATCGGACACATGCTGCTTTCAAGCGCGAAACAGCATAAGGCTGAACCAGGCTGCGCCTTTCTTAAATTATTTCCACACTTCTCTGACTGTATTTTAAGTTATTATTCCGACTGATTCCTCCAAACGTGAGATTCTCCACACGTTTCGTAAATGAGTTTTATATCTGTTTTTTATGAATAAAGAGTGCAAAAAGAACGGTTACATAACTATGAAAAAAAAATAAAAGAAAATGAAGTTATGATGAATTTTAAATTTAAAATATTTATTTAATTAGCAATAAGACCGAATATAAAAGTATCCAAGACTATACAAAATTTCACCTCCTCAAATTTTAATGGTGGATTAGATAGCGATAATATAATCTCGTAGAAACAATAATGTAAATTCTCCAACTGTTCTAATATTCGCGACGTGCTAACGATTTGAATGAAGAATCGAAAAACTTTTGTTAAAACCTTATAGAAAACCTCAAAAACCTCATTTACTATACATTTGACCTTTTGACCTGTACTGTCACATATAATCGAATTGCTAACATCGCTTAGATGATCAGATAATAAAAGAAAATGTAATTATTTTACTGGACATTGAATAAATAACTTTAAAAATATATATAAAAAAAGCAGATTTTGTGGCGAAATCCACAGCAGATCTTAATCTAAGGAATATGGTCCCACTGTTTGTCATATATTAAAGGATATAAAGGATATTCAAGGTTTTCGACGAAGGACAGATTTTTCAGGCTAGACTGAAAGAAAAAAACTTTTATTCAAGGCATAAACCCTAGCTATTCAATTCTTTTGGATTTTTATCAACAATTAACTGATTCCATATAAATCTTTCAGTTCAGTTTAAAGCACTTTTACGAGAGTCTTCTTTCTCTAACAGCAATCATTTATATCCGCTTTAGCTTGCTGCATTATCTGTTAGATTTCTGAGCCGAAGCCGCCACTTGAAAAGCATACGTTTGCTCGTGCGTCAACTCTCATTATTATTATTATTAGATTTCATTTTTAATGACTCATCAACACAATGGAAGTCGAGCACAAGATGGCTTCGCCTCAGCCGAACCACTGTCACCAGACTATCGAGTCACTTTTATAGATGAATTCGTTTCATCGAATTAAAATATCTAAAGTAAAAATTTAAATTCACAACAATATAGAACAAATAATGAATTGTGCTAAATGAATTTCTGATGAATTTCGAACAAAGTTCATAAAATCCATAATTTTTCTGCAGCAAAAAATTGAGAGAATGCTTTACGGCGATTTATCTTCTTTCGCCATTTCTATTTTGAACAACTCTATTTGCCAATAAGATGAGAATCTTTCGCCGAAGAATTACTTAGGAATAGAAATACGTATGGATCCACTGCAAACGGATTGTTATGTTTAAAAACATCTTGAATGGGCATTTCATTGAGCTATTAAACTTGATACATTATGTTATGCTATGTAGCTTAAAAGTTATATCATTTTCCTTTTGAATTTACCCTTAATGCTATTAAGGCCATTCATTAAATAGCTTATATTTTCCGCAAAAATCTTATTTTTAAATCGTTTTTGAATCCTTATTCTTTCCCTAATTCATCAAAGATTTATGCTTATATGAGAAAAGTTTTCCTTTATAATAAAACAGAAAATAAAGACAATTATTTTCTCTCAATTTGTTAGGGCTTGAACAATAAAAAGATAGAAACTCACGATAAAATACAATCAAATTTCAGATCAATCTCGATTTTTCGTATGATTCAACGATAACCTTCTTCATGAAATGACATTTCCATCTTCTAATTCATTAGTTTTCTTCACCCAATTAGTATAGCTTCGCATATACAGTTTAGAAAGCTCCAGAATGCTGATTTTTAAAGTTATTTGCCAAATAATTGCAGAAAAATAGAAGTGGAGCTGTAATATGGGGGAAAACAGAACTGAGAGAAATAGAAATTAAAGATGTAACTTTATAAAAACCAGTTGTGCTCATTAAACATCGTTGTAATCCATGTGAGTTTATCAACAGTTGCTGTTAGAAATAGTGGTGTGCAATTTTGAAATTTTATCTCGTAAATTATATTATGATAGAATGAAAGTGAATGAAAACTGAATTGAATTGAAAATTAATTGAAAAAAATATAAAGTCAATATTTCGAATTAAATTTTTACATAAATTAATACCACTAAGGTTGAAAAAAGCCTTAACTTGACAAATGAACAAGAATACCATCTTCAGCATATTATACTCGCTAATAGGTTTTGTGGCTTTCAAAGCATTTCGAACCGTGACTCAAAGACTCATAAAGTAAAAATTAAGTGCTTAACGTTCACCACTTCTATTTAGGCTGCTACGCTAGATATCAATATGGTTAGAAATTTTTAACAGGGAGCCACTTGATCATACAAAATGAGCTGTTATTCACCATTTATAAAGGCTCATGAATTTCTTCTTCTTCTTCTAACAGCTCTCACCATAACTGGTTAGGCTGGCTTCAACGCTTCCAAGGTAAGACGCTTCCAAGTGGCGCAGTCAGATGCCATCGTCGACAGTAATAGAAGCATTCCTTTTTCCATCGTCAAAGTCCATATATTGCTGGTCCACCCATACGTTCAAAATCTTTTCTAATAGTATCAGTCCAGGTTTCGATTGGCCCACCTCGCTTTTGACGCCACTCATCACACGGTTTAGCAAATAACGAAATATGCATCAACTCCTGTGGTGGACGACGGAGAATGTGCCCTAACCAGCGAAGGCGGTGCTCTATGATAATATTATTTATGCAAGTGGTATTTGAACGAAGATGGATGCGATCTTGTGATATTTTATCAGCTCGACGGATCCGTAATACCTTACCTTAGACAACCTTAGACAAGAGTGGTCAAAGGCAAATAACTTCTAATATCTTGCACTCTCATCGGCCATGTCTCGGAACCATACATTAAGATCAAACGGATCACGACAATATAGATGCGGACTTTTGTTTTATGGTGATTTCAGACGATTCCATAAAGGTTTCGTCAACTGGAAGAATGCATTTCTAGCTGCCGTGATCCGAGTTATATCATCTTTTGCCTGTCCATTTGGCTTTAGAGTGGACCCAAGGTATTTGAAATCCGGAACTTCCTCAACCAGCAATGAATTTACAGCTTCTTGCACACATAAGACGAAAAGACTTTCGTTTTATTTACATTGATCCTGAGTCCGATTCTTGGTGCAGTTTCTGACATTATTTAGTATTATTTGCATTTCGTTATAACTGTCAGCAAAAAGGACTACATCATCAGCGTATTCAAGATCTGTGATACGATGCTCTGGACTAATTCGGACACCTCTTGAGTGCTGACAAGCAGTGTCCATTATCCAGTCTATTGCATAGTTGAATATTGTGGGGGAAAGGACGCAGCCCTGACGGACACCTGTTCTTATTTCGAAGGAATCTGTCAGCTCCCCATATATACAGACATGTGCCTGCGCTCATAAAATACCTTTATGAGTCTAATTATTTTCTCTGGAGCATGTCACGTTCCATCACCCCCAAAGCGCCGCTCTATCAAATGAATCAAAGGCAGCCGCGAAATCGATGAAACACGTGACAGTGGGTTGCAAATATCTGAAGCGACGTTCCAGCATCCTTCCTAACGTGATATCTGGTCAGCACAACCACGCCACAGTCTGAATCCAATTTAAATAGGGCACATCCTGCTATCTCGTACTTCCATAAGTCTGTTGAATGAAAGGAAAACAAAAATTTTCGCTGACATGTTTAGTAGGCTCATGAACATTCGTCAGAATATTTAATTAAAAGGAGAAATGGATATTTTTAAAATGTATAATAACCATTAATAGGAAAAAGACTCAAATAATTCAAATTTATAGCGAATTGCTTTGAATTCGATTTTTAAAGGGAATCGAAAAACGACAACCTATTGTAATAGATTCAGAGAGGCAAAGGCCTTTCGAAGGTCAGGTGTTGAGGTCAGATGTCTTTGTTTTCTCTGCCTAAATGAAGAAAAATTATGCAGAACCTATTCAACGTCCTTCGATGAGAATAATTTCTTATACTTATTCACTTTCGCATGAATCTTCTTTTTCACCTTTCTATCATACAGTTTTTGTATCTAAACAAATCGTATATATAAATCTGGAACATGGGTTGGAGCGGGTGGTAGTCGTTGTACTCTCGTGTAATCCTTGTCGAAAGCTAATGATACTCTGGCCTGAAGAAAAATTGGAACTTCGCCATTCTTTCAAGATAAATTTTCACGCCATTTTTCCCGCACTGCTTAATTTGTGTACACTGGGTATAACATTTTCCTTTTTTTCTAATGCACACACTGCTGATTTCATTGGTTCCATTGATTAGTAGAACAAAACTCTTATACGACTCAACTGTATCTACATCCCCAACCGAACATATTGTGAGCCCTGAGGGCTTGATTAAAGCAATATGGTACTCGACCATCGCAACTGGATAATTTCTCGTCCATGATCAGCGAAATATTCTCTAACTGCGAAGCTTGAGCCTTGCTGTATTAAACGGAAAAAGAAGATCTATGAATATTAGATCTATGTGGTATAATGAGATGAAATTTTATGGTCGACAAAACAAAAATGCCGTATATTCTATTTATTGCTACTAACATAGGAGAGATAAGGTTAGATGGGTTGGATAGAAATAAAAAACGTTTCACTGGTATATCATGAATGAATGTGAAAAAGCAGGTTTGCAAATGTACTCGATGCTGGAACTATTTTAAAGTGTTGTTGAATTAAAGTTGCATTATGAATGAATGAGATTTTTTCCCAACAAAATTCAATTTGGCCACAAAATTCTTAACTTTTGTTTGATCTTTATAAAAAAAACCCTTTATATAGACACTTATTTCAATTCTATAAAAGATGAATTATTTCCATGTTCGACAACATTTTTGCTTGATCAGTTTTCTTTATTTGCTGAAGCTGCGCTTCTGTGATTTTCTTTAGAGAAACGGGGATTAAAACGATTATGTCGCTTAACAGTATTCGTTAAGAATCAGAAATTTGAAATTTAACTAAATAGCTAACTTCTAAGTAATGAGCAATAGGCGATGAATTTTATATTCGTGTTGAAGAAATTTTTTTCCTTGCAAAATGAAGGGTCGTTGCAAATTTCTTCCTTCAAAAAGAGAATTTCCTTTTTATTTTATAACGATGAATTATTTTGTTGTTCTTAGACGAAGAAAACCTTGTTTCGAGCCAATTCAAATTAATTTCTCACGTTTTTTCTGCCATTTTACGTTACAAAATTTGCGAAAAAACGAGAAATTTTGTCGATTTAATAAATTTCTTCGGCAGTGATGGCTAATGCTGCAGTTCGCAAAAAAGAGTAAATTCGATCGAATACTGTGAAAACTGAATTAAGCAATATTCCAGAAAATAAGATTTGGTCAGTTTATGAATATTAATCGTTTCTTATGATCAGATTATATTTTTCCATGTCGTTTAACATGTCGTTTTCATTATTGCTTTATGAAACTATTGATTTTAATTTTTTCCTCATCGTTCCATCAATTTCAATCAAATTAAAAATCAATTCATGAATCTAATTTTAAGCCACTCAAGAATTCATTCGACTATAGAAAAGAAATATGCCATTTTATCTTTTGAGGATAATACCTTTCTTTTATGTTATTCTTTCTGTGCAATGATATTAAAAGCTTATGTAAATAGGGGGGTGGGAGGAAGGGAGGTGGGATTGGATAACCAAATGGATAGTGCGCATACCTAGGAGTGAGAATTCGGATTCTTTCTCTCATAGGTGCAGATATGTTATTAAAAAATTTGGCTTATTCTGGCGAATCATCTGCATTTCTATCACCAAGTGATCTCATAACAGATTTATAAGCGTATTAATAATCAACGGAGGTAGACTATCCCAAAAAGGTGGCAAAAAGGCTAACAATTTATTTTCTGCTTCTAAATAAATTATTACAATACACAAAAATAGTGGATTTTAACATATTATGCTTATTTTCCAACTTTCACTTTAGCATAAATTTTATTTTATTTATTCGTAGCCGGCTTTTTGAGCGGTAATTTTCGTTACTTTATTGTAAGTTTTATTTTTTCTGATTTTATTTTTTTTTTATTTTCGATGTTTTCCGAAATTTAAATTATAAATCATTTTAGCTTTTTTTATTCTGCAATTTATGTAATTAAATTACCTTGATCTTTGATAAAAATATAGGTTGTGGATTTTCTAAATTGTTAAAAATTCATGTAATGCGAAACAAAATGAAATATGGAGAAAGAGCCAATGGACAAGGGCAAATTAGTTAGTCTTCTCTTCCTAAAAGGGTTTGTTACCATATAAAGGTAAGATATAAAGGTGCTTACTTCAGATGTTGTTTTAAAGCCAGATTATTTTTAGAATTTCCCTCCTATAGGTCACATTATTGGTTTAATAGGGGATTCGCTATCATTACTTTTATCCAAAGTTTTAAGTGTTTTTTTGAGTCGTGATGATTCTTGTTTCTTTGGATCAAGCCTCATAACTATTAGGTTTACCAATTCGCAGTCCACTGACTTATCACTATGCAATTATGCGGCAGGAATAATTAATAGATGTACACACGATTTCCTCAAGCTAATAAAGGCTGCTGTACAAATTCAAATGTTAAGGTGTTTGGTGAGGCATGAAGTGATAATTTATAAAGTTCAGTAATTGCATAGGATTTCAGAATAATTTCATATTTTTCATATAATTTATGTAAAATTTTTGACAAAACGATTTATCCCAGTTAAATCCAACGGTAGACGACAAATCGATATTATATGAAATGAAACAAGACAAGTCAACCAGTTTATTACAGCGATCATATGAAATCCTAAATATTGCAATCCTAAAGCAATCGAATTAATTTCTCTTATTTAAAATTGTTCATTGATTAAAATTTGAATACATTCCGCTCATTTAACTTAATTGACAATCTACCAATGTTTACTGTTTAATCAAGAAATTGCGTGCATCTTTCACTCTTTTATCTCTTCATTTTTTTTAAAAAACAATTTTCGTAAATGCGTAAAAATTTTAAGGTGTTTTGGTGAAAGTATGGAATAGAAGTAGTGTGGTAACGAGGGCAGCATAACTGTATGCTTGTTAGCCGATTACCGTTCCAGTCGCTCCTCTTTCAAGGGGAGTTCAGACCGCCTTCAGGAATAAGAAAAATTACTGCTTCGGGTGATGCTGGCGACCCAGCCGTTCTCCAAATAATTTTTGTTAACACTTAGTGGTGTGAACCCAATCAGAAATGACGAACACCTATTGTTTGCTTCTTTTAATTTATACGGTGGTTGAAAAAGGCATTTCTGAAGTTACAGCAATCTGTAGGAATTTTTAAAAGAAATTGTGCCTTATGTTTACCCTTACTGTTTATTGTTCTTTTTTTCGCATGTATATTTAACGATTTGGTGAATTTTTGAAATAACAAAAACTTTCTGAATCGAATTCGTTTAATTCTCTTCAGCGCAATTGATTGAAAAATTTTTCCAGCGTTATGGTTGAATTACAAAATGGTCGAAGCACCAGTAAGATCGATCTCCATGGCTACATCTGCATATTAGTCCTGTTTGTCATAAATCTTCTCAATTATATGGATAGATACACAGTAGCAGGTATGTTTATATATTGAGTGGAATGATTAACATCTTTCAAATTACCACCCTCTGTCCTTATTATTATTATCACTGGTTTCTAAAGTAAAGATATGATTGAGATTTAAACATTAAATCTATGTTAGTTAGTTTAGTTAGTTAATTACCGATAATGCGACATTTTTGCTAGAGCGCTACTTGGCTATGAAAGTTTAGGTAGATCCACAGCAGTATTCGGATATTTCAATGATAGATTTATTTCTCGGATATGCAGATGCAAAACCATGTTTATAATATAAGTAATACTCCTCTCAGTCCCATTGCTAACATTCTAGCTATTCTTAGCTTAAATGGCCAGTATAGCTCCAAATATTTCATAAAAATATTTGAATTATGTGGCAAGGTTTTTTTTGCAAATTCTGGAAACTGTTCCGTTTTAAATTGTTAAGGACCGAAAAAGTTGCCATTTATTGACAATTAAAATTTACAATATCGTTGATCTTTGTGAATAATAAAAATGAACTTTTTGAAATATTCTGTTTTTCGCAAACTTTTCTTCTAATCTATTCATCCAAAAAACAAAATTATGTATACCTTGGAATAAAAAATTTAAAATATCAGAAGGTTCTATGGATTGCGAAGAATCGAAATTTTTAAAAATAAAAGAAAAGAATAGAAAAGCAAATGTAAATTTCTTTAATAAATTTTCCATTTCATTCAATCCATTCAAGTTCTGAAAAAAGCAGCTAAAGCAGCTCTTTATAGGTGTTTTGACTCAAGTACAAAAGTTTTTCAATATTAATGATGCCGAAGCTGGACTTCTACAGACAGTATTTATTTTATTTTTTATGATATTCGCACCATTTTTTGGATTTATTGGTGATAGATATAATAGAAAGCGGATAATGGCGGCTGGAATTGCGATATGGGTTATTGCAGTATTTGCTTCGTCATTTGTTCCGCGCAATGTTTGTTAATTAATTTAATTAATTTAATTTTTCGTTATGAAAAACGGATTTACAAATTTGGAAAAAAAGCCAAAAAAAATTTTGTCTTGAGAATTTTTTGGATAAAAAAGCATAACAATTATAAAGTAATTATTGTGATACTGATTAAATTCACTAAAAATCCATGAACTGCTTCATAGATTTAGCAAGATATATACGATTAATAAATTTTTAACTATGTGTAGTGATGAATATGCTCCATCAACCGAATCGATCCTCTTTCACATCATGAAGGTGTTATGAAAGAGGATCAGTGTTATGCATTAAAATGAATTCAAAAATTTACAGTGCTTCTGGTTATTCTTGCTTTTACGAGGAATTATTGGCATTGGTGAAGCATCTTATGCTACTACTGCACCAACCATCATTGCTGATATATTCATATCCGTAGTGCGAGGACGTGTTCTTATGTTTTTCTATTTTGCAATACCAATCGGCAGGTAGGTCATTTATTATTGCAATTTATTATCCCTCTCAGTTTTCATATTTGCACAGAAGTGATGATGTTTTTTACTTTTAATCTTATTTTATTTTCAATTTATGAGTCGAAATAAAATTATAATTTTATACGCATTATTTCATTATTTCCACTAAGTGGCTACGCATTTAAATTAGAAATTTATATATTCTTGCTTTTACGAGGAATTATTGGCCTGCACCTGCAAACTATAACATAACTATAACATAATTTTTTGAATGCCAAATTTACCAAAAATTTTATACTAAAATATTAATGGTACCATTAGCATATTTTTAAAAATGAGTTTCGTCTTTTCATAATTTTTATCTTGAATTAAGTTGAAATCTTGATAAAATACATGGAATGTTCTTGTGGAATCATAGCAGACAAGCTGATCTTATTTGGTAAAATTATGTATATCGTCCGTGAATATACATTGGAATAAGATTTAATATAGGATATTAGGATTCTGATATCAATGTTTTTCATTTAAATGCTCCAACATTTTCTGGCATTTTTGATTTGCATGATTGTTTCTATTTGACATATTGAATTAATTTTTTTCGATTTAGAAGAGAAACTTTGATATTTGAAAACTTTATATTAAGAAATTACAGATTTCAGTTTCGAAAATTTGATTGCTTAATTAAGAATTCAAAATTTTATTTCTGCCAAATTTTGACTTGAATATGATGGAAATGCGGAGTTATTTTGTCAATTATCTCCCAAACACTTTTTTTAAATCTCAAAAAATTAGTTTTTCTATTTTGAAATAACGGAACTACTACTTTTATGTTATTTCAGTGGTTTAGGCTACATGGTTGGTTCTTTCCTGGCGTCAGTTTTCAACGATTGGGCTTGGGGAATTCGGTTAACTCCAATATTGGGAATTATTTGCTTGTTTCTAATTATGTATTTTATTGATGAGCCTCAACGAGGACAGGCTGAGAAAGCAGAAGGAGCCCTAACTGCCACTGAAATAGAGATCACTTCCTACATGGATGATCTAAAGGCACTATCTAAGATGTAAGAAATTTCTATTAAATGTTTGCAAATATATGCGTGCGCTTATAAATTTGTAAAGCTATTCAGTATGAAAATAATATATGTGGTAATGTTGTATAAAAGGATTTTTATATGGCTGAATAGTTATAATTTTTTTTCAGACCCACTTTTATTTGTGCCACAATTGGTTATACAGCAGTGATTTTTGCTGTTGGAACTCTATCTTGGTGGGCACCTACAGCAATCCAACATTCATACGCTATGCAAAAAGGGTTGAATTCAACCAATTTACTGGATTCTCGTGAAAAAGATCGGTAAATTTCTTGTTTATTACGAAGAATCCTTCAGTGAAAATAGTATCTTGCGTTAAAAATTTGTTGTTTTTAATTTTAAAAATTGGAAACGTGGTGTAGAAGTGTAGATATTTTATGAGTAAATATAGTTTTCTTATAGTATTACATTCGTTTTCGGGGTTCTTACTATGGCTGGTGGAATTATTGGAGTATCGCTGGGAACTGCTCTTAGTCAAGTGAGTTAAAATTTTCTCAAGAAGGATTGTGCATTGCATTCCCCGGACATAAATTTTTTTTCTTTGGTTTTTAATACTAGATGCACATATTCACGCCAAGCCTGACAAGTCCAAAATTAGATGAGCGCTGGTGGTAAATGACTAGTTAGAGAAAACAATTATGAAAACTTTTTCAATTTTTTCAAAAAAATTTTCAGATGCTATTACAAGGAAGTTTATGCCTGCAACGTTGCCAAACATTTCGAGCCAACGCTTTGATTTGCGCTTTAGGATCTGTTCTCGGAACTCCCTTCCTATATCTTGGTCTTCATCTTATAGAAATTAATATGACTGCTTCCTGGGTTAGTTCTCTCAACAGCGCACTAAACAGTTTCGAACACATGATTTACAGCAGTTAATTAGAATAGACAACAATCCAAAATGGAGTAAAGAAACTAAAACCGAAAATATTAAAAAATATTAATAATTAAATTTTTGCCACTTAATGTAATTCCATTTTATTTCCAATTTCTAATCGACCAATGTTCGAGAAAACTCTAAAATTTAAATTTTCAGACATTCATCTTTTTTACAGTAACATCGCTGTGTCTAAATTGGTCGATAAATGTCGAAATGCTACTGGTAAATTTTTTATATGTTGAAGCATTTTGTTCAAATTTATAACATTGCTGAAGCATGGATATGAAGTACGCGGAAAGGCACACTAAACGTTATTTCAAAAAACAGTAGTAGGTTTAATTCTTTGCCTCTGACGGAAGTTTATCATTAAAATTAAAATTAAAAGTAAAATTAAAGTAATGGTGAGAATCCATCTGGCGAAAGGATTTTACCGTAATGTCAATATATAATTAAAAAAGATATGCCAATATCTTGAATGGCGAACAAATTTTTCAATTCCATTTCATTAAGATTAACTGGATGAACTTTTCGAGAAACTTAATCTTCGATAAAAAATGGGAAATTCGCCAAATTTTTTGCCTGGACTGGATCGAAACTCAGTTATTCCTATTTCCATTAGCTTAATAAATCAATAAAGCGGAAAGTTATAGCTTTATAATTATAGCTTTTATAGCTAAAGTTTATTTCTTTTTTGGCACTCATGCATTAAAGATAGAAGTAAATAAGGTAAATATCTCAATTAAGTGAAATAACCAGGTTGAAAGAGTTCTCCACTTAGCATATAGAATATATGGAATGCTGTACAATAAAATATCAATCGGAAAAGTTTCATAAGCCGAAGATCCAAAAATTATTTGGATATAGAACGGCGTTTCCATAGAAATCTATCCCTTCTATTAAACAATCGTAAGAAATGAACGAAGTCGGTGCAGTGGTATATTGCGACTAGAGGCAAACATGAGGCAAAACTGGAGGCAATATATATTTAATTCAACAAAAGACCATCATTAAAAGTGTAGAGTGAGGCCAGGCACCTAGCTGTTCTTTTATCCTGAAATTTCTCCATCGAAATTACATCACTATCGCAATTCGAGCAATTAAACCAGGAATGGTGATTACTGACAGAAGAAAAAAACAAAACATCTGAAGCAGTCGGAAAAGATTTCATCATCATTTCCTATATCTTATAGAGTAATTTTGCATGTTCCTATCATTCTAAATATTAAATGTTATATATTAAATATATTAATCCTTTTTTGCCGATTTTTTTTTGAAATTTTCTTACAAAGATGCTAAAAAATGTTTTTTAAATTATTTTTTAATTAATTTAGAAAATTACCAATAGTAATAACAAATAACAATCTGTACTTCTATCGCCAAGCGATATTCTATGGTAGAATTTGCCTAGTCCAATAAGCTAACGAATACGAGTCAGAAATCATTATGATTCCTGATTCGTATTCGTTGGCTTTCTTCAAAAAACGCTAGTTAGAAACGCTAAAACAATTTACCTACATTTTTGATGATTTTTTTTTAAAGACATAGTGATGGTTCTAACTAAAGAATGGCAATGGCATCTATAATAATTTTTTCGCTCATTTGTGAAGGCATTCGATATATCCTTTCATGAAAAATATTTTTTGACTAGAAAAAGAAAATCTTTACGTTAATGAGTTCGAAAAAGTGTGAGAAGTTCGAGTACCACTAGCAGTTTAATAACAGTGCAACACCTGTCAGCATTGCTTTAAAAACCACAGATGGGTTTAAGGCATTTTTTGACAACGTTTCTTTGAAACTATCGTCAAAAGTTTTCTTATGCAGATCTCACATTTCAAGCACTTTGCTTATAAAAGAACTATATGAACCAGTGGATATCGCCATTACTGTCATTCATCATTCTAAAATAAATTATAGATTTCACCAAGAACATGGTATGCAAATTGAAGGTCTTTTTTATCATATATAATTTCGAGCTTAAAAGTAGTAATTTTAGGATGTAGTTACTCCAACCCGCCGAGGTACCGCTAATTCATGGCAGATTTTAATATCGCATTTGCTTGGTGATGCGTCGGGTCCATACATTGTTGGTTTGGTATTGTTTTATATTATTTAAAATTATTTTTATTTTTAAAATTTCTGCGTAAAATTATCAAATGAAACCGTTGTATTAATTTGTTCACTAGGTTTATTGAGAAATTGCACTATAACCTTAATTACCTTATTTCAGTCTTTAACAGTCATATTTGGTTTAAACAAATCTAATTTAAAAGGCCAAAATGATTATTTTTTCCGCGTAGATTTCTGACTTGCTTCGACATTCTGCGAGTGGTCCAGCAGAAAATTTTCGCTCTCTTATCACTGCGTTTTATTTACCAAACTTCGTTCTTGTTGTTAGTGCCGTGTTTTTCGGATTGGCTGCGGTATTTTTTATTCGAGATAAGCGAATTTTTGAGAAACAAATGGGTAAATTTAAATAATTTTCTTTACATACGATGATGGAATAACTCTTACCTGAAATCGTTGAGGTAATTGGCTAAAAACCTGATAACTTGAAGTCATTTTTATTGGTTAATACAATTAAATGCCTAAATATGCAACTGCTAGCAGTATCAGCATTTAATTCTACAAAACGCCGCGTGATTTTTTTATATATCTTAATTCTATAATATAAAATTTTATGCGATAAATAAGGTGTTAGAAAGCACAAAAAAAGGGTACTATGAAAAGCGGAAAACTTCAAGTTATCCATTTGCGCAAAAATATAATATGAATGAAATAGCGAATTTTATACCTAACTTACTTACTTACCTAACTTACCTAACTTCTCAAATAATTCAAGGATACAATGCCGAAGTGAAATTCAGTGGGAAAAAAGTGTCTATAAATGATGCTGACAAAACGAATGAGGCATTCGCTTAAAAAAAATTTTCTCAAAAAAGTGATGTACTTGGATGAAGAATATGGCCAAATATTAGATTCACTTTATGTATTTATGGTTTCTTCTCTGAAAAGCTTCCCTGTAACAAAGGAAAAAGCTGCGATACTGCGCACTTCTGAGAGCTGCATTTTGACATCATATAAGCAATGAAAATGTAACTTTGATGTTTTTGAAGTGTGTAAGCTGATAAAACGAGATTTATTGTCCCTTTTTTCGCACGAACGCTTAAAAATCATATTAAAATTCAGTGGGAAGATATTTGAAAATTAAATTCTCGATTAATTTACCATTCGGAATCCTTGAAAAAAATCAAAAATGTGCAATATAGTGGAATGCACATTTGTGTAGCGCATATGCAGAGGCGACTCAATCTTCTAAATAGCATTTGCAATACTTCTAACTCCACTCACCCCACTGACAAAAGCCTTTTACTGGACAGTTCCCAATACCACTCATTAGTGGCCAGGAATCTGTGATGTTTCTTGATGATGATTAACCGGGCAGTCTTTAAGCTAGTTGAATGGATTTACCATAAGTCTTGCAAGTCTAAATAGCTCAGTGATAGTCAAATCACCGGCCTCTATTGGCCTCGAAGCCAAAGAGATATTTAAAAATAAAAAAACTTTGGCAGCTGAGAACTACAACTAAATACGCGGAGCTTTTCACACGAATTATTTTTATGATGGTATTTTTTAAATTGCCGAGGCTGCGTTCATGCGATTACACTTTAACCATGAAGATGAAGCGGAAAAAGCTGAATTTTGAAATAAAACTCAAAAATCATGAATGCTTTTTCAAAGCGACATAAGTGCACCTCGCATGAAACTTTAAAACGCACGGACTACATGAACTTTTACGGGGTAATCTAGGAGATCAGAGGGAAAAAACTTTAACCAATAATCATTTGGTTGGAAATTATTCCAAAACACGACGAAGTGCTCAAAGTGTAAAGTGAAGAAAAAGCAGTTTTAAATTTTAAGTTCATTGTCAATTAAGCACGCCAATTTTGCGCGAATTTTCTCCCGACTATGGCAATGACAATTGTGCAATTGAAAATTGGCAATTTGACGAATTCCGAACAAGAGTGCCAATCAGTACAACTTTAACCCTTTCTTCTCCAAATATGCCAATCTTAACCGACCGACGTTCCCCGTATTAAAAATAGTTCAACTTCGAATTAGTCTGCGCCGCACTTTAAAAATCGCACGAAAAAGTTGTAATTTTAAAAATTTGAATTTTATTTCCGTTCAGATAGCATTCCTTGTCAATGGCATATGAATTTGTTTATAATCGTTTTTTTGAAAATTCTATTGCAGTGAAACCGATTTGGTTGGATATTTGCCTCAAATATTTATTCTCCAAAAAGGTTTTTTTTAAAAAGATTAGAATTTATCGATTTTTTGCTAATTATTATATTTCTGATTAAAGAACCTTAATAAGAATAGAAGCGAATTAGAAATGACGAATGAGTGCCGCGCTTCTTAAAAGTAAGTACCGCGGTTTCTCGATCGGTGCCACCTTTTTCCTTGTTCATTTCCCTGGTATAAGGCAGTGAATCGCAAATTTGGTCGTTTCTGCGGTTATTTTCTTCAGCTTTTCATCTTCTGCCCTTTCCTCCCAATTTTAAGAAATTATGCATTCGAATAAGTCTTCTTAGATTTTTTGCTAGTAAATTCCGATGAAGCTGTTATTAAAATTGGAATTTCGGAGGTGCTAGAGACCTGTCCGTGCGTGTACCCCCGAGCGAAACCAGACAAATCCTGAAATTTTGAGTATTGTTTGAAGAAGTTTTTTCTAGAATATTTACAAATACTTTTCCCAGTATTTTTGATCTACAATAATTTTAGCCAGAATATACAAATGAACAAATTGCAATTGCTGCATTTGAACAGTGGTTATTTACGGATCTTAGTTTATCAACTTATCCAGCTTATCATTTATCGGAACTTTCACTGGGAAGAAGCATCATATCACATCGAATAGTTTTGCAGGTTTTTCGCTTCTTATTTAAGATTTCGTGTGATCAGTGAACGACTAAGAGAAGCTGATGTGTTTAAATATACCTAAATATATTTATGAGTGATTTTCTCTATTATTTTTTTACTAGACATATATTTATGAAAGGTTTTATGTGGGAGTTTTCAGCCTTCATAAACCTTTTTAACTAGGCTTTCTAAACTCATGCGCTACATTTTAAAAATTAGCAGATTTTTATGGTTTTTAACTTCAGTTAAATTTGTGAAAAAACTGTTATAAATTTCAGGTTGTCTCAATTTTTGATATTGGAAACTCTTTGCACAGTCAATATAGGAATCTTACTAAAAAATGGGCTGATAATTCTGATTTTGAAGCCCATAATGAAGACAGCAATAAATTCGATGTAGTTAATCAATTTATTATTGTGTAGTAATTAATTTATTTTAAAAAATGTGGCTTTTAATTTTGCAAATTTTTTTCAACTTCTTCGACAATAAAATTGGGATTAATATTTCTGTTTGTCTGTTTTGTCGGTATTATTATTAACATTACTAGTGATATAAAGTTTAGTGGAGAATGAATAGGTAAAGAGATCTATATATTAGGATCGTCCTTGTTTCGGTTTAAAAAACAATGATTATTCCAGAAACCTCAACGTATGTTTTTAATGGAAGTTTCTGATGGCAGTGTTTACCTTAAAGCTATTGAATATCGATATATGACGCAGTTATCTCTTTTTATTCATCCTGGTTGTAAAGTACGCACTTTAGGTTGTTAATTTAAAGATTTAGTATAATTTTATCAATTTAATGGTTCATGAATGTTATTTCTATTCTTGACTGTTTTATCTCTTAAAGTCGTTTAATTTTTAGATATTTTTACGCGATGATGTTGTTTATCGTAATGGTATACTTTACTTAACAGATTGCAACTGTACCGTACTTGGAGGTGATGATGAAATGCTTATGAAATCGCATAGTCCAATAGAGGTTATATCAAAACGTTTAAAAATTTTTCTAAAACCAGCGAATACGAAAGCAAATGCATTAGCATTGCAATCAAAAGAATCGGAATCGGAAGGTATTTTGGCATTTTCAATATAATTTTAAATTTCATCTATCAATATCAGAATCAGTCTATATTATAAAAATGAAATTTTTGGGCGGTTTTTTTTCTGCCTCGCTCTGTTAATATTTTCTTGCGCCATCGATGTCAAATTTTTTCAATAACAATTGAGCCAAATTCTTTTAAATTTTTGAAATTTTAAAATAAATTAAAATTGCAAATGTTGAATTAATTCATATAAATATATAAAATTATTTTTTTCTTTTTATCATTTTTATTTTCTAGTTTATTTTTCATCCTCCCTTTGTCTTTGAGAGAAGTAAACCTGTCATGATATCAAAAATTCTGGTGGCTGCTGGAGATTCACCTGTAACTATATCCCCAAGTGACTCTATGGTAAAAGAGCCAGGTCCTCTGGACTCGCATTCTTCGATACGCATAATACTTGCAGCCCAGTGGTACATGCGATAAGTATGCAATCATGATATAGTCGATCTCTAGGCTTGAGAATTTGATCTGTTAGCGGGATAATCAGGATAATCGCTCGAAAGCTATCAAAGGAAACGGCTGTCTTCACTCGCGGCAAGGTATTAGTCGTAGCAGAGTGGAAAGTCAGAACGCTTATGGACGTTGCTAGTCAACCGATCACTGCCCACATTATTTCTAAATATCATGAGAATGTCATCTGCTTGTCAAAGATCCGTTCTTTCTCATTTAAGATCTCGAGCGATTACTAAGTCTGGCTTCAACGAAATGGTGTGACGATTGTCATGTCTGGAAAGACCTATTCCACTTTGATTAGGTGAAAGCCGGTCAACGGCAGTATGTCCTATGCTTTCTTTAAAGAAGGTTCTGCAATTCATCAGAATATCAGTATATGTGGTTCAACTTTATGCGTAGATGACCGCGATAAAGATAAATGAAACTTTAACTGTCACATTTCTGCAAAAAAGTGACATAGCCTTAATCGGATGAGACTGGAATACGCGCATATGTCACTATGCTACCACGATAAACTCGATAATTGGCAGATAAGGCATAGTTCCCAACGCGTCAGTGGAGAACGCTCTCTACGCTAGCATGAACTTTTTGTTAATAATATGTGTTTCCAATCAGATTGATTATATCTTAGTCAGTCGCTATTGGAAGAGTTCAGTACTAGATGGTCGTTCCCATTTGTGCGCTAAAACTAGTAACCTTCGTGGATCGGAACAGGTTATGGTTCGAGCCAAGATTTGCATTAAACTGACAACTTGCAAGAAATATCTAAGATCTTTCAATTGTCTCAGACTAAAAGATTTGTGGACGTTAAGTGCATTTCAAACCGAATTACTGAAGTAACTCAGTGGAACTAATATCAATTACATCTTTTAAATGGTGAATGAGCATTAGTCCCAACTGAAAGAATGACTCCAAAGGTCAGCTCCACGTTAAGATATGCTAATAGGAAATGTGCTAATTGGGTATTGGAAGCAACTTCGAGTAGATATAAACCACGGATGTTAGAATGTCCTGACTACCGGATGCTTCGAAGAATCACAACGACAGTAGCACGACGAGATATAAATCGCTTTGCGATATGGTCTTGAAAATGAAGACGACAGCTCTATTAGGCGGTAATAGGAAGCTATTTCGCCTTCTTCATAAAGCAACTATAACTCAGGGAACGATCAGTAAAATGGTACGGAATGTGCCTGTTAAGGCAAGATCGCCTTGTATGGTGGAGGAAATTTTTTGAAGCCAAATTTAACCATGATATCCCTTCTGATGCCCCAGAAATAGCTGAAAATCGCCAAGCCATATATTTGCAACTGTGAGTCACCAGCAGTGCAAGAAATGATCCGTTTTTCAGAACCTTATGGTTAAAAAACTCCCAAAGAAGGTCTTTTGGCTGAAGTCTCTTCAAATGTTGTCCACCGTCCTTTATAACTCACTTTCAATGAGTACGTTTTATTATGGAAGAAAGAATTAATACCGGATGATTGGAGCATGATTGAAACTCCCAATCCCCAAGAAGGCTGTTAGGACATATAAGCCAGTTCGAAAATCAGTCTGGTAGACATCTATGGGAAGTTTTTCGCTTCTCTTTTAATGTAGGGGAAGCAGGATATGCCCTAATTAAGGTGGATTCAGACCGTGACACTGTTGTACTGACGAGATATTCACGTTAAAAAGGATACTGGAATATCAAATATCGGTAACCCACCATCGCTTGTCTTCGATTTTGCAGTAACTTTTGATTCAATTGTTAGAACTGGCTTTGGTGATGGAACATGTCGCTCTTACAGAGAAGATCATTCGAATCATAAATTTATCATATACAGATTCATTTCGAAATAAGGTTTCCTAAGGGTGTATTCTTTCCCATACAATATTCAATTATGCGGTAGGCTGGATAATGGACATAGCTTGTCGGTACTCAAGAGATATATCAATCATTTCAGGGCATAGTATCACAGTTCTTGAATCTTGAATATGCTGATGATGTAGCCCTTTTTACTGATAGTTATGACGAAATGCAAATAATGCAGCGGATAAACAATATGTCGACAACTGCAGCGAGAATCGGACTCATGATCAGTGTAAATAAAACCGAAGCCTTTTCGTCTTATATTTCGTTTTATTCAAAAAGCTAATAGCATACCATTTTTTCTCAGTTGATTTCCAGTTGGGGCCAGATTTCAAAACCTCGGATCCACTTTTATGGAGTCGTCGCGTAAACTGTAAAAACGAAAGTCGATTTCTATATAGCTGTAATTCACTCGGGTTTGCTATATGGCTTCGAGGCATTGCCAGTGAGAGTCAAGATTTTAAAAAGCTATCAGCCTTTGACCATGTAAGATGGTAAGGTACATGTCTAAGATACATTTTACAGGTTTGTCGAGTGGATAAATTCGCGCATAATTATATCCATCTTCGCTCAAATATCACCTGTATTAATGTTATCACAGAGCGTCATCTTCGCTGATTAGGATGCGTTCTTCGTCCACCACAGGAGTTGATGCATATTTCACTATTTACCTTGTGATGGATGGCGTTAAAAGCGAGGAGGGCCAATCAAGATCTGGGTTGATGCAGTCAAGAAAGATTGTGAACGTATAAGGGGACCAGCTATATATCATCTTTAGGCGATGGAAAAAGGAATGGCTCCTATTGTTATCGACGACGGCGTCGGATTGAATAATCTAGAGATACCTTTGCAGTCAGCCAAACATGCCTAAGCAGTAATGCTGAGAGCTGTTAAATAAATTTAAAGTGGCTGATTTTCTTTCTTTTTTTTGAGTATGACTTCATATTTTTAATGCAGTGCTCAAAAAAATATTAACCACAGATTCTATTTTAAATTGCTTGGATAGTTCACACCTTAGTATTTGTCGTTGTGTTACGTCCTGTGATTGTGGTAAAATAAATAAGCAATATGAAAAATTGAGTATTAGAATAATTAACTGTCTTTTTATGAAAAATTGTGAAAAGTGCTATCTATAGTACTTTCAAATTTTTATTTTAAACCTACTTATTTTTCCAGATTTTCAGATTGTAAACCTAAACGTAAAAGAGTCGCTGTTAACACTTTGTTCTTTCCTTACTCTCGTGGCTTGCTTAATTACAGGTTTTTTTATTTAATCAATGAATGAGTATAATAAAACAGTTATATTCTAAAATTTTTTTAGCAGTTCTTCAAATACATTGGCCAATCTTCCTCAATCCAGTGCAAAACCTGTAATGTCCGTGAAACCACTTTCGGACAGTAAAGAGTTTGTATATTCATTTCTAAAAAATGATGTAATAATTTTATCAACTAAAAAAATTCTGCCTATATTTATTATTTTTGCAGGTCGTTTAATGATGATGAAGTCAGTCAAAGCACGCGATTATCCGAATTTCTTTCTTCCCAAAATGTATATGAAATAGTTGAATTATGAAATTTTGGTTAAAATAGATAATAAACCATAAGTGATAAACATTAGATGCTGAATTACATTATGCTTATATATTTATATTTTGCAGGGTTCTGCGTTTTGTAAATCGCTTTCTGCGAAATACCATTGCAATGCCTCGACTTCGTTGCATTCTTTAAGTTATTGTGCTCGCGAACCGTTAGTTTTATATATTAGTAGTTTTAACCAACTGGATACTAGATGCAAAACTATAATATCTGCTGTATATATATATATATTTATTACATCTAAGTGCCTCTATGACTCAATAAAATGTTTCTACAATTCCAAAACTTTATATGTGAAATTTTCAACCTATTTTTATCACAAATGGTTTGATTTTGAAAATTGCAAAGGATTTATGAAAGGCTATGGATTTGAAATGATAAAAAGAATCATAACAATAATTTATAGAAAATTTTGATCAAAAATTATATTTTAGAACGCATTTTAATGAGATTGGTTCTAATATCATTAATACTATTCATTCCTCTATTCATACAGAAATATCTTCAGGTATTTCTTTTTACCATCGATACAACTTTTTATGAATTCTTTTATAGAAATATTGTGGTCTAAATAGTATTCGAAATATATTTTACTTCCTACAAAACTTATTCAGACGCTGAAAAAGTGGAAAATTCGTCGGAAAAAAATCATTTGGTGATTCGTTTTATGCAGCTGGAAATAGTTTGGATTTCTGACATTCTTAAATCTTTGCGGTTTATAGTGGGCTCAAAAAAGAAGTTCATAATGGTGAGCCAAAGTTTGATTTTATTTTTTTATCGCGTAACAGCTAAAATTGGTGTCGCATTTCTAAGTCTAACGATAGCAAATGGGTAAGATTTTATGTCAATAATTGTTTTCTTGTGCAACGATTTTTTTTGCCAGTGTATTCGGAAAGGACATCTGTTGTTATTCAAAACTTTCTGTTTTGTAAAATTCATCGCCTTGCTCTATTGTACAACCTATCTTTTAACGCCCCTTCTCGTTATTTCCGTTTAATACCTCATTAATCCCCAATATTTTTTACCCATTAGCTCATTAGTAGCATTTTTTTAGATTCCATGATTACCTGAAAAACTCTATTTTTATCTCCATGACTTTCTCGAAATTTTTTCTACTTCTTTCATTCTTCGAAACAGTGTTACTTTAGCGCTTTATCAGATCGCGCTCTTTTGCCATACATTAAGAGCTCATTTTTGCATAGGTTCGTTTCGATACCTGTTTGTGAATAAATCACTTGGAGATGGAATCCGCCAACACTGGGTTTTTAATGGCTTACTCATGTCAGAAGCAGAATCTAAACCACTGACTCTCTATACGTTAATCTACTAGTCATTCAGCTGTACACCCACTGACACCATTACACGTCTCCCTTTTTATTTTCTTATCTCCATTATAGGCGCCATTATAATCCCTTAAGAATTCCTTCAGAATTTATCACCACTTTTATAGTTTACCCATTTCACCACTTTTTACTCTTAATCTCATATAATACTCAACTTCATTATCCTTTGGGAAAGAGGGAATAGAATGGCTCAGTGGGTTGTTGCTCAACTGGGAACGCCGATGCTGGGGTTCGATTCCCTGGAAGAGTAAACCTGTATAAAAATCCGAGTGATGCTGGCGGCTCACCTATATTTCTATCGCCAAGGGACTCCCTGGGATATCGCCCAATTGCGACAAGCCAATGGAGCGAGTTTAACCAGTAATTGTGAGGATTTTTAATGGGAAAGAAAGAAGAAGCCTTCTCAGACGCTCTTTAAATGTTAATATGTCCGCAACCCAGCTTTTGCAACAATCTGTTATAAGCCCTATGCCCTTTTCACCATTTTGTACTCTTAGTCTCATATAATACTCAACTTCTCATTATCCTTCCTTAAAGGCCATTCAGATTTTCCACTGTTTTTTTGCAACTGCTTCGGCGGCTGTAATTTGCAAAGAGCATGTTGATGAGGATTAACATCGAAGGAATATGTCAGGAATTGATGATTTGTGTGGATTTGGCAAGTATGAAGAGTAGAGTTGAAGAAAATGTTAAGGAAATATAGTTAAGTTATGGATTTCGAGTGATTTTCAAGGCTTTTGCTTAATTGCTGAAATAAATAAATAAATGATACCACCAATGTGGTACTAAATTCTACCATTTATCTTTATGCTGGTATTGTAAAGTTTATTATTCTCATGGTAGAACAGATAACCTATCTCCACTGCAGGAGGGCCTCAACAGAATAACCAACTGGCTCTATGACAGGCTTTATTCTTTTTTTTCAAAATTGTACCGTTCTTCATGTCAATTCTAAAGGATTCGATCTTCCTAATCTTTTTATTAATGGTAATATAATCAGTTGAGTTTATACTTATGCCCATACATTCTGTATGGCTATGTTAAACCAGATTGTTCAAAATACTATAATTTAAGGCTAAATTTGAATCAAACAGACAGACAAGAACTAATGGGCTAAAATTATTAAAACCTATGTGTTAAACTAAGAACTCTTCTTGAATAAATTACCGAGCGATATAATTCATCCATAGCTACCTTTCAAAAAAGATTAGATAATATCATTTATGATATTTAAAAAGTTTAAATTATACAGGAAGTGTAAAATCTCGACTTTTACCATTCGATTATATATAATACAGTTAGTTCGAATTGGACTATGTTATATTATTCTGCAATTTCCTTTTTTATTATTTTTTTATTTTCTCTAAACCGTTTGTCATATTTCATATTTTTCTTATTACTAAATTTTATGGTTTTTAATTGTTGTTATTAATACAAGCACATGGCGTTATCGCCCTGCTTGGCTGGTTTTCAATAAATAATCTGCGGTGTCATTTATTGTTTAGATGAAAATCATGGAAATCAAAGTTTTGGATAGCGATGTTTTTTTTGTATTGATATTTATTTTTAAAATTATTTTTACATTCAATTTACATCTGCTTGGCTTTTTATTTTTTTAGTTTGGACTTATCTTTTTTGCGTGATATATTTCTTATCTAAATAATCATGTTCGATAATTTTAATTAATGCGGTGTTTAACTAGCAAACCAATTTTTCCTCGATATTTAATATTTTGCGGTCAAAAATTTGTCAATTTTGTAGGCAATTTTGGAAAATGTTGTAAATCCACTTCGGATCGTGGATAATTTGTGGACAATGACCATAGCGCTTACAGACGAAAGTCATTCGAATTTATGTTGTATTGTAGCACATTCAGTTTTAGTAGAACTTATTGGTTTAACTCCTCAAGAAGCTGAAGTAATTTATTTTCTATTGTTTTTGAATGATATTTATGGTATTATATCATTGTCAGTTTTTTGATTTTATTAAATTATATTATACATATTCTTACAGACGAAAGTCATTCGAATTTATGTTGTACATCATAGGCTATTCGTGCTAGTCGGGACAAAGTGCGTCGAAGAGAGGGGACACGGCGTCTTAAATCAGTTCAAGAATCGATGGAACGTTTAGACATAATTTGGGAAATTGAATTCTTCGCTAACGGGAAATCAACTCCTGTTATAAGGAATATGAAGACGTGTGCTCAAAAACTTGGGTTGTTCGATTAAAGGAAATAAAACGTTAATTGCTTTTGTTTCGTTGGCCCATCGATGAATTGTAAGATATTTCTGAAATGGTATAGAAAAAAATTCTAAATATTCACATAAAAGTCTTAACTAAAAATTCTATCATAAGGAGAAACAGTTCGAAAAAAAAAATTTTTTTCTCTTTTCATGTTAATAGAGACTAGATTCTGGGAAGCTAACTGAACTAAGTTTGAACGCGCCTCCATTTTCCTTCAGTCTGCCTCTGATCTTTGAATAGTTAAGATAATCCATAGACATTTATTTTTTACTTTAATCTCCACTTACTTCAATTGATTTAAAAGTGCCGCAGTCACTCCACTGCGTTAACCATAATTTTATCTTGGTTTCAAAAGTAACAGGATATCGATGTGACCGCTGTGCAAAACGATGCTTCATAATGAAAACGTGTGGTTATCAAAGCTTAAGATAATCCATAGAGACAAGTTGTTTCCAGAAAATGTGCAATTATTTTAAAAGAAGGCTAAAAATAGCACAGATTTAGTAACAGAATAGCAGTGCATAGGGGATTAAGTACATATATGAAATTTCAAATTCAATAGCTAAAAGTGGAAAATAGCGCAATATTGGAAAAAACTCTTACCTTGCCTGCGGTGTTTGTTGTTTTGTCAATAATTAACTAAAGTCAAAAAATAATGAGAAATATTCCCTTAAGCACCCATTAGTGTTTCGGTGCATAGGTGAGATAGCTTGTTATGTGGGGAGCAGATTGAACCACTGCAAGTCAAACAATTCTTAAAATACACCTGTTGATTTGAAAATATACATTTTCATTAACTGTTTTCTTATATTGAAAAAAACAAATAGGCTAGAAGACACATATGCTCATACAATTACTGTGAAACTTGAACACCGTATTAAGAATATGAATAAAAGTAAATAATGAGATTTCAAAATAAAACTAATTTTAAAAAATGTTGGTGTGGTATTGAGAATGTGCGAATGGTGCGACACTATATTTAATAATCTATCACTGATAATCTGTCGATCTGTTTTTAAAACTGGAGGGCGATTGGTGACATCAAAAGGCTTCAGTAGCTAGTGCCATAGATTTAAAAGTTGTGAGGAAGGAACCTCGCTATTGCAAATTTGTTTCAAGCTGTTACCTGTTATAATATTTTTTGTAATTTTCTATCTAAATTCTAAGGTTTATTAACATATTTGAGTCCTCAATCCAATCTTTAACTAACTTTCAGTGAAAATGCGATTTTCTGAATGAGGGAATCATGATACGAGAAAGGTTGTGAAAATCACTGATGATAAGCATATTGTGAAAAAAATACTCATTTGTTTCATTTTATTTCTCACAAAATCCGAATTGTTCCCGAAATTCTTCTGAGCCCCTTTAAAAAACGTCCTTTACTCCTCAAATTCGAATTTCAAAAATTAATTCACTCAAGAATTTTCTCCAACACCGATTTACGGCTTCACCATAAACCGTTAATGATATTGTTCTGATCCTCATATTTTCTAAAAAACCCTTTGCTATTCCCTAAAGCTTCCTTAACTTCTCGCCTAACCGCTCCTAAAGTTCTGCTATTCTTTTCCTTCAAGGTATTGGTGAGACCGATTTCAATTTTTTCCTACAGTTATAACCCATCTAAACAGAGTTGTAGCGATTTGGACTCACTTTTTTTTCCAGCATCTTTTGCACTGTTGCCACTGTCGCAAAAAATCGTGCTGACTGGTGGTATCGAAGAAATTGAAAAATATAGAATATTTAAATTTGCGAAATTTTTTAAATGTCAATATTTTTCTACTAAGTATTTTATTATATAATAAATAAAATATTCTATATTTTTATTTTTCTTTTCTTATTTCTATGTTTAACTTGTAAAATATCGATTATTTTCAGTAATTATTATGGCTTTTTGTTTCGATTTGTTTGGAACATTTCCTTTATTTCAGCATGTTATTTGCTGTTTGATTCCTTTCAGGCAATTTTATTTTAAACATTTTTCTTAAATTTTTTTGCGCTTAAGCCTTTCTCTGCTTACAAATGTTGTATGGTAAACGATTAGCGTTCACCACTTAAACTCACTACGCTGGCTGATAGTACGTTTTTTACAGGGAGTCAATTAGGAGTGCAGGCGGGTACCATCCGGATTTTTATTCTTGTTCATCTTCTTCTTCTTTATCTTTCTTCTGAAATATTTCGCTCGGTGCAAATCAAATTGTGCGGAGATATATTCGCTAACTGCCGATGCTGGAAGAGCGATATTGTGGTTATTGCATTTGCTGCATCGAGCTTATATAGCCATTTTTTTATTTCGTCTGTTATTTTTTTCAATATTCACTCGTTTAATACAGCTGAATCGCATTTATGTTTATAGTGCACAAAGTTTCAAAGTATCAACATTAGGTGCGACGAAAAGCGTTCATCTTTTGCATACGAAACAAAGCTTTATTCTCATTTCAAAATAGTTTGAATTATGAAGGAACCTTTCGTAAAAGTCGCAAAAGTGTTACTCGAACTCGAATGGTTTATATGATTTTTTAAAAAACTACGATATTTTATCGCAAAAGTCGAAGAGAGCACAGCTGCGTTTAAAAGCATTCGGCAGACACTTCTGTGTGCTTCATTTATTGTGTTTATTGCATTAGATTATTAAGTTTCCTCCTCAAATTGCTCCATTTTCTTGTGTTCGATCAGCTGAATAAAAATTTTAGTGCATACGAAGAAATGGAATATTAATGGCTTTAGGCGTCGAGGAGTGTGACATGTGGCACTGTAAAAACTGATTTGTCAACTCAGATGTTGGTCCATTCCTCCAACAGCATTCTCCATTTATGGTTGGCTGGCTTAATTGACCGATATGGTGGGAGTGTCTCGCAGAAGAGTCACTTGGAGGATGGAAATATAGGGGAATTCCCATTATGAGCCACACTGTGATTGGTCAAACTTATGAAGGCTTGGCTTGGCCTTAGTCAACAGCACAGAATCGACTATCCTGTCAATTCTACCAGTGATTGATGTGAATTTTTTCGACTCAGTCTAAATGATATAGGAAGGATATGGGTCAAATCTTTTTTCTCTTAATTCTTCATCGATAAAAGCATCGCGATTATTTTTAATGAAAAATTAACTCATGAATACAATTGGAATGAAACGTCATATTTATTCCTATTTAAAGAGTCATCGATCGTTTTTATTATTTCATTTACAATTCTCAATTTTTTCATGCACTAAATTTGTTCATTTAGAGAATTAGATTCGTAAATTTTTGTGATCGACGTGTCTCGGTGAGATCCTTGTCGCCATCATAAAATTAATTGCGGAATCTTTTAAGAAATTATTAATTTAAATTTTATATTTTTAATTGCTTCCTTGGCATCCTCGGTGAAACGGAGACAAAACTGAAATCTTTTTCCGAAATTTTTTGGAGGAAAATTGCTTTCTGTGGGATTTGAGGAGGTTTATTAGTTTTTGCAAATGCTTATAACATTCACAGTTTTTCTTATTCGGCTTATCGTATTGACCACAAAAATGAAAACGACTTGAGATAGAGGAGGGAGAGGAAGAAATCCTTAACACAACACGAATTTTACTTTTAATGGCAACGAAGAGACAGGAATCGAACCAATAATATTTGAACTGGCGATCAAAGCAATTGTATTCCTAAGTTTTCACAAATTGATCGTTTTTAAAAAAATTATTTCAGTTTTAAAGGGTTTTTTTGATTCACAAATGAAGCGATTAATTAATTTAACGATTAATTAATTTTTAAATTTGAAATTTCAATTTAAATGATATGTTGATAACTTCATTCATTGCATTAGTGAAAAGTCTTATAAACGAGATGGGTGCAAAAAGTTGTAGATGGAAATTGTTGCGTAATTATTGACCTGCATGAAGCAGGTCAATCATTTTCCAGAATCATCTTCATTTGAGATCTCAACTGCTTTAATCCTAAGGATTTATTCTTTAATCATGGTATGCAAAATTTGGATTTGGTGGTTACGAATCAAAAGGAAATGTTTTACGAGAAAATTGTCTTGGAAAATCTAAGAATTTTCAATTTTGTGGTTTTCAATAGTAAAAAGCGAAGTTTTTCAGAATTTCTCGAATGGTAGACGTTTTCGCTGCAAACTTCACTTTATATAATCCTCGACATTCTATCGAAGGTAAAATAATTAAAATAATGTTCGATATAGCAAATATGCCTTATACTGAATTCGACATTGAAGATGAAAATAGTCCACTGCCTAATGGTATGTATGGAAAATATATTTCATTATTCCATTTTAAAATAACAAACTTTAGTTGAAGTTAATAGTTTCCATCATTTCATTTCCGGTTAGATTTGCTCCACTGGCTACTAACAGGAAGTACTCCAATAATCGTTTGGTCTTCTTAATGACAATTTTACTCCTGTCACGGCAGAAGCCGAAATACAACGATTTCAATGGCAATCTAAGCCATATTATATGTGTATATATATTCGGCCATACTGCCTGTCCAGTGATCCTTTTCGGTTTTTAATGTATAATATGTTTATTCACAGCAGTTGCTTTTTCGCACTTTGCTTAATAATTCAATAATAAATTCATTAGAACTGCTACAGAATTGCTCGCTGCCGGTCAACCAGTACTTCGCTTTGATGGTTTGATAATATTCGGTAGCGCTGCTATTTGTCGACAATTGGGCTGGAGATTTGGTTGGAAATTTCTTGAATTTCCTATTTTCTATTTTACTGTGGTTCAAATTTGAATTACAAGGCTTTTTAATGGATATAGGTTTAAATGTGGTAAAATGAAACTATGATTTAATTTTTGATTTTAACTCTTGACTTGGAACTCTGTGTTGGAAACAATTTTTTTTCTAAAAACATTTTTCTCTTTTACAAACAAACAATATAAAAAGGAAAAAAAAGACGAATAAAAAACGATAAATCGAGATGTAGAATGGAATCGAAGTAAGGATTAGTTTTCTCCCTCCAATGTTTATTATAACAACTGGTTGAAAAGATGACCTTAAATAGTTTGGCGCGATTGGCTGAAACTAAACATTTGATGGGATCATCTAAGGAATGGGAGGGTATTATGGGCCGTTCTCGTACAAGATGGCGTAAATTATTTATTCTTAACTGATCCGAGAATCTGGTGTGGGAATCCTTGGAGGCCTTTAAGTGGTTTCAAGAAATTCTTGGGACTAAAACCATTTCCTATATAAATAATACTAAGATGTTGTGTGTTTTTTCATCCTTTCTAAGCAGGTTCGTTTATGCTTGATGTGAGCATTAAGAAAAATATGAATTTCTACTAAATAGAATTTTATTTAAAAGAAATTTAATAAATATTCTAAAGATTTCTCACTTCGGTTTCTAGTAGGGTAAATGATGAAACGTATAATCTACAATACTTTTGAGTCAAAAATTTTCAAGGAAGCAGTGGGGCTTATGGTGCAAAAAACTTGAGAACCAGCGCTATAGATGAAATTATACAGAAAGGTACAAAATCGATTTCGAATTTCAAGAATATTTACATCTTTTATAGATAAATGGGGACTGTGGTCAATGAAGGCGAACAGTGTCAATTATTTCGTTTTCTTCCGATGGAAGTCTTCTGGTTCATTTTGATTCTTCGAGGTCAATGCTGTAGGAATTCTAGGAATTCTTCAGTTTATCTGTTGGCGGATTAGTAGTGGTTTTCTAATTCTTATTTCGAAGGGATGAAGGCAACCTAGTGAAGTTATTCCCTTTTTATATTGACTATCCGGATTATGTGACCAAGCATTGACTATTTGAGTTGTGTGACCAAGCACTTTGTTCCTTCTGGTTTGCTGCTATAATCTAGCCATATGTTATAGATAAGGAGCTGTTATTGCTCAAAGAGGGAATATTGGCATCACAGCGGTAAACTAGTGAATATGCTTTTGAAGAAACATTAGCAAAACAAGAAACTGGAGAATATCGCTTTTATTCAATAACTTGATATAGTAAACACGTAAAAAGCAGTTGGCGGCGATGAAATAACTCGATTCTCGGTTCTGGTTCGTTCATTAATTGATCCTAATCTTAGTTCGTAGCGACAAATTAAGAAGGAAAAATTTTAATGGTAAGGTGATGAGGTATTGTTTTTCATTTCTTATTTAGATTTTATGAAGGTCTAAAGAAATTGTTATTAAAATGTTAGGAATTTTGATTTGTGATGAATTGGAACCATTTATGTAATTATGAAAGGTTTTATGATCATTTGAAGGAACAAATTGCTCATCAACATTGTTCATCATTAATTTTTTTTCATTGTGGTTCGTATAGATTATTGAGCCACTAGAAACTTGTCACATCTTGCTGATCTTGGCTGAAGATTAGATAATATCATCTTGGCTGATTGCGATTTGGCTAAATGCTTCTTCGATTTGTTTAATAGGATTTTCTCAATCGTAACAGAATTCTCAATCGCAACAGAATTCCATTTAGAAATGAGAAAGAAAAATAGGTTCTGAATACATTAAGCATCTACACAATTCAGTTCAAACTTTCGCAGTAACGTTTATAAACATTTGCGTTGCGAGTAAATTACAATAATTGATTAAGTTGCAAAAAATATATTATGGTTAAGTTTACATTATCCTATTAAAAGTTGCTAAAAATAGTGGAAAGATGCGACATACTTTGTAACTGGAGATAAATTAAATTATTACGAAATCCTTGTTGTGATTCCAGTTTTCAGCCTAATCTATTTCAATATCTAAATTTTGGTTTTTCATGAACATTTTGCTTGTTTTCGATCCAATTTAGTTTTTTATTGCAATTTATTTCCTCAGACTTTCAGGTCTAACCGGTGAAAATGCTAAGAGTGATGCAGTTGTCGATATGTTAGGCGATTTGTTTCACGAAGCTTGTTCTAAAATTGCGGCTTGGAGTGAATTAGCGACAGATGGTTATAAGGCAACAAATGTTAGCCTCTGAAATGCTCGTTCTTTTTTAATATTCTTATTCAGAATTAACTATAGTTTGAAACATTTTAGATTCAAACTCCTACTCTTCTTTACGCAAAGGAAAACATTTTACCGATATTAGAAAATTTTTTGCTTCATAATGATGTAAATGAATATTTGGTGGAAAATAAGGTTTGTATTCTTCGCTCTATTGAATATATATAAATGGCTTAATCTGTTAAGCTGAAAAGGAAAAGGAATTTCCCGCCATAGAAGTGGATATGGTAAGGAAATTAACATTTGGTATGCTATTCTGACCTCAGGCACCATGAGTTTATGCCTCTTAGCTTAGTATACCCTTTATTAAAAGCGTAGATATGGTACTGAAAACTACCTAATAAGTATACTTTTAATATCAAGTTTCTCTTTGCAGTAGGGGGGGGGGGGTGTGGGGTGCGGTTTAAATTATCCATTTTGAAGTAAAAGAAAAAGATTAAGGAAAAAAAATTTATTTGCTTGCAATATGAACTTGAGTGGAAAAAATTTCTCTATGCTCAATTTTTTAGTTAACCTGGGCAGATTTAATGGCCGTCTTATTTTTCAATGCTCTTCGTAATGCTGACGGCATGGAATTGCTCAATGAGTTTCCCACATCTCTAAGATATTTGAAGGAAATATCAGCGACTATCGAGTCAAAAATAAATAAATCCAGCTTCTTTTCAGCTATCGAGTTGCAAGATGAGTAGCTACTTTCATTTATCATTTTTATCATTTTTCATGCTCTTTTAGATTCTATTCTTATTTTAAATTATTGTTTCATGTATTTTTACAAACCTTTTTTAAAAACATATGCAGAATTTTATGATATTAATTTGTAGTATTAATTCTTGAAGATGAAAAATGAACAAATATTTTTTTTATTGAAATTTCGAACTTATGGATTTGAAATTTATGATCATTTTATCATCAGTTATGAACGTAGTTTTTTGGTAAAGCAGAAAGTGGCCAAAGATTATTCAGTTTTAAAATTAGAGTTCTTATGAATTTTTCTGAATATATATTGTGTTCTTAACGTTATAATTAAGCTTTTATTTTTCATAACTCAAATTTGATTTGAGTTGGGGGCAATCAAATTCGGCGTAAATTAAAAAATATGAAATAAGTTTGCGGTGTAACTGTGGGAATTGTAGAAATAAATGCTCAACAGATTTTCGCGCAGATTTCAACTTTAATAGCCAAATAATTATTTTTTACGATTTTAATTTATATATCGGTGATTGCAGCTAGGTAAGGCAAAAATCATTGATAATGATGTTGCATTATATACAAAAAATTGTATAACGGAAGGTTGAATGTATTCTCAGTAGGTTAATATGAAGTAGATCTCTAATACTAAAGTTTTATTAATGGAATTGAATCTTTCTTTGCAAAAAGGAGTATGAAATTTTTGATGATGGGATCATTATGGAATCACAAAAAAATTGAGAATACGCGAGAGTTCCCATTAAAAAAACGACATACGAGATATATTAAATTTCATCAATTGAAGAATCAGTAAAATACTTAATCGAATGGGTAAGATCAAAAATAATCAGCATAAAAAGAAATGGATAAGATGCGAATGTGGCAGGCAAAAGTCTGATGTAGTCGATTAAAATTTTCTTCTGATGGAAAAAGTAAAATAAAATGTAGCTTCAATGGAATGCAGACACAAAGCACCACGCATATTAACAAATGTTAACAAATCATATATCTGGAAACGTAAGATCTGAGATCTAAAAATACTTTTTCCATGGGGACCTTGATAGCAGTAGCTTTGATAATTCAGGGTTTGTTCGGGGTGTCTTCGACGGCACCATTTGTGGTGTGGATGGCCTGGACGAGGGTGCTCTTGGTGGCAGTGTCATTGCTGTGGTTTCTCTGGATGAATGTGCCTTTGGTGTTGTATCTCTGATGTGAGTGGCTTCAATATAGGGAAGATGTGTTATTAGTTATTAGGTGTCATGTTGGTGGCTTTGATAAAGATGGCTTTGATGAGGAAGAGTGTGATGAAAAAGAATCGAAAAAATAACGGCTGTGATAAAGGATCGCGAGGTTATTTTGATGGTGATGGGAAAGAATCAAATGGGAATAGCTTTACCGAGGACGGCTTTAATGAGAGCAGTTTTGGTGAGAATAGCATTGATGAGAGAAGCAGTGATGAGCCTGGTTTTGAAGAAAAAGAGTATGATAAGAAACTTTTAAAGGAGGATGGCATTGAAGAAAGATCGTGAGATGATGTTGGCTTTGCTGAAAAAAGTTGGGTTGCGGAAGTGTTGAATCGGACCTTCTTTAACAATGATCGTGTTGAAAAGGGTGGTTTTGATGAGGAAGTGCTGGGCATCGATGATGAACGGTGTGCCAAATAAAGAATGGATGAAAATTGCGTTGGTGGGAATGCTTTGATGACCGTGACTTTGCTAGCGAGGACCGGAATAACTGTAGCTTTCTTTTATCATCGCTTCCAACCACTTTAAAACGAACTCGGTAACCATTTACTTCTCTTCCATTAAAAGCCTTTGCTCCCTCTTCAACTTGTCTGAAAATGGTGTAAATCACTAAATTTACTAATTGAAATATAGATTTGTGCCGAAAAGTTATAATTGATTGAAAAAATAAACCGAAAGCATTTTTTGCTTCTTAACTATTTGTTATAAGCTTTATAAATTATAAGCTTTTTGACAAAATACGAGATTAAATTATTAAAAATGAAATAAATTGTGAATATATATTCATTTTTCTCAGTGGATCGTTGCTCTTATATCGAAGCCGAATTTCAAAAATCCGCTGCAGACTCATCTGCTCTTGCTCAAGCAACTCCTTGGCAAAATTCATCTAGCCTGGCCAGCTATCTTAATGAGCCAAACCAGAAATAATGGATGATAGAATAAGAATTAATTCATTTCCTCAGATCGCAACTTTAGCCTATACTGGTATGTAGATCACAAAGTTCAGATAGAGCAACCTTAAAATTCATGTTTTAGATAAATGATATAGATCACTTCGGGTTAAAAAACTAGAAAAAAACAGAGCGTGATTCGTAAGCTATACATATGAGAGTGCCGTAAAGAGATATACGGAAGGACAATTCACTCACAATCATTTCTAGCGGCATATTTATACAACGAATGAAACGATATTTTGATGCATCTAGTTCTTCATGTCTGTTATAACTGTTATGTCTATTATCCATTGTATAACAAAATAATCAAATAATAACTAAAAATCTATATGAATGGCACTAAATAAATTACTAAGCAAAGAATGAAATAAAGCATGAACTTACCTCAGGGCAAAGTGTTTCAGGCTTTGTTCTACAGTTTTCAAAATATATATATATCTTGAGCCAACGATAACTCAATCTAACCATAAAGCTATATGTAAAGCAAAGATGTGATATACTGCAGATGTAAAACATGAAAAAAACCGTGAAGATTATTCGTGGTAAAATCACTAATTAAGCAACATTCAGGAATAAAAAATGCCCGGAGTAATTTCAGTAAGTTGGGAATGTTATGTCAAAATTGGCTAGCAATTTTATAAGTAAGGCAAATTTTAAAATTAGCCAAATTGGGCCAAAAAATTAGCCGAGAAATCTGAACCCTATCTGCTTTAATTTTTTTCCTTGAAAATGTCTTCAAAAATTATTGATTTTATTTTGTAGCAAATTTATGAAAACTATCTTTACAAAGGATAGAATCTCTAGAACAATCGAAAACTTTGTTATTGTAAAGTAACTAAATACATGAGAATGTTCCGTACCAAACTGCCTTCCCCCTATGCAATCAATAAGGACGTCCGACAGCCCGGTGCGGGGCTCGAACCCGCGACAGCCAGATTAAGAGTCTGGTGATCTGCCTACTGAGCTAACAGGGCTGCGGTTGCCACTTGATAGGAATATATTTTAGTTAGAGTATATTTTATATATTTAGGAATATATAGGAATATATTTTACTTTATGGATGTTTGAAGGCAATCAAAACACAGGACATAAGTAATATTGCCAGTTTCGTGAATGGACGAAGTATACGATTTCAGTAGGTATGAATTCCATATTAACTCTATTTTTAAAGCTGACAAACAAAAAAAATCGTTAGGCAACTTGATCCTATAGCTAATGTTTCTAGTGAATAAATTGTAGATTTACTTCCATTTCTAACCGCTTCATTTTATTTTTTCTCTTTTTTTAAGAATCCTCACCATTAATAGTTAAACTCGTTCCACTGGCTTGTCACATTTGAGGCAATATGCGTTGGCGATAGAAATACAGATGAGTCGCCAGCTTCATTTTATTGTCATTCCTTCAACTGCAAATATACTAAGGACTTCTTTATTCGTAATATTAATTACTGGAATAAACTACCGAAGGATATAGCTTGTGCGCCATCTCTTTAAAAAAGGAATAGATAATATCATAAATTCACTTCCTGCGTGAAGTGAATTTTTAAAACTGTTGTTATTAATACAAGCACATGGCGTTTGCGCCCTGTTTCGCTGGTTTTCAATAAATAAATAAAATTAGCACATTTTCAGTCGAAAATTAGAACCATAAATTTATGCAAGTGAAGCTGAGACCAAAGCTGAATTTTTTAAGTAGGTCTGTATTGAAATTGAATTTATTTATTTTGAATAAGTAGTAATCATAAATAATTTGAGAGTAATATTGATCGGGTGGTACAGTTATTTCGATCTCTATACCAGAGACTCGATTTCGTTAATCAAAAGCTGCAATTAACAAAATTTCAGGTGATATTGCTACAATATTTATATTGCCAAGTAAAAATCTTTTTATCACGCTAGCAAACAGCGGAATTATGCCAACCCGAAGTGAGGATTAACCAATTTTTTTGACCACAGTTTCGTATTAATTGCTGTCGTTAAAAATTTCGCGCACTATTTTATAACGTGAACAACGATTTTCAAGAATCACAAAACTGGTTTTCTTGATTTCAGTCGGAATTTCCAAATTTTTGATTGAATACGCGAATTCTTATTTTTGCAGTGTTGCTTCATTCTTTGTCGACAATTGTGGCAAAAAACGTTGCAACTATTCAGAGTTTTGTTTCTTTTTTTTAAATTAATGAAGTAGCTCTCTATCTATCTACTGCTACCTTTTATTCATCTTAAATCTTTTTTGATCGTAATAAAGTGTTTTTGCAGATTATGGCTGTGATGTTGCTGATGATTGTATTAATTCTGATATTCATAATGTATGGAAAAAAAGTTATTCTACGCATTAAACAATATATACGTGTCTGCACTTTGATTGATCCCATCCCAGGTCCGAAGGCTATCCCAATTTTAGGCAATGTCTACAACTTGAAGTGGGACGCCGAAGGTATCCTTGAAACATTTTTATTGAAAAAATTAAAATATGGAATTTAGTTTATTCTGTTATCAAATTATCGTATTAAGAGAAAATTATTGAGATGCTTTTAATGCTTGCGTAGTCATCGTAATAAACTGGCCAAGAAAAATATTGCAATTTGCTTCTTGCAAGACTTATTGCTGGTAGAAGCCCTATTTAATCGACCAGCTATTTAATCGCTCTTAAATACATGCATTTAATTTTGCATTATTAAGTATACTTTTCAGAGTTTACTTATCAAATGGAATATTATTTTCGGAAATATGCATATGTGAACGACGGAATTTTGCGATTTTGGATTGGACCCGTTCCAATCATTTTTCTCAGTCGGCCGAAGACTGTTAAAGTTTGCATTTCGTCTATGTGCAAAATACATCGAACGATAGCACGTTATATGGTGGTATATATGCAGTTTTCTATTTTCTAATGAGCTAATTTCAGATTATTTTGGAAAATTCAAAATTGTTATGGAAACCGCCGGAATATAGTCTTTTGGAGCCAATATGGGGAACAGGTCTTATCACTAGGTGCTTAATTAGTTTAGTTCAATTAGTTCAGAGTTTAGATGATTAGATGATTTGTAGTATTTGTACAGTAATCAGTAGTTATCGATACATTATAATTTGTTCGACTTTTTTTTAGCTCTGGTGAAAAGTGGCACCAAAGACGTCGAATGTTAACTCCGGCATTTCATTTCAAAATGCTGCATAATTATCTAAAGGTTTTTAATAAACAAGCCAAGGTGCTTTTTTCCAGTATTTCTTTTTCAAGTCAAGGGTTGCATATTTTGTAGCTTAATAAAATGAACTTTTTGACTCAATAGATGGCCTTTGTAAGATGAAATTTTAAAATAATGCTTGATTTTATGGTGATATGAAAAATTAGTGAAATTTTGGAAATTTTTGATTCATTTGTTTGTAAACTGCCTAAAGCGCTTTAGGCACATGGTGCACATTGCTTTTCATATACAGAGTCCTATCGATATCTTTATAGATCTTAATTGAAGCGTTGGCATCGCCTTGCGATGAAAAGATCACTTTCGATCTTTTGCCTTACCTCCGAAGATTTTCTTTGGATACTATTTCAGGTGAATTTTTGCATTTGAATATCCAACAATTTTCAAAGTTTTCGATGAATAGATTGATTGATTTTTTAATCTCTGCAGTTTCATTGTTCTTTACATTTGTAAACTTGTACAATGAACTACAGACGATTTATATTTACATCACCTATGCTACATCACGTGGAAAGTATTAGGAAAAATTACTCAAAAAACTTAAAAATGAATAAAATCGATATCAGTCGATATCGATATTGTAAAATCAGTCACCATATAAGTCATGAGTTCTGAGGGATCAACTTTTTTAGAATAAAATCACTCTTTATTGTTAAATTTATTTTGACCGATTTTTGAATAATATTTTACTTGTTTTGTGTGGGAATGAAACCAAATCAAAAGTTTAGAAACTGCTATGGGGATGTCTATCAATGCTCAAAAAGGAGAGAACGAGAATTTCTATTTAGCGGTGACGAGAATATTCGATCTATTATTCAAAAATTTACGATATCCATGGCTATGGATAAAACCAGTTTGGTATGCAATGGGCTATGGCTACGAATTTGACAAACATACCAAAGTTGTTGTGAATCTTGTGTCAAAGGTCTTATAAATTTAATCTAGAAAATAAGTAGATTTGAATCTTGGCTTTTTTGCTTTGACCGATAGTGAATAACAATTTTAATGAGCTCAGTCATGTTATTAAAAGCTTAATATCTACATTCTGGATGGCGCTGAAAAGCCACGTGTACTACTCCCCTCAAATAACTCTCTAAAAAATTTTTCAATTCCCTAACAGCTAAAGGGAAACCAGAAATGATAAGTGCTGGCATTATTTAATCACTAACAAGTGAAAAAATGGGAATGGCAACGATAATTTGATGGATATTTGATCAGCTGAAATAAGCGACCACCATAGTCAATCAAAAGCTTTAATTCTGATCTTAATCCCTTTAACGAATTGGTAAAAAAAGGAAAGGATGACTCAAAAAAAGCTAAATCGCCGAATACATGGCAGTGATCCACCTAAATTTCTATCTCCATCCATTTCTCTTACGATAAGATTGCATTTTAAGAACAGTGATTAGTACAGTCAATCAAGCCGTGAGCTGGTAAAGGAAAAACAGCTCCGCATAAAAATAGGCCGTAATAAATGCAATTAAAAGCAAATCCTATGTCCCATAGAAGGCGAAACAGATAGTAATTCAAATTGTCGTGTGGAAGAGCAAGAATTCGACAGGATTAAATCTCTCATCAAAATTAGGGTGATTCTAGTGATTTACCTATTTTTTTCCATCGCAAAAATTTCTAACCATAATGAAGCCTGCTCGTTCTCGAAATCATTTGCAACCATATTTTATTCTATACAAACTAGTAGGTTGTAGCAGAAAGGACCAAGAATTTCAATAGTCTGGAGATACCAGATTTCGAACAAATTGCTGAGTCTGGCAAAAAGAACCTTGCATTCCTCGACTTGTTATTATCATTAAAACAGGATCACAAACTTACTGAACATGATATACTGGAGGAAGTTGGCACATTTTTGATAGCAGGTAATTTGAAAAACTTTTGCAACTAAATTCTCAACTAATTTTTTAGTCAAAATCTTAATCTCTTTAAATACTCAAGTACTCTAAATTTTTTAAATGTCTTAATCCCAAATCTTACACTGTATCTTAATTTCAAGTAAGGTAAGGAGGCAACAATTTTCACTTATTTTCACTTACTTATGGAAACAAAAGACTATAGGTTATGACACCGTCTCAAGTAGTATCGGTTTTGTACTATTTCTTCTTGGACATCGACCGAGTATTCAAGAAAAAGTCTACAGAGAGCTGAGAGATATTTTTGGTAAATCTATATATATTATGAATCTATATTATGTCTAGAAAATCTTAGACAATTTTAAACAGACCATTATCACACTGAATGCCTCTATTCAGCAACTTTTTTTTCAAGACCGGAATTTCAACATCGAATCTCCGAATTGAACAACAATCCACTGAGCTATTCTGATCTCATTTACTTTCTCAGTTAGCTGACAGTATTGTCTGAAGAAAAATGGCGTATCGACGAATTTGAACCCAATCCTCAATGACATTTAGTTTGCCACTGAGCCACCATTTCACCTCTAGTTGACATATTTTGAGGAAATAACTTAATCATAAAAGAACGTATATAAAATTTATATAATAATAATTCTACAACAAGCTTTATTGGGGTCGTTGCCTGTCCCTTCCAAGTTTTTGTTGTGTCATAATTCATTATTTTTAGCTTAACTGCCACTGCTAACTAATAGAAAAAGAATCATTCAAAGATATAAATATAGGTGATCTTTATAGCTAATCAGATTCCACTTTTAGGGACAGATTTTATTAAGTGAGAAGAATTGGTTCTATGAGTTCTCGAACTAAATTAAAAGAACATACCAGTAACCATTTAATTAACTTTTTTATCGAACAGTTTTCTTCCATTTCTTCCATTTTCATTTTCACATCGTTCTCTTTTTCTTAATGGAAAATTTTTAAAAAAGATGTTGAAGGTGAAACCGATCGAGAAATCACTAGGGACGATTTGAAGAAGATGAAATATCTTGAACAATGCATGAAAGAAAGTATCCGTTTGTATCCAACAGTTGTTTTAATCGGACGTCGCATTACACAAGATATCGAAATAGGTTGAAAATTCTATAAAAATTCCCAAAATCTGTTCTAAATCAAAGTATATTTAAATAAATTTTTATTTATCATGGATCTAGCATGATTGCTTTTATAGGTGGTTATACGATTCCTGCAGGAGTAACAGCATGTATCTCTCCATTCGCTGTTGCGCGTGATCCTGAGGTCAGATTTGACTGCATTAAATTTTTTATTAAATATACAAAAAAGCAGACAATTAGCATTACAATTTTTATCAATACTTCTATACTGCTGCATTTCAAGCTTTAGCAATGGAAGAATCCAGAAACGTTCGATCCAGAACACTTTTCAGCGGAAAATATTGCTAAGCGAGATGCATTTGCTTTTATACCATTTTCGGCGGGTCCTAGGAATTGCTTGGGTTTATTTTTCTAATTTTTATTAATCCATCTTTTTGTTTATTTTTTACTGCATTTTTCAGCTTATTTTTTGCAAATTTTTAAAAGATAAAATAATTTGTCGACAAAACCAAGGACTTTTTGAAAAATTTCGCTCATTAATCCCCACTTTAATATTTAATATTTGTTCTTTGCCTATTTGATCGAAAAAGATATTGATATTTTCAGGCCAAAAATTTGCAATAATGGAAGAAAAGATAGCTTTAGCATATGTATTAAGAAAATATCGAGTAATTTCTATGATCTGTGAAGAGGAAAATCGGGCTTTACCTGAAGTTTCATTAAAGCCCAGCAAAGGCTTTCCGATGCGCTTCGAGCTAAGAAATACATAAAACTTTGAAATTTCTACTTTATTCTCTTTAAAATCAACTTTTATCGTCGATGAATATTTTTTTCCATGTTTTTTTAAGAGAAATAAATGAAATTAGGCAGATGTACGACAAAAAAAATTTTTTTCCCAGCTTTCTTTTTTCACTCTCGTCGCTTGAAACTAAGTCATATGGCCGAAATTGAAGCACAATGGATCTCCTTCCTTGAGTAATACTACTATCAGGAAATCAAAGAGGTGCTGAAGATTCATCTATGCATCTGTTTACAAGTGCCTTATCTTAAAAATGGATCTAAAGAATTTTTATATTTAGTAACACTAGCCGAATTAGAAATAATGAGTGCTGTTAGAAAAGAAATGAAGAAAGTGCGACATTGAAATAAGAGCTAGATGGCACAAATGCAAATAGGTTTCAAAAAATTAAACCAACATCGAAGAATTCGCACAGCCACAATCTAGATCTTTGTTTTCAAAGATTTTTAAAGATTTTAAGATATTTCTTCGTTTTTCCTTTTCTATCCGAATATTTTTCAAAATTTTATCAGAAATTTTACAAGAATTTTTAAATCGACAGCTTTGCAATTAAGCTGTCCTTTAATTTTTCTCAACAAAAGAGAATACGGAGAATACCATGAAATATTTGAGTGAGTAAGCCGTTCCACCATCATAATCCATCCGTTTCGAAAAAGCGAACTAAAAATTTGGTCAAACTAGGTTACTAGGTTGGAATAAATTTATGCTGATTTCTACTTTTCTCAATTCCGTGTTGTTCCTCGAAGACTTAAAAAAATATTTTTTGTCAGTTTTTCTGCAATTTGATATAAAGATGATATAATGCAAGTAAAAGCCTTTTTTTTCTTGTTTGAACATGATTTGACGATTTTTCTATACTTGAAGGCAGAAAAGCTGAAAGTGCAACTCGGTGCTGGAAATACACATGTAATTTCTACCCTCAAGCTCTCTCTGACAAAGATACGCAAAATTTCAGAAATTTAGTCAATCAAAAATAATGTTCTTAGGAGAAGAGAATGACTATATCGAAAAAAGAGAATCAAGATGAAACAACATTTCAGACTATATGAAAGATACTGACTTGTGAAAAATAACAATTATAACAAATATTATAACAAACATCAGACTTAATTTTTTTAAGCAGGCAAACCCGAAATGAATCTAGGAAAACTTGTTGGGTGGTGTTGGTGATGCATATTTATTCCCAGATGATCCCTTGGTAAAAACTACTCAGCCTGTATTAGCAGCTAGTACAACGAATCAAACCAGAAATGGTAAGTGCCAACCACTTAAATTCAAAGTAAAAATAATAAATACTTGGCTTACGATGGCCGCAAATTTATCCCTTCTCCATTTCACTGATAACTAGAAAAATATTTTTTTTTACAAAAATGATTAAACCACTCGTGAAAATGGTGTAAATTGCGAGATGTCACAGAGAAATTTCTTAAAAAAATTTGATGTTCGATGAATCAGTTTTCATTTCCAACCAGCCTACAGTTAGTCCGTCAAGTCATTCGATTATTTAAGTGTTTTCTGCGCGATTTTCGAGTTATTCAGGACACTCACTGAATTATATAACTTTCTTAAATTTTTTAAATTTGTTCTTGAGAAAGCAGCAAATTTACTTCAACTTTTTTCTTAGTTGTTTTTGCTATTAATTTTTTATTTATTTATTGCTTTTGGAGAAAAAAGGTTGCATAAATTTTAAATTTGCTTTGTATATGGTTCTCAGTGGAAGCTGAAGACCTCCGAAATTTTCTTTCTTCAAGATCCTTCCCATAGTACTACTGCGTAATATTTAAATGTATTCAAAAGTTTCTCAGTTTTAATTTCTAATATTACAAATATCGAAAGGTATATCCCATATAAACAAATGTTAATTATTACGGAATTTTCAATTTTTAGGAGTTCTAGAAGGGATCTTCGGAGCAAAAATTTTAGAATCACTGTTCTGCAATAAATTCTCCTTGATTGTTTGATTAAGACAATAAAGAGTTTCTCAGGAATTGATATTTTTTCTAGGTCTTATCCACACTTTTGTAAAGTTTTCAAAAAGAAGCAGCAGTAACCAAGTACGACAAGCAAATGTTCAAAATATTTATTTATATTTACATAATATATAAGCTACTTACATAAGCAATCACGATGTTAGCAAATTGTACTTTTTAACTCGTTAAATCTTGCAGAAGCCTTTTTTTAAGGAGTTATTTTGTTCTAAATTTGTGATCTATAAAACGCTTATAAATCGCTGACTAATCACGCAGGTAATGTCGACATTCTTCTCAAACTAGCTTTCTAAACTGATTATTTAATTTTTCAAAAATGAAAAAATTTTGATTTTTTACTTATATTTTGGATATTCACCAGTTTTTGAGGATTTATGGCAGAAGATTCCAAATGAAGAGAGAATTTTCTTTTTGCAGCAGTTTTAATAAGTATCATAACTTTGATTACCTCTTTATACAATACTTTAACAAGATTATTCAATAAATTTTTGGCATAAAAGGAACGCACTTTTTGGACAACGGGTGCTTATTTTGCATATATGTATATGGCTAAAAATGCATGTGGTGGACTATGTATTTCTAAATATGTTCATTCTACAATTCTCAGTGAGCAAATGCAGTTGGATCGACGAAATTACTAAATTCTTTCAAAATTCCAATAAATTTCTTGACAAAGGTAAATATTTAATAAAATATTTCGATAACAGTCTAACAACAAGAGAAATTGGTATTATATTGGTGCTTTGATCATGAATTTTTATATCTTTGCGTCTCGATTGCTTCTTCATTGTTTAATCTGAACTATCCTTGGGGAACCATTTAGCTTTTTCTCAAAGAACTAATCTGTGTTTATCAAAACAAGAATTCAAGAATAAAAAAATCGGCTAAATTATAATAATAATTCGCATTAATTGCTATTATGAATTCATTAAATGATTGTAAACCAGCCATATTTTCTTGTTCTTTCTTCGCTGATTAAATAAAATTCAAGTAAAGTTTTCTGGTAAAAGATTACTTGGCGAAAATGATCCTATTATTGAAGCGAAACTTAGACATGACCTGGGACCCATACTTTTATTTTAACTGCTTCTCTAGCCAAAGGATCTCATAATCTCATAATAATAGAGCAACCATACCCAGAAATGGTGAATGTTGTTAGAAAGAGGACAAGGACTGTGCATCATTCGCTTGATCCCTCTCGCTTAATGGTTGTAAACTTGCCATAAATGAAACTGATTAATGATGGAGGCTCATAACAAATAAAGTTTAACCAACTATGATGCTAAATTTCTGAACGTTAACAAAGTGAAATATAAGCGATTATTACTAATTAAACTAGGTATGATAACTGGGAAATGCATTTTAATTCTCTTAGTGTTTTATAGAATTTCATTCTACAATAAAAGATGCCGGGAAAATTCTGCAAAAATCGAAAATTTTCATGCACGAGTTATCTAAAAATATCGAAGAAGAAAGCAAAAATTTCAAGGCATCTGTTCTGAGAATTACTGAGAGGACTTTGAAAGGAGCTGGTGATGAAGTAAAATTTAAAAATTTATTACAGGCATCATCGATACCATTGTTAATTTTGTATATATATGTATATATATATATATCTTATATACATATATATCTTAAAATACCTTAAAATAGGTTGTCAATTTCTTTGATGGTAAAATGAGTCGATGGACAAACAGCCTAAAAACTTTTCCTATAATCAGTCCAATAATCCTTCAAGATACTCTTCGACAATATCCCCTTCTTCGCAACCTACCGTCATTTATCCCTTTGCAAAAGCAAAACCTCCAATACTCATTTGATTTTTTTCTAACAACTTCACGATTATTTTATTTATCATTTAAAAATTCTCTCATTTATGAAAATCAACTAGATTTTGTTTGAACTGGTGTTTTAAAAATATTTATTGCCAATGTTCTTAATCATCTATTTTAATAGATCGAAGATTTCTTCGGCGAAGTGCCAAATACCGTTGCTGAAAAAGTAAACAATGGTGTAGGAGGATTGTTAACAAAAGCTGATGAAGGCATATCGTGGATCTTCAGAAATATCATTGTTCCAATAATTTCATTATTTATTCTTATTGCACTAATTTATTTAGCGGTTATATCCGGGTAAGGTTTATTTTTTTGCTTAAGTACAATAAATCGAGTGAATGAAGTTATTCAAATCCTTCGTTATATTGATCATTCTTAGTAAACCGTTGACGATCTTTGCAAGCACAAGAACCTCATGACAAGTTAAAATACAACGCTAATCTTATCCCATTATTTTTTAATTATTTTTAGTAATAATTAATTTATCATTAATAGCACCACAAAACTGTTTGCCATACCACATGCAAGTGAAAATGCGAATAATACTAGGAACTCATCTATACTTTTATCTTCGAACCTGAAATGAGTCCCTAGCATAATTTTTTCATCGCAACAGCCTTTACAGCAAGTCTTCCCAGTGATAACATCTAATAATTGTTCAATTTACTTACAGAACTGCTCCTATGTTTTGATAATGAAAATTTGCATTTGGTTTTATTTTATCCTTCTCGTGATTTGAATTTAATTTGCCTAATTTATTTTTAATTTAGGTGCTGTGGCTTTTGCTGCTCGTCGTGTTTAGCTCTTTTATGTGAACCAGTTAGAAATCGCTTTAAGAAAACTGGTAACACTGTTAGCAATGAAAGATTTGTAATAGTTTGCAAATCTACAGATGATAGTGTACCACTAACTTATGTCTAAAACTATTATTTAAAGACATTCACTATATCAGGTCTCCAAAGAACTTTCGTCATTATTATACGATGCTTGCTTTACTATACCAGGTAGCAAGAAAGTTGTCGCGTACATTGATTAATTATATTTATAGATAGATTTACATTTTGTTTATTTCGTTTAAAATATATAATTTTTATAGAAATGACGAAGATTTGTTATATATAAAAATTCATCTATCACCAATAATCAATGTCCTTTTTAGTCTTCTGTTAACAGTTTGCTTATTAGCGAAATAACAAAACTTTTTGCCGCAATGGAGTTTTGGTAGTTCAGAGTAAAAAAATTTACGTAGGCTTCATCAACCTTTCTACCTGAATTATTTAAGACAATACAAAACACAAAAAGCTGTCGTTCATTTTTCTGTAAAATAGTTTTATAGAATGTCGCTGTCAACAAAATAATGTTGAAATTTTAAAATTAAATTTTGAATAAAATTTTCTGATTTTATTTGGCTAAAGTTTGGGGCCACGAGTAAATAGATTAGGTCCATCTGATTACGAAATCCATCTTGGTTGGAATTATGAATAGAATCGCAAAAAACACAGATGGATGGATAGGCATGAATTTTACGCAATTTCAGTCAATTTCTAAAGAAAATCGAACAAAGTTAGTTGAAATGCCTCGATTTACAATGGTCCTTGTGCAAATAATGCATAGCGGAATTCGCGCAGAATTACTTCTTGCTCAGTGCAATTATCCCGATGTTTATCATTTTTTTCAGATATTGATATTTGCTTAAAATTTTTTAAAAATTTTTTAGCTGTCGTGCTGAAAATTTATCAGCCAATTGTTTATCGATTAATATCGTCAAAGTAAATTGATTAATAAGTAAATACAGAAAATAAATTGATGGTGAAACTGTGAAGATTTATTTAAAAAATTATTTGAATATTTCAAGCCGTAATCACCTTTATTTGATTTCTGATGAACTGCTTAAGAAAGAACCAACTGCTATTTCAATTAGATGCCTAAATGCCCACCTCGCAGAAAATCGCTGAAATCGGTGAATGATAACATGCTATGAATTTGCTTAATATTGCCTATTAGAAAGCAAAGAATATTATTATTTAAAAATACTTGAGAGGATATTTAAAAAATATGTCAAAAAAACCATTAATGCTTTTCCTCCTGGGCTGAAAACAATCTTTTAAATTCTTATTTTGCATTTTCGAACCGTTGATTTTTGAAAGAAATTATGCAGTTTTATACGCAATTAGTTTTGAAACATGATCAACAATGTGAAAAAAATTAAAAAATATGCCGAAGATGACCCAGTAATTTCTGAATAGAGGCTGAAACTTTTATGGCATATAGGGCGTCATTACCATTTTTATACTGAAAACGATTTTTTCACAAATCCGGCGATATGAGTTTTCTACTGAGGAAATTTGGTTGCATAGAGATATTGAGTTCACAATGTTTCTTACGAGTTCTAAAGACCATCTGCCTCACATCTGCCCCGTTGAAAAGAGCATTTGACGACAATATGATATGACTGATCAACGACATTAGCCATTAGAGTCAATTAACCCTCGTTATCTGATAATTTTTTTTCTTTTAAAGAATCCTCACCACTACTGGTTAAACTCGCTCCACTGGCTTGTCGCATTGGGCAATATGCCAGGGAGTCCCTTGGCGATAGAAATACAGGTGAGTACCACTCGGATTTTTGTACAGGTTTACTCCTGCGGAGAACCTCAGCACCGGCCCTTCCAATTTAGCAACAACCCACTGAGCCATTCTATCCCTGATAATTAATATTAATTAAATATTAATTAAATAGATTAATTAAATATCCATTCTATATTCACTTGTACTTGTTGCAACAAAAGTTTATTGATAACTGATTAACTATAGGCAGCTTAATCACAGTAATTTGAACAGCAGTGAAGAAAGAAGTGTATATAAATATAATATACATATGCCAAACTTTTTAAGAAAATGCCGAAATAAATTTGGAAAGACTGAACAAAAATTGAAAATCAAGAAAAAAAATGTGAATGGAAGTTTCTGCCTTCAGCAGTGAAGATGAATAAAAATAATAAGAGACGATGGGCAGTGAACGACAAACAAAAATAAAAAATTGTTTCGATCCCAAAAAATACAAATATATCGATATTGAGCAACAAACATCTGGAACAGATTTTAAACCTCAAAATAATTCACTAATAACAAGCTTCCTGTCGACTTCAATTCCGTTCAACTGACGTTCAAACTGACTTATCTCACTTAGAATAACATTTTTAATAATATCAGGATTGATCTGAAGACCCGATGGGACGGACAGTTCGAGAACGAAGCGCACAAGTAGGTCATTTCCACTGAAAACAATTCTTGTAATTATTTTTTTATATTTAAGTTTTGTTCTTTATTTAGTCATTCAAGCTGGAATCCTTCGCTTTCGACGGAAAAGTTAGAACAGCGTTGGCAAGGAAAATATAAATATTCTATTCAACCCATATTCCTCAATTTATCTCTTTTAAAAACTGAAAGAATTGAAGAGATGAAAAAAAATTAAATCTTTGAATAAAATCAACTGCATAAAAAATGTGGAATTTTCAACATTACATTGCAAAAAAAAGTGGGACTTATAGCCTAAGGATGAATAATTTGATTAATTTTGATAAACAGCATAAAACGATAACATAGACCGTCTTCTCTTTAATGGAGACGAACTTCTCTCTGGGTGATATTGGCGACCCGTACTTTTATCCACAAATGATTTTTCTGGCGAAAAGTCCACTAAGTCCACAATACCGCTTACTATATTTAGCTAGTTCCTACAGTAAAGCAATATAGCCAGATTTTAGCTAGATTACAACATAGACAGATTGTTATGTTAATGTTTAAATGATTAGCATAAATTCATTTGAAAAAAGTATAGGCCGAAACAATTGAAATATAATAAACCTATTTTCGATGTTTCGCATTATTATATCTCTCATATAATAATTAAGTGTTGATCGTTTCAGAAGATTTCTCATCTGAAATTTAATTTAACTGTACAAAAGCACTTTAGCACTTTTCTATATTAAAAATTTAAATTAAAAACTAATAAACTGATTGGAAAGGAATGGTCAAGTGATAAGCTTCAATCTGCATCGATTATCGTACAATTGATTCACTGACTCTGAAGTTAAACCTGTCATTAAAAAAAATCCGGGTGACATTCTAATCGTACTGTCAGTGAATCTAACCTAACCAAAAATAATGCCAATTAATAGTCGGTAAAATAAAATTGATTGGATTAGTCATTTTATTCAGTAGTTTATTATTCTTTGTAGTTAATTGTTAATTTAATTGTTAATTTAAATATTAAGAAACAAATTAGACGAGTGTTTGTAGTTTAAATAATTGTTTCGAGCATTATAGCAAGAATGAAGTTGTCGTCAAAAAAATTTGGAAGGTGCTATGGGGCCCATCGAATATTTCTATCTATCACTAAAAAAATCTCGTATTTACATCAGGCAGAATAACCAGAAACTAACAAGAAATGAAATGTTGAGTAGTAACTTTACCCTGTTTTTCATACTATCTTTAGCTAATGAAGAATCATATCTTAAATTGCTATTCTCCAGAGCTGCGATCCTGACTAAGAGCATTCTATTCGAATAAAATTGAATGAAAGAGAGAAGTGATATGCAAAAAATTAAAAGAGTGGAATTTCTTTGAATTAATACAAACCGCTATCAGAATCATTTGAGAAGCACGCTGGTACTCATAATTTGATGGATTATCGTAGGCAGAATTTGCTTGACTCAAAACCTGTAAATCGAGCAAAAATGTCCGAGACTGCAGTAGATCAACGGGTGGAGGCAACATATTTGAAGGTACACGTGGATATTGTGATGATAAAACGTTTGGTGTTGTAGCAGATATTTCTTCATGCCGATAATTAATAATGATCACTGAAAGTTTTAAACGAAATAACATTTAATTTTTTACGAAGTCAATTAAAACGTAATAAAATAAACGTAAAAGTAGAAGCATTAATACTAGAACTGTTCGACAAGAGTAGTTATTAATAAGACTAGTCGGATACCACATTTACTGCAAAGATTACAACTATATTTTACTGAAAATTAGTTTAGTAAAATTAGTTTAAAATTAGTAAAAATTTTCATCAAAAAAAAATTCTCTCCCTTACTTTCTGTGGGTGATGCAGGTCATACTCAGCCTCGGGTCTTCTACCAGAGGTTCAGGAGATTGAGGCAGATAAGAGGGTCTCACTTAGAACCCTCATAGAGAGGATGGTTGCGATTCGAATTACATTCCATATTAACCGTCGGCTTTAATCATTACACTATTCCGGCAATGATTACATTTCTATCTAAAAAAATCCCCCTCTCACCATGTTTCCCAGCTATTTTATTCAGGAAACTCTGTTGCTCAGTTTGGAGCACCAATGCAGAGATTCTACGCTCAGTAGAAGTAAGCATGCCAACAGCCCACTGAACTTTTCTACTCCTTTTTATTTTTGCCATTCGGCCATATGGCTGCTGGATGGTGCAGATTAGTTTTAATATTTTAATTAAGTTATATAAATAAGTCGTGATTTGTATTTCTGACTGTTTGTTTAAGATATTCTGGAAAAAATGTGGTTTCCGATTTTTATTACTTTTTGAAACCCTTCAAACTAATTTTCAGTTATGAAGGGGCTGCAAATTATCTATGGTGAAAAATTACTAAGACAAAAGTGATTTATGATCAAATGATTCTTTTCTCTAGAAGGCGATCAAAATGTAAGAATTAACCGCCTGCAATATGAAATATTGCAAATATATTTTAAAATAAATTAATATTTTAGCGAAATTCTTAGCTTATATCGCTTATACCAGTGTAGGAATAAAAGCAATTCAACGAAACAAATTTATTATTTAAAAATTTGACTAAAGGAAAATAAGTATGGAACATTGCAGAATTCATATAAAATAAATTCATATAATATTATAAATTTACTGGATAACATTTTGTGGAATGCTGATTCATTTAATGAAAAAATTCAGGTGTGTTGGCAATGTACAATCTAGCTGCATTTTTGCCAGAACTTTCTGGTAAAAATTAAATTAAAGCAACGAAGCGGACTTTACCAGAATTGGTAAATCTTATCCTATTTTTTTTAATGAATTTATTTTCATTTTATTTTTATTTTTATTTTTTTAATGAATTAAAATAGCGAAATAATTGCAAAAACGCAAATTCAGAACTGGAACAATGACAAGGGAACGAAAATTGAGCTAAGAAGTTATATGAAAAGTGTAAGTGAAAAATTAATCTAGTTCTAATTAAAAAGTTAAAAATTATCGCTAATATTAACTAAATTCTTCAACCCAAACAAATAACTCACCTTTTAAGGCAAAAAGTGTAATAGTAGTAACAATAAATACAATGAGAAGAATTGCTAATATAACAACTGTGCCCGTTAATATCCGCTTGGACCTGAAATTAAAAATTAAATAACTTTGAGATCATTATTGCTATCTTCAATTATATTTTCATTCGTAAAAGATAAATTTGTTTCATGCAAAAAAATTTTCTAGTTCAAACTATTATAGGTAACTCTATTGTAGGATGTTGGAAAAACAAATTTTTAAACATTTTAAACAATTTTCGAGAAGGATGGTCGATGTGTTACTTTAACTAAAATCAAGCCATCATAAGTTCAATCCTTCCTTGACAGGAATAGACCTATCATTGAAAGTGAGTTATTTGCACTATTTGTACTTCTACTTTCAAAAGACTTTATGGCTAAATGATTTTGTTCTAATAGCAAGTTGAGTCACCCAAATTATGAATTCGATGAACGTTGGAAGAAAGGGTACATGTGGGTAAAACTTTTAAAAGGCGATGACAAAGAAATATATTTTGCTAATTTTTACACGTGAAGTCAAAAATTAATAAATCCGTCAGAGAAGACATAGAGGAAACAAGGGTTCAAATACTGCTCAAAGATTTTGCCAAACTCTAGTGTTTATTTCGTTCAATATCACTGATTAGCCTTATACGATCAAAATGATAAAATGACTCCCTCATATGAATGTATTTTAGTCCGAGTTTCTTAAGCTCTCTTGGATCTCTTTAGCGAAATTTGTGGATCACTTCTCCGAATATTTTTGATTGCATAAAACAAACTATACAAGGAAGAAGTAATGTAATATGAAAATATCTTTAAAAAAAATGGTGATTTCTGTTGATGTTAAATTCATAGGTACTGCTGCATATGTACTGCATATAGATGCATTTACTATGATTTGTTCACTATAATTAATTATGACTGACGGATATGCTATATTTTAGGAAATACAAATATAAATTTTTATCATCAAAGCTCACGAATTTCCAGTGAGATTCCCTTGATTCAAATTATTTAACTCGATCTAAACTATTTAACGCAATTATCTGCCTCGAGTACACATATCAAAAGGGTCGTAAAATGATAATCAATGTGGGTAATCAGCGATATTACTCCATAACATAATAAAATATTAGAAGCGATAGTTAGAAAAAACGATTGGATCAGACCAGCTCGCTCCGTAAAAAGTGATTGGAGTAGTATTTGTTCCGTTCTTGTAGCAGCTTCTCTGATTCCACCCAGATCGAGCCATAAATTCAGCTCCAGTGCCTGGTTCAAATACAGTTGGGCAAGTGTATACCGACGTCTTTGATAAGCGAGGTTCTGTAATCTCGCAAAGTGAAAATTTATTTATATATATATATATATATATATATATTAATTTCTATTATCAATTAAAAAATTTATTAATAACAATAATTATCGAAAAACCTTATCCAGCAAAAAGCAACATTAAGAAATATAGAGCTCATATGTAAATACCTGACAATAAAGAAATATTAAGGGTAATCTTTCTGTCAATTTTAGGATTGGACAGCATTTGGGATATCATGATTTTAATACGGCTTAAAACCTATGGCTTCTCAATCTTTTGAAGTCAAAATCGCTTGAGTTACCGTCATTACAAGAAAAATTTGTTATAAATGATATTGGTATAAATACATTAGATGCTTTAAAATGGATATAACGCCGATCTACAGTGGTTCAATTTATAAGGAAAAACTTAGAATCTCTGCATAAAAATATTCTTTTGACGTTAAAAAGCCAGAGAATAAGCCAGAGAAAATGCAAGCACCTCGATCATATTCCGATTCACGTCGCCTCTGGAATCTTCCTGGGAATCCAAACGACATATTCAGAGGAATTCAGTATTACCGAATCATAATAAAACGATGAAACGTAGAAAACAATCGATACAAAGCGATAACTGTAAGCAATCTCAGTGTGTACGATTCGGCAGCTGTGTTATGAATTGTTGATCCCATTTCTGATTTAATTTCCCCCACAAAACTGTTTGTTTGTCTACATAAACATAACGAATATCATGACTTCGCTTCCATTATAGTAAAAAATCACGCTTGAAATATTCGACAGTGCCATTTACAATTCAAAAGTCATAATGAGGATAACCACGTAATGTTTCATCAATCACTGATAATTGTAACAGAAATAGTCGTCAATAGTACAAAAACTTAATCATGAACAGAACATTAACTGCAGAAATAATGTTTTAGCGTGAGGTAGGTGGACCAGTGATATATAGGCTTAGACGATGGAAAAAGGAATGGCTTCTATAAAAGAAATTATTGATAGCGATATAAGACAAAAAGAAGGGTGACCAATGTAACAATGAAAAGAAAAAAAAATAATATAAAGTGGAACTACAGAATTACGCAATAAGACTGAAAACTGACATATAATCGCATGCTGAAAAATTAAGATCTCAAACTTTTTCCATAATGTGAAGATTTTACAAAATAGCTAAGGATGACGCTTGAATTACCCATTCGGCTTATTCCAGTAATTAATGGGACGAATGGTGTAAAAAAGTGCGTCCTTAGTTTAGTTTTATTAATAATTTATTAATTAATTAATTTGTTAATAATTATTAATAATTTTTAATAATTTTAGCCCACTAGATCTTGTTGGGCTGAAATTTAACCGAATATTTTGAATAATCTAATTTGATATAACCATGTAGAATTTTGTAAGTATAAATTAAATCTTGTTACGGTGAAATGAGAATGAATCAGATTATATAGTTGTGTTTTACAATTAAAACTGCTATTAGGAAAGACGTACAAAGTATTTCTGAAGTCCTTCAATTAATTTACGTGATTTCCTTAAAGGAATAACAGGTTGCATTATACTTAAGAGGCCGAACGAACGATTTGTATATTTTGATATGGTTATCCGATCTAATATGAAAATTAATTTTATATAGTTATCAGCATAAAGATGAATGCTAGAATTTAATTTAATATAATTTTGGTGATAGTTTTATTAATATATAATAAAAAAGTAATGGTGCGATACAACCACCTTGAGGGACGCCTGATTTACCTGAAGCCAGGTTGGAAAGAGGCAATCATACGTACATTATACAATGGTACGTACAGCTTGATACTGGCCCTGGCTTTTTAAGTATTTTAATATCCTATAATATGATAATTATACAAGTCGCCTGTAATGTACTATAATATAGAGCTATAATTATTAATGGTAACCAACAACGTACTGTGGGAAAATGCTTTGGTTAAATCTAGATAGATAACTGATACTATTTTTCCATTATCAAATGATATTAACCAGATTTTTTCGAACGAAAACCATGCTGATAGGATATTAAATTATTGGCACCAAGATCGTTAAGTAACTTGTCGTAAACCAGTGCTCTCCAGTATCAACGTATGTTAGCCTAAAAGGCTTACAGTTGGAAGGATCCATTTCAAGTGTTTCCGTTTTTATAAATGGGAATTATATGGGACAGTTTCCAAATTCTTGTATTTAGACCATACCTCCTAATATCTTTATGGATTAAAAACAGCAGAAGATTTAGGAAGACTGACCATTTTTATAAAATATCTGTGAAATATTATCTGGACTAGCTGCAATGGATAATTTGAATTTATTTAAGGCGATAATACAGTTATATCAAAAGGAACTGCAACAACTTCGGTTCAACTTGACCATTTCAAAACAAGAATAATATCATAAAATTGGAAGGATCCATTTGTGGATTATCTAAACAAAAAATTTAGAAGTTAACAATTTAAACGCAAAAATCTTAAAATAAGAATGGCAAAATCCCTGTAATTGACTTAAAGTATTCCAAATTTGGAGTGATTTGATAGGTACGGATAAAACAAGCTCTTCCTTTCTTAAAAATTGATTCCCATATATTCATCTTTCCATTTTGCTATGCTAGTAGGCTGAAAAGGTAAATTATAAAAGTACTTTTAATAAAAATTCAAATGTGAAATTTGCTCGCCGTATATTTAAATGTTGGCTAACATCGACAAGCCTTTCTATGGCCTCTACAGAGGTTTCTAAAGCTATATTCAAAATGTGCAGGAAAATGAATTAAACCATGTTAATATTACATAACACAAGTTCCTCCACACTGATTAAAAAAATATTGCTCCAATTGCTGGATGCGGAAGAATCGTTACTGCTTTAATTTTCCTTAAATAATGGAATAATTTTACTCTAAATTCGACAATATGTGCCGACAGTCCACGAGAAATAGTAATAATTACTATATTATTGTTGTTATTATTATTATTGTTGTATTATTATTTATCATAATTGTTATTTTTCCAAGATTTTTTGTTTTTTACTTTAATGTTCCTTCAATTTTGTTTATAAAGGTCTATCGCTTAATTTTTGCTAATGATTCTTTTTATCCCAATTAAAGCCTATTTCCATTTGTTTAAAAGACCGGACCTCTGGAATCAATTAGAATCTGTATTTGCTTGAAAATACAGATCTATGGAATAAATTAACTGTTGGAAGATGCTTTCAAGATCCTCCGGTTTTCGAAAATGTTTTTCTTTGAGGGATTTACCAAAAGAGCGAAAGAAATGAAAGCTTATCTTCAAAAGGTCTGGGGAATATGGTGGAAGAAGAAGTATCTCCGATATTCAATCGTGCAAATTTTTGCAGTTATTCTTGCAACGTGCTCTCAGCGGTCTATTTTACTGACCATTCGTCTTCTGGAGGAAACTCTCACTGATCTGCTGAAGGTTAAACGCTAGACCAAGCCTGCACAATTGAAGTGGAAAACAACACTACGAGGGCTGCAAATGGTAAACCTTGATTTAAAAAATGAGAAATTATCAAATTAAAAAATTAAAAATGTCATATATTAAACAACAAAACCAAATAAAAATTCAATAGTACGTCCTCCAGGTAGCATTAAAAGCAAGAGAGATCAATATTCCTAAACATCTTGCAAATTCATTTAAAAAAACAACTTTGCGTTCCTTATGTTATGACCCTAGTTACAAATTCGTGCAATTTTCCACTTTCTCGTCCATCTCGCAAGCTTGAAAACTATTTATTATTCTATTTTTTTCAAGCAATGAAAGACATTTTAATGCTTTCCCATTAAAAAAACCATAAGGAACAAACCCATACCACGCTAATGAAAGTAAAATGAAATGGCTGAATGATTTTGTTCAAAACATCTAAAAAAAATCGTGTTTTATTACAAAACTGAAAAATGTGAAAAATAAGAATGCGTTTAAACCACTTATACAAGGTGAAATATACAAGAGATCACATTGGAAACCCAGAAAAAATAAATAAAAATAGTAAAACTAAAATTAACAATATTACAAATATTGGTAAACCTCGACTTCAGTGAGTATTGAGTAAAAAGTGAACATTAGATTTTCATTAATTTTTAATTTTTTCCGAACTCGAGAGTCGATCTTCATTTGAAAAATAAAATTGTTTCTTAGCAAAACGCTCTTCAATCGATTCAACCTGAAAAGTATGAAAGAATGAAATGCTTCATATTAAAATTTATTTCGTTTTTTCATTCCTAAAATTTGCCTATTTCTATCAGCAAAATAAAAAAAAGACTACTCTGGAGAAGAATTAACTGATATTATATGAAAAAAATTGAAATGGGAATGGAATTCAGTAAATATAGAATCGATCAAAAATTAAATAATTTAAAAAAATCATTTCAGTCACTAACAATCAATGCTTTAAATGTTTAAATCATCAATAAATCGAAGATAGGGGCATAGGTCAAAAATAAAACCTTATCGACGACAGCCAATACGCCCGAAATTTTGAATATGTTTTCTCGTGGTTCGTAAACACTTGTTTCATCAAAAACCTTTAAATTCTTGTTATACCATAAAAAAAAAGAAATGCTGGAAACAAAGCTCCGTCCTTTTTCTCTAATTTTTTAGGAATTAATTTTGTCTTAAAACATGACAAAGAACACTAACAGCAAAAGTTGCTGCTTGCTGTCGCCCAACGTTTTCGAGATTTTCAATGCGTGCATCCTTCCACTTTGTCGGTTCATTCGTATTTTCTACGAGTTGAATATGAGCCAGGCTATCACCGAAATCTTGTGGAACCAATAAGTTCTTATCACAGCAAAATTCGTTATCCTAAATAAAATTTTTGTTTTCAGTGGAAAAGCTCAAATAGATAGTCGCGAAATGCGATGTTTTTTCCAAGATTATTATTATGATTCTTTGCTTATTCCATTTTCATATGTCAATAAAAGATTAAGGTCAAATTACATTCTTATGTATTCTTCTTCTTTTTTTATTGAGCCATTAAGGGATCCAAGCAATTGGGTTCCAATATTTCAATATTTTACACTTTTGTTATTTAATATCTTTTATATTATTTAATTATTTCTTATTAATTGAGATAGTTGTCTTTTTAGTCTATGTGTTTAATTTGTATCGAATATTGTTTTTTTCTTATCAGTATATTGCTGAGGTAATTAATTACTGAGGTAATTACTTAAATTTGAGGTGAAGAATAAATAAATACATGTGGTGAACAATACTTTACTGTCCAGATCCAAGTTTTTAAAAATATTAACACGTGGCAAACAACATTCCACTGCCTTTAATTATTAGCCATTTTTTACACACATATTACGAATAAAATCAATAATACGATGATTTTTATATCGAAGTTCAATCATAGCAAACCTCAAACACATAAAATTTATTGCTATTTTCAGTTGAAGTCGTTATATTCTTTCCGTTTGACAATCCACTTGCAACTTTTGAAGAAAGTCGTAACGGTGGAGCAGTAGCATTTGGACCTATTCCTGTAACATGCTATCTATTTCTTAGTCAATTTTTCCAAAATAAAGGCGGTGATTATTAATATTGTACCGGATATTCCTCCTAACGCGATTCTACGCGGTTCATATTCATCCAGATGATCAACGGTGTGGTTTACCAAACTTGCTTGGATTTGACGCATTTCTAGAGCATCCGAAGCATCATTCAATAGTGATAAAGGTTCAGCAAAACAATCACGACCACGTTGAAGAATATTTCTCGCACCATCTATATCGCCCACAATTTCACGAAACTGAAAAAAAAAAAATGTAAACGAATAGATTGAAAAACCATAAGCTTTAGTGAAATAATCTCTATACCTCAGCCCACCGAACATAAAATGCAGATAATCGTCGAAAGCACCCAGCAATGAAAGCACGTTCCAAAAAGGCATCTGGACTTGTGGTCGTACTATTATCCGCTAGCTTAAACCACAATTTCATCATACGCTCATCATTGGTATATTTTTTCATGTATCCGAATTTGTTTATCATCGTAGTCAAAATCCGATTTAAATGTGATGTTTTTCCTGAATTAGCTAACAGAAAATAGAAAAAAAACGCATTGGAAACGAATATTATGTCAAATTAATTTCAAAGTACAAGCAGTTTTTTAGATCATCATTTCCTGGAAATTAAATGTTTATGACCCAACACTTTCTTTTTCCCAAAAAGAAAATGAGTTTTATTTTTCAACTCGATCAGTTAGTCCTTCAATTTGCGAAAATTTATGATTTCAAAAAATTTAATCGGAATGAACCTGACGGATACTGTTCATCGAACCAAGAAACATACTTCAAACATATATCTACTGGGTCGTCGGACGCTTCCGCTAATTTTAAGTCGCTTTCAAATTTCAAATGAGCTTCAGCAATCGGCAACATATTACCTAATAACAGGATTTAAAACTTTCTTCATTCAGAATCAATAACCATCTGTAATATCCAAATAATATCTATAAACCATAACCAGATGCCACTTTATTCGCTTGTGTGGATTGAAAATGACATTCCGATAGCCGAACTTTTTTAAGGTAGAATGAAAATGAAAACTGTTGGACTTTTAGACTGACAAGAAATCATTAAGCTTACCACTAAAGACATGATTAATTGCATGAACATTACGACCACCACGAAGCGGCTTAATATTTTCTCGATTCAGCTCCCAATAATGTTCCTTATCGACCATTTTCACTGATAAAATTGATCTAATATCTCACGAAAAACTATATAATAAGATTAGTATTTATTTAAATCGAAGATTTAATGGCTAAATTGCAGAATCACGATTCTGGCAGATATTCAAAGCAATAATAATAAGAAAAAAGTAATGGAATATAAAAATTGTTAAATAACAACTAATAATGGAAACGATCAGAATTTACAAATATTTAATAAACACAAAAATTAAAAATTTCTTGGAGAAAAAAATAACATTTTCACTTTATCATGATCATGATTTACTTTATCATGACAGCAATAAAATGGATAAAAACCTTAAAAATTAACCAATATCAATTCAGTGAGCAAAATTCAATTTTTTTCCACAAAATGCTATATGAATAAGTAATTGAATGTTTCAAAAAAATTAATTTACAATTTATTTTCCCATATTTCGAACAATTTCCCCTATTTCTACTCGTTTCTGTGAAACTAAGCAAAATTATGTGCAGGCAAGAGAAGTTAATTATAACCTCACATATTTTTATCTTCACGACTTCATATACCTCACTGCCACCATTCATTTCTAAATGAAATTGTAAATACCAAAAATATTGATGAAACAAAGCCATTTGTGTTTGTCGAATTCTCTTTATTCTATACAACGAAATGATTTGTATTATCTATTCTAACTCACTGAAGTTTTTTTTCTTCTGCATCATTTTGTAGAAATATATGCGTAAAGTCTACAGTCCTCAAGAATCACTCATTAATAAGCAGTAGAATTTCTAAAAAATACTCCATTTCATGAAAATAGCGAGGTAAATTTACCTAGTCTCAATCAACATTATAGAAATATTGCGTTATACCCACATAATTTTTCATAGCTACTTATAAATGCGTATATTTACCAATAAATGGAAATCGTAGAAACACAAGCCAATTAAGAAAACGAAAGTCGGCATAATCATTTGACGGTTGGCAATATTCTATAATATAAACGAAAAAAACGATAGATTTCAAGAAAATTCAGATACAAAAATTTAAATAAATACCTTGCAAGAAAAATTGTCCTATCATAATTACAAAAATATGGCAAGCATTCTGAATGGAATAATAAGCATTGGAAAATACTGAAGGTTCTAAGACTCACATTGGTTAATTTGTATTTAAATTAAATTGGAACAAAAAATAAATTTTCATATAATGATAAATAGAAGTATAATTAATTGTGGTGAAAAGAAAACATATCTACTTCTACTTCTACTAGTACATTCTAATATATTTGTGATGTTTCAGCAGCGATTTTCATTCAAATGCAATTCCATCAACCACATGCAATTAAGAAAAGAAATATTAGTATTAAAATTAATATTATATGACTATATTGTATGACTAATTACTAGAAATATTACTGAGAAAAAAAAATAAACTATCGCAAATTATTAGTATAAAAGAACACAACAAAAGGAGTGAATTTTTTTTTAATAAATCAAATCACTGATAAATGGTACGGCAATGAGGCAGAACAAAAGAGATCATAGGATCAATTTAGGATCATATGATGATAAGAAAACAAAATAGTGGAATACCCGGAAGAACGAAAGGACAAGAAAACAAAAGAGATCGCAAAAGTGGATTTAAGTAGACGGGATTTCTCACAATGAGCTTTATAAACAATAGGAAAGCATTCATTAATTTTTTTTTTCTTCTAACAACTATCATCATTACTGGTTAGCCTGGCTCCACTGGCTACAAGGGTTTCTAAGCTACTCCATCTGATACCATCGCTGACAACAATAAAAGTCATTCTTTTTTTTATCGTCTATGTCCATCGATCCATCAACATGTTCAAGATCTTTCCTAATCATCCAGGTTATGCTGGCCCTCCACGCTTTTGACGCCACTCATCATAAGGTTTAGCAAATAAAGAAATATGCACCAAGTTCTGTGGTAGGCGATGAAGAATGAGCCCTAACCAGCGAAGATGACGATCTGGGATAGTAACGTTAATGCAAGCGGTATTTATGCGAAGATGGATGCCATAATGTGAGATTTTATCTGCTCAGCGCACTCGTTAGTTAAAAAAAGATGATATCCTTAATATCCTTCACTCTCATTGACCATGTCTCGCAGCCATATAGCAAGATCGAGTGAAGTACAGCTATATAGATGTGGACTTTTGCCTTCATAATGATTACATGATGACTCCATAAAGGTGAATCCGAGATATTTAAAGTCCGGCACTTCCTCAACTAGTAATGAATTGATAAAAAAAAGGTATTTTATCAGCTTCTTGTACATAAGACGAAAGACTTTTGCTTTCGTTTTGTGAGTTCGATTCTCACTTACTGCAGTTGTCGATACATTGTTTAGCATTAGTTGCATTTCGCAATTGTCAGTAAAACGGATTACATCATGAGCGTATTCAAGATCTGTGATACTATGCTCTGAAGGCTCTGAAGTGATTTACACACCTCTTGAGTACCGACAAGTTATGTCCATTATCCAGTCTATAGCGTTATTGAATACTGCATGAGAAAGGATGCAGCCTTGGCGAACACCAGTTCTCTTATTGCGAAATCAGTCTGTTGGTTCCCCATATATATAGATTTATGACTCGAATGACCTTCTGTGGAACACCGTCACCTTCCATTTATCTTCAAAGCGCCGTTCTATCAATTGAATCGAAGACAGCTGCAAAGTCGATGAAACAAGTAACAGTGGGCTGCCGATATTTGAAGCGATATTCCAGTATCCTTCTTAAAGTGAATATATTGCCAGCATCCCGATCTGAATTTACCTTAGTTAAAGCGCAGTCTGCTATCTCGTACTGCCATAAGTCAATTCAGCAGACGAAAGCAAAAATTTTCCCAGATACATTTGGTAGGCTAATTTCTCCACAATGGTCACAGAATGTCCTGTCACGTTTCTTGAGAATTAGAAGCAGAATTGTAGCCATCTGGAATTATTTCTTTCTTTCATACCAGAGAATACATTTGTTAAAGGTGTGTTATGAAGGAGATGGACGTTTGAAGAGTTCAGCCCGAAGACCATCTTGTCCAAGGAAGCAGATGGCGCATCGTGCTTAATTCTGGCCTCAAAGAATTCCTTCTATTTTATAAGGCGATCCTTAATATTCTTAACGGGCACACCATTGCTATCCCTTACCATTTCTTTGGTCGTTCTCGAGTTATAGTTGCTTTATGAAGAAGGCGGAATAGTTTCCAACCATCACCTATCCGAGACGCCATCTCCACTCTCAAGGCCACATCCAATAGTGTTGTCCCCTCGTGCTGCTGACGTTGCAATTCCTCGAATCATCCGATAGTCCGAATCTTCTGACATTCGTGTTTTGGCAGCATTTTCAGACACTTGAATGGTTGCTTCCAATACCCAACTAACGCACTTCTTACTGGTATGCCCTAGCGTGGAAGTGCGTGACAAATGATTCGGTATTATATAAAAAATAAATTAAAATTAAAGTTGATAAAGAAAGAAAGAACATTTCTGATGAGTAATAAACTTGCAATATATAATCAAACATTATTTCAATTTAGTGGCACTGCTACAAACTAGCAAAATGCAGGAAAAATTCTTACCATTAGCAGTGATAATAACTGATAACGAAAATAACGACAATAATTATTAATGACAACAATAACCACAACAAAAAAATAAATGAGCACAAAAATATTAATGCCAATTCATAATTAAATTTCCCGGTGAAATAGCATTTTAAATTCTTGCAAAGAATGGTTATAGGCATATATTCTGGTTGTGCCACATTGCAAACTTTTGGCTCCGCCCCTTGTGCTGATTCGCAATCTTGGAATGTAAGTAAAAAGGGAGAAATAGACGGTAATTTGCTGAGTGGCTTCCATTCTAAGTGATTGCAATCTAAAGACCTTATTCATCTAGTTAGCATAGCCAGTCATTTTTTTTAAAGGGTACTCACCAGTACTGATTCTTTGAAAATGCTGCATTGCATTTCATCTGGATACCTATAAATAGTCATTTTCTTGCGTCCGTACGATTTCTTCGGACTGTTTCACTTGAACTTACTGCAAATGCTCTCTTCTAGAGTTGTATCATTGTAAGTATATCGACCTTACTTTACAACAGGCTATACCACTTAATCACTTTTGCTAATGAGTTATGCATTTAGCATTACATTATTTCATTATTTTATTCATTTTATTAATATCATTGCAACTCTTATTTGGTCACACAGCCTGTAAGCATTTTTACCATAGATGAATTTTTTGAACATTCTTATAGTAGATGAAATTGCAGCCTGGCAAATTTACCATGTCACTAATAAAGTCTTGAAGTCTTGTACTGCCTACCAGTCCGGCACGTAGGCCATCTCAGGATATTTATTGTAATATTAAAATCATGTAAAATATTTTTAATAAATCTTCTTCTAACAACTCTCACCATTACTGGTTAGGCTGGCTCCAACGGTTACAACGGTAAGACTTCCAAGCGGCGCGGTCTGATACTATTGTCGACAATAATAGAAGCCATTCGTTTTTCCATCGTCTAAGTCCATATATTGCTGGTCCACCTATACGTTCAAAACCTTTCCTGACCGTATCAAGTCTTGATTGGCCTCCCTCGTTTTTGACGCCAACTGTCACACGGTTTAGGAAATAACGAAATATGCGTCAACTCCTGTGGTGGATCACGGAGAATGTGTCCTAACCAGCGAAGGCGGCGCTCTATGATAACATTATTTATGCAAGTGGTATTTGAACGAAGATGGATGCGATCTTGTGATATCTTATCCTCTCGACGGATCCGTAATATACCTTAGGCAAGAGTGGTCAAAGGCAGATAACTTCTAAAATCATGCACTCTCATTGGCCATGTCTCAGAACCATACAGTAAGATCGAACGGATCATGGCAATATAGATGCGGACTTTCGTTTTTATGGTGACTCCATAAAGGTTTCGTCAACCGGAAGAACGCTTTTCTAGCTGCCGTGATCCGAGTTGTAATATCATCTTTTGCCTGTCCATTCGGTATTAAAGTGGACCCAAGGTATTTGAAATCCGGCACTTCCTCAACCGGCAATGAATTTACAAAAAGAGGCATTTTATCAGCTTCTTGCACATATGGCGAAAAGTCTTTCGTTTTATTTACATTGATCCTGAGTCCAATTCTCCCTGCAGTTTCTGACATTATTTAGTATTATTTGCATTTCGTTATAATTGTCAGCAAAAAGGACTACATCATCAGCGTATTCAAGATCTGTGATACGATGCTCTGGACTAATTCGGACACCTCTTGAGTGCCGACAAGCAGTGTCCATTATCCAGTCTATTGCATAGTTGAATATTGTGGGGGGAAGGACGCATCCCTGATACCTGTTTTTATTTCGAAGGAATCTGTCAGCTTCCCATATACCTGCGACGACGTGAGCTCATAAAATGCCTTTATGAGTCTAATGATTTTCTCTGGAAAACCGTCACGTTCCATCACCCTCCAAAGCGCCGCTCTATCAATTGAATCAAAGGCAGCCGCAAAGTCGATGAAACACGTGACAGTGGGTTGCAATGTTCCAACACCTTTCTTAGCGTGAATATCTGGTCAGCACAACCGCACTGCTGTTCTGAATCCAGCTTGATTAAGGCGCATCTTGTTGTCCAGTAGTGCCATAAGTTTACTGAGTAAAAAGGAAGCAAAAATTTTCGCTGAGACGTCTATTAGGCTGATTCTTCGATAATTATCGCAGTATGTCCCATCATCTTTCCTGAGAATTGGGAGCAGAATTGCTTTGCTCCAGTCACCTGGTAATATTTCTTTTTTCCATACTAGAGGGAAGGTGCGTTATGAAGGACGATGGACAACATTTGAAAAGCTCAGTCCGAAGACCATCTTCTCCTGGAGTTTTGTTGGCCTTAAGCTTATGGATAATTGAAATTATTTCTTCTTCTGTTGGAGGCTCGCAATTGCAAGCGTATGCTTCGGCAAACGTATCATCTATATCAGGGACAACAGATGGCGCTTCATGGTTAATTTGGCCTCAAAGAATTGTTTCCATCTTATGAGGCGATCTTTAATACTTTTGATTAGTACGCCATTGCTGTCTCTTACCATTTCAATGATCGTTCCCCGAGTCATAGTTGCTTTATGAAGAAGGCAGAATAGTTTCCTATAGTCGCCTAATCGAGCCGCCGCTTCCATTCTTGAGACCATGTCACTCCAATAGTCCAATAGTGATTTCTGTACTGCTGCTTCCGTCTTGCAAATCTTCGAAGCACCCGGTAGTCAAGATCACCTGCTTTGGCAGCTTTTTCAAACAATTGGACAGTTGCTTCCGATACCCAACTAGCGCACTTTCCACTAGTATGCCCTAGCGTGGAAGTGGCTGATTTTCGGAGACATTCCTTTAGTTTGGACCAGTATTGATTTGCCGTTCCAGAAAAATCATTGATAATTGTATCATTGAGATGCTTTTAATTCAATGTTTGAAATGCGCTCACTGTCCTCGAATTTTTTAGTTTGAAATAGTTGAAGGAACTTGGGGGATGCTGTTTTCTGCGAGTTGTCAATTTTATGCGGATCTTGCCTCGAACCATAACATGGTCAGATCCATGAAGATTGCTCGTTTCAGCTCAGCGATAGGAACGACTATCTAGTACGGAACTCTTCCAACGGCGACTGACTAAGATATAATCAATCTGGTTGAAGTATTGGTTGTCCGAGAAGTTCCACGTAACTAGATGTTTTCTATGATGCCGGATATTAGTAACAAAAAGTTCATAGTTTATGCTCTTCGGCATAACGAAGACGATGTTCCCCATTGGCACAACGGTCCCCGATGCCATATTTGCCAATTGTTGAGGTCATCGCGGCTGTATTATGACTTACGTGAGCATTCCAGTTTTCCCTGATTATGATCATGTCATGTTTCGGTAGAGACTTTGTTAGCAGTTGAAGTTCCGCACAGAACTTGTCTTTATCACGGTCATCTGCCGACAGCGTTGGAGCATAGACACTGACCGAGATATTGCAGAACTTACCCTTAAAACGGGCATAGGCCATATGGTCGTTTACCGGTTTCCACTCAATCAAAGCAGAATAGGCCTTGTCAGACATAACAATCGCTAGGCCATTTCGTCCCGAGTTATTCGAAGCATCACGGTGATATAGCCAGTATCTCTGCTCTGAACCAGGATTAATAATTGCTCGAGATCCAAAGTGAGGAAGGCAGACCTCCGATAAGTAAACGATATCCACACTGTACTTAGACAGAGTGTGGACAGTGATCGCTTGGCTTGTAATGTCCATAAATGTTCTGACGTTCCACGCTGATACGGCTAATACCTCGCCGCGCATGCAGAGGGCTGTTCCCCTTGATAGGTTTCAATTACCCTGGCTTGAAAGCACATTTTATTTACCAGCCTTGGGATCGCTTTAAGCTCGGATTGTAAACTTATCGCATATACCACCGGGCTCGAAGTATCATGCGCGTCGGGAGACGCAGACACCGTATCAAGTGTATCTGACCCTTTCACCATAGAGTCACTTGGGGATAGAGTTGCAGGTGGGTCCCCAGCAGCCAACCGGATTTTTGGCATGATAGCAGGTTTACTCCTGCCAAAGACAAAAAAAAAATTTGATAAATTAAATTAAATTTTATATATATTTTATATTAATTCTTTATTTTTTAAATTTTAGAAAAAAAAACTTAGCTCGGTTTGAAAAACTTTCAGGAGTTTCGAAAAAAAAATTAACAGTAAAAGCAATTAGAAATAATCGATTGACATGGGGCAGAGCAGCAGATGACAAGACCCGCTCATAATCCAATTATGATTATCTTTCAATAAAGTCTATGAAAGTTTTTTAATTAGATGCCATAGAATTCGAGTTTTTTTACAATTCTATTAAGCAAAGCCGGTTATTTTTAGAATATATTCATACACCGTAGATTAGAAAACATCATAATTTTCGGAAATGTATGAATAATTTGTAATTATAGAAGTGCCGGATCAAAAAGATAGGCTGGATCCTAAAAAGCTGCTGCTGTTGAAAAAAGCTATTCGATCTATCAGAAGGCGCTTGTCACGAGGTACTAGTTATCTGCAGTTCCATGGCTTTGCAATCGCCGTAGCAGAAGAGGGTGTTGGAAAAAACCGAAAGAATTTATTATAAAAAAACACTCTTTTAACAAAGGATTCTTCACAATAATGACTTACTCAATAATCAAGGAATACAAAATTCATATCTATTGCTACAATTTATAAAAAAAATAATTTTACGAATTTTAGATACAGCTGTGAAAGAGATGAAAAAAAAATTGAAAAATAATAATAATTTCTACATAATTTTTTATGTGATTTGCTGTGATTTATGTGATGTGAGTAATTTTTTTATGTGATGTGATAATATTGTAAGCTCAACACAAATATGGGAAAAAAAAGCTCATAGAATCAATTCGAACGATGAGCTGGAACTTTTACAAATTTTTCCGTTCAAAGCGATATTTTTCTTCTTCCTTAACTCTACTCGTTTTCTTGACCCAATTATTATACTACATATTGTTGCTATAATTCAACTGTAAATAAAATTTTTCCCTTTCGACTTGAGGCAACTTTCACGACAGAGGGCAAAAATCGATATTCGATTAAAATGGCCTTGAATATGGAGGCAGCAGTTGAGAGTAGGCAATTATGGCATTCGCCTATTTTACAAGGGACTCGAAAAATGGTCAGTGAAATGATTCAAGTTAAGAATGGAAATCCCATTAACACCATCAAAGACCATTTCATCCGATGGTTGTATTTTGAATCTAAAATTAACCATTACGGACCATCCAATATCATGTATATAATGCATTTGAAGCAGTAAGATTGCAACTGTAAATTACCAACCGAGCATCAGATAATTTCTGTAATAAAATTTTTGAAAAGATGGTCCGCGAGATGAGATCTTCAAACAGCACATTTGCACATTCGATGGTGTAAAAAAAGGATCAAATGATATAACTGGGACAAGGCAGTTTTGCTACTAATTCTCAAGAAAAATGGTAGAAAGCACTATGACAGCTGTCAAGGAGTCAGATATTGTTAGGTATTCCTAAGAAGATTTGGACGACAGAGCGTGTGATTCATGCAACAAAACGGTGTAATCAGAGAAAATAATTAGGCTTATCATGTTATAGGCGTCATATGTGTATGGGGAAGCGACGCAGCCTTTTGAACTACTTGCTTGCTCGCTTGCGTCAAAGTTGAGTTTTTTTCTCTATAGTTTTCAAATATATGATAGACTGGGTTATGGGTACCACTTGACAGGACTTGAATGCACTGATGATGTTTAAAAACTGATTAATAGTTACGAGAAACAGGCACTGAGTGTTGACAGCAACAGCTTGGATTCTCTGGGTGATTCCAGTCCTCGACAATATTATTGTATGGGTTGTTATGATAAAGCTTGCAAAGAAACGCTTGCGGATCCATTATTTTTTATTAATCTTTCTGTAAGAAAGCAAGAGGGAAATGAGCCTCTGTTTTAGGGAAAAGCTCAGATGATCATTAGTGCCAATCGGCATTCTTTGGGGGAAAGTTTTTTGCTTGTAAGAAATTTACCTAATGTTATTCAAAATTTTCAGCAGTCTCAGTATTAGGATTTTCAATCGTCTAATCCCCTCAACTGAACAATTTCTCAAGGTAATTGAAATACTCTGTCTCAGTACTTAGGCATCTTAAAAAGTATATTTTATCCCATAAAAACTGAATAAATGCGAAGTCTAAGCACATTTGCGTCCACGTGGCGGGCATCCATTATTATATCTGGTTATTTGAGGTTTTTAAAACAGCTGGATGAAATACAGTTTGATTTACTAATTGGTGTTTATTATGATGCTTCGTATAGTGAGCCCATATGTTGATAATAAATAGGAATACCAAAAATTAATTTGAGAGTGGCAAGTACGTCAAAAAAAACCACAATAAATAGAACCCGTAATTTAGCAAGTCATGATCTTAATAAAGCAAAGTTGCATATATATAGCTGTTTTTAAGTTGAATACAAATTTGCGATGGTCTTGAAAAACCATAAAACCTTTCTAATATCAGAACAATACATGCAAAAAATAATATTTAATGCATGCAAAAAACCACTAACTGGTAAGAAAGTGGTTATGATTCCCTTCGTGAATTTCAGAAAATTCGAGCGCAAACGACATTTTAGATAATTGTAAACTGCCTCATATGATATTTAAATCCTGCTTTTCATAAAAATTTGATCAAATGGGCTTCAATATAATTTTTGAAGAAAATTTGCAACTGGTTGATTTCAAAATAGTTGATTTATGCGAAAGTAAGAAGAAAGCTCTTTATTATAAATATTCCGATACAATTAAAAGCTTATTAAATGATGCCTTAATTAAAGGAAAGCGTATACTTCCTTGATTTCCTGAAATGTCACTGGAATTTGAATTTTAATGTATAAAAATTAATGAGGAAAAGATTGATTAAATTTTTAGGTATTTTTCTGGAATTTTTCATCATTAGACAAATTAATTATGCAGCAACAGAATATATATAAATGCATCAATAGCGTGAATATAGCAATAACGGCAGAAATTATTTATCAAAATAATAACGAGTGAAATGATTATTTATTAAAATGATAACAAAAGTACGTGTAGTTTAGTTTGGTTTAGTAGAATTTCAATGATTATTACATAGTAGACAGAATAGAATTTATTACCTTATATTACTTTCTAAACTTTGGTTATGTTAAGTGCATTTATATTAAATTCTAAGCTTTAGTTATGATAGGTAGAATTTGTATTATTTTCTAAGCTTTAGTTTTCATAAGATTCTTTGTATTTAGCACTAAAAATATCTCAAAATTTAAAAATTATTGAAGTAATAAATGATGAAAAAGTACTGTTGAATAAGCATGAATTTCAAAAAATTTAAATTAATTAAAATTAAAGGATTTATTTGAAAAGCAAATTACAAAAAAGCAAAAAAAAATTTAAGGAAGAACTTTCGTTAAACAAAATAGTTTCGTTCCTTATTGCAAATCAAATTAAGAAAAGACTAATTGATAAAAAAGATATGATTTTAGATAAGATAAACTCAGCTATCGGTTGGTTTCATTAATAATTAGAGGCAAGATCGTACGTTGTACATTGAAAAGAAAATTTTAAGTTTACTAAAAAAGAACTTTATTTGCTGAATAGATGCAATAAAAATTTATGATAATTCCTCAGTAGGTTATTTTCAAAACAAAGAAAACCATGCAAATCAACTCTCATACATGGATTTCGTCCACTGATTTATTTCCGCATCAATATTTTTCGATTCCTAAAATGCTGAAATGAAAAATCTTAATCGAATTAACCATACTGAATTAGTGGAATAAAAATATTGGCAAATAAGCGTCATAAAAAAGTGAGAAAAAAGGAAATTTGTGGTGGTTTACGCTTTAGAAATGTTAATGTCGATGTGCACGTACTGCGCCTTTTGCTATTAAAAGAATTACGATGGCATAAACAAGGATACGAAAAAATTAAATCAAAATAAATTCCGGCGAAGTTTTTATCTTCAAAACAATCATTTTCGATCAAAGAAAATATGAAAATATCAAAACACACATGTTATTATATAAAAAGATAAAATCAAGGCGATAGAGAAATTAGGATTTCGATAACAACCAATTGACAGATCAAGCATAGATGCAGCTGGAAATTTATGAGCTTGTGCCAAGCCTATTCCTTCCGTATTGTTTTCAACTTCTCTTGCCTTCTTATCCGCGTCTTCTTGACCACTTTCTCGTAGCTCCTTTTTTTTCACTTTTTCTTCGCTAACTGAAAATTCTTTTATCTATGCATGACCGATTTATTACTTTAGAAAAACAATAAAAAAATAATAAGCTATTTTTTATGTCAGTTTATTACTGTTTATTTATTTATTTATAAACAGATGATCGATAAGGCTAAAATCTTTCGAATTTCCACTATTTTCAACTAATCTTTTTCTTAAGTATAGAAATTTTCAATAATAAAAAACAAAAAATAAAATAAAATAATTAAACAAAAATTAAATAAAATGAAGACATGGATGAAACTGTAGAAGGTACCAGAATAAACTCGGCATTAAAAATCCTGTTGCACTCGCGATCCTCTTGCACCTCTTTCACCAAGTAACTCCTTGGCAAAAGTTCCAAACCGTACTAACAACAAGCTTGACCAGAAATGCTGACCATTTATTGTATATTTAGTGCAGAATTTTAAAAAAGATGAAAATAAATCACGCATCAGTACAGTACCAGAGGGATCATTTTGTTGTGCAGATTTTATATCAGTTTTTTGCTTGGATTTCATTTCTTTTGCTTTGGCTTTCTTCAACTGCTCGATCCATTCAGCCTTGCCACTCGATAATAATTGCACGTTTTTGCCATAAACTGGTGCTTTCGTTTCGCCAACAGCTGGAAAATTTCCTATCGAACAAACTTTAACTTTATCTGATTCTCTGTAATATATCTTCAAAACTATTTTGAAAATTAAATAGCTTTAAAACTTCAACTATTTGCATGGTTTGTGACGATGTTTTCATATTATCGGTTTATTTTAAGTGAATCGAGAAATATTTAAAAAATCAAGCTGGCTAACCAATATCACATAGTTTACCACCGAATTTTTGGCGACATTCACAGAAGAACTTTGAATTACTGTTTGTTGTTCTGCATATTCCGTTATTTAAGCATGGATTCACATCGCATGGTTCCAAAACAAGATTAACTTCAGCCAACAAACTTTATTGTCGTAAAAAAACCGATTTTTTACAGTAAAATATAGAAAGGCAAATAAATTAATGCTTTTACACATTATAAGCTTATCCCAATGATTGGTTAGAATGGATATTTCTATGATCAGAATAGGAATATTAATGATTTCCCAGCATCATCCACATTTAATATCAGATTCATCCTCGTCAAAGTATAGAAGTGTCGAACCCCAAATACTTATCGATAATGTTAAAGAACGACATTAAAGAAACTTTGGGCAATGTCAGTATGATTCGAGGATATTCGATAAATTATGAAACATTCTGCACTGAACAAATAAAACAATTTTTGAAAATAGAGATTGAGTGATTTAGCAGTACTTGATTCGCAAATCGTGCCACCAAATCCCACCGCACAAAAACATTCGAATTTACCATCTTTTAAAATGCAAGTGCCTCCATTCATACAAGGATTTTGAGAACACTGATCAAATTTTGACTCAACTTTAAAACCTAAAAAGAAAAAATTCTCATTATCTATGAATTTTAGAAAAAAGTAATTCGATCGTAGCAAAATATACGAGCTTTATCGTTTAAAAGCCTCATCTTATTTTTCCTCATAACAAATGGAGAAAACTCACTTTTTACTTCGGTAAGATCGATGGTTTTCGTACAGTTATAACCCATAAATCCTTGCGCACACTTACAATAATAAGACATATTTGAAAAAATGCAGGTACCTCCATTTTTGCAAGGATTTTCAATTTCACAAATATTGATAAAGGGAGCTAAAAAATTTTTATGGAAAAGAAAATGAAAAATGCTAAAATACGAATAATTATTTGCGAGATTCTCCAAAACGTTCAGTAGGATACTTAAATGAAGCTCATCGACTGTTAATGAAATGATAGCCAATAATTTTAAAAACTTAAGTTGATTAACTTGAAAATTCCATAAAATCAATTTGGATGAGAGACCTGTTTCGCGAGACAATGAAGAAAATTAAAGTAAAACATTTGCTTTTTTTCTTTCCTTACCTACTTGTTGATATTTGTACTCAAAAGCATGAGTACTTGTTGAAAACTCTTCCAGTTTTTGTAAATTCTTATGCTTGTCTCTGTGGTGCCAAGGTCCATGTGCTGCAATATAATATTATAAAAAGCGATCCAAGAGGAAAACTTGGATAGTGGATAGTTGATAATAGGAAACTATATCTTCATAAAGCAACTATAACTGGGGAAAGGGTCAGTGAAATGATGAAATCGCACATGATTGTATCCATCTTCGCTCAAATACCACCTGTATAAATAATGTTATCACAGAACGTTGGGTATAAACTTGAAGAGATCTGTAGAATGTTTTATATTTTTTCTTCACTTAATTAACTCTATCAAAATTCGATTTTCCACTTACCAGCTTTATTCTTTGGAGTCATACATAATTCTTTGCATGTGCCGTGATTCGGGAAGATATTTTGGCTTGTTCCTGTACATCCATCGAACCAAAAAGGAAAGCATTTCTAAATAAAAAGGTATTTGGAATTCTTGGATAGAAATTACTGAAGATAGGAATAAATCGCTTTATTTATGATCCGCTTAGCTTCATCGAAATCGAAATGGTTATACTTTAGAATGACCCTGAATATACTTAATTTATTTTTAAATTATTTCCAAATTCCAAAAACATTTGTCATGCCATCGAAAAATCAAGGAAAATGGAACCCAGTGCATTGAAAAGATTTCAAAATGATAATTTTAGTTTCACTAAAATTTAAAATTTTGTCAACTAATAGTTGCTATAGTACAAAAAATCTTAAATTTAGGTTTAAATTTACGTTTTTTGATTTGTCGAAATAAAAGTATTGTTTCCACCGACCTCCACTGCATTCATCTCTATAATGCTCATCAAAATCTTCAAGACATGCCTCTATAAGATTCAAAAGTTGTTTTTATACAAAATTAACAGCTGTAAATAGTAGAAATAAAATTTGGTAGAGTTACCATTCTTCTTTTCTGCCTCTAATAGCCTTACCGTTTCTAGTTTTTTCGCTGGCTGCATAGACAGCTAGGATCATATCATTTCGCTAAAGAATCACTTGAGGTTTAATAGATAAGAATCGAAATATGGTGCTAAGATTTTAATCAAAATTACATGACACTCGAATATCTTATTACGGATAATATAAAATAAACTTTGAAAATTCACCCCTTTTCCATTGATCCTTTTTCTTACTAGAAATATTTGAAATCCACGAATCAAAATAACTGAAATTTGTAGCCAAATTATGTCGGCTTTGCATTTTGGCTGGGACCTTTGACAGTGTTTTGCACAAGCTGTTGGAAACCAACAATGACATGGGCGTTGGTTGGAACATATTTAAATGGATTTCTAATACTTAAATTTGTTGCTCAATTCGGAGCGCAGATAGTTTTATTTCCTGTACGAGTAAACCTGCCCAAGTTTTCAAGTTCGTATTAATAATTGTTTATCTCTTTCATTTTATTAGATCGGGCAGTAGGATAGGTCTATTACCGTTCATTGTGTATATTAATGTTATTCTTAATGTTATTCGTAATGGAATCAGTTATTTTTATGTTGATGATTGCAAATTTTACTATTCATGTAGAAGATCGGGCGATTTATCTGTTTTGCAGCAATAACCAATAATTTAAATATAGCTAGTTTGCTTCGTGATAAGCAAACCGAATTACCGATTGAACAACGTGAACTTCTGCATAAGACTTAACGTCTAATGCTGCGAAATGTATCAGTGTATCTCGTTTTAAAAATAAATTGTTCTACATTATTCTAACATTATTTAACAATTATCATCGATCCATTACAGCTTAATATATTAAGTGGTTTTTTATTTTTATTTTCATCTGCATTATTGCAATGCTCTTTTTTTTATTATCTTTGTATTATCCATTATTGGTTATTGTTATTAACAGAAACACAGGACTATAGCTCTGTTTGATTTCAAATAAATAAACAACTTTACGAATAGAAATTTCATTTCCTTGCATAAATTTACCAATTTTTTATAAATAAGTTGGTGAAATGCTTACTAGAATTGTACAACGCTTGTTCTTTGCAGAGCCACTGGCAGGCGGAAAAGTCTTCAAATATATTCCTAGATTTCGAGGTGCAGCCGTCGTACCAAAATGATTTACAAGTCATTGAAGCGTGATCGAAGTAAAATCGATACTTCCAATCGCCTTAAGTGAAATTTTTATAAATTATATAGAATAAAATGAAATATATGGAATAAAAATTCTACTTTACAAGATAAGCAAAATGGAAAACTAAATCTTACTATCTCTAGTTCGTCAGATCTTACCAAACCATTTTATCGTATCTTTTACTTATTTATATACTAATTGCTAAATTTTATGTGAGTTTTAAAAGCATTTCACCTCAGTTATAAGTTAAAATAAAGTCATATAAATAATTTTTAGGTGAATTTATCACAGATAGTTTCGACGGTTTCTAACGATATAAATCTTACCGTTTTTGCACTGATTACGATAATTGTTATCAAATTTATCCCAGCAAATATCTGAAGAAAGAATTCTACTCGTTAAAATTGCGAGAAAATAGCATAAAAACATGTGGATAGAAATAGTCACATAGCAGTACACTAAGCCTTCAATCAATAGATCTTAAAAATTTTGAAATATTTTGGAATGATGGTTTTTCAACTTCGATCCATCCTTTGTCCATTTTTCTCTTATCCAACCACGCCCATGTACCTTTAAGCTAATTGGCAATATCAAGATAAAGTCAAGACAAAATCATGACTTAACTTTCCATTTACATGATAAATTTTGTTAAATTTTGATAAATTCTATCCTTGATAAATATGAAGGGCTCAAATCATTTGTCATAGTAAAAAGTACGCAAACACTGCTTTCCCATGAGATAATGATCAGAGCATTGATAAATGGCAATTAGAATCTTTTATGGACCGCAATCATATTTTTGGAAAAACCTCGCCTAATTGTTAAATCTCTTATATCTCCAAACCAATTCATTGCTTCAAATTCCTGGTGTTAAAAATCAAGCAAATATTCACAAAAATTTCTCTGATATAAATTTGTATATAATTATGTTTAAAAGTAAGTGGTTAGTGGTCCCATTCGTTTTGCTCAGATTCGTTCCACTGTATGTTAAATTTTTGCTAACCATTCTTAAGGGATAGAAATACAGGTGGGCTCCCGATATTTGTGTATATAAATATGTAGAGTTTGCGTATAATTACAAGTATTTAGCGCATAATCGCGCTTCAAAGTATTTATTAAATTTTTTTAGGATTAATTCGTGTAATCTGACATTATTGAATCAATTTTAAAATTAGCTTCCATTATTCGTTTCAAAATATTCCAACTGAATAAAATTAACTGAAATTGTGGATAAATGATGTAATTAAGTACAATAAGAATGAAATAATTTGAGATATTCAGAGAAATGACAAACAATAGAGCGCTATGGAGCTGTTTCAGTTTGTCTCGGTTTTCGCATATAGCATGCATATAATAAAAAGAATTTTATCTCCTTAACGCAATCAAACCTCATGCATTTTTACTGCTGCTCACAAATTCTGCACAAAATTGCAAAAAACATTATTATGGTCACTGAGATCGGTGGAAAATAAAGGAAATAAGTAGGTGCTGAGGAAAAAAAAATCACGAGAACTTGGGCACATTAAAAAAACATTTAATGAATAATGAAAATAATTGAAAAAAAATTTTAAAAAGTCAAATAGAAATTTTTTGGACTATGACTGACCAGATATGTCGAGCACACTGGTTATTTCACACATATTTTCACAAGTATCCAGTGAGGCAAATATATTTTCAGAATTACCCTCACATCCATCATACCAAAAAAGTTCACAGCGTCTCGTTTCATGGTTGAAGAAGTAATATTCTCGCCAGTTTTGCATTCCACATTGTTCTTTATAATTTCGATCAAATGAATTCAAGCAAGCAGCTAAAGATAAATTTATTCGAACCTTTTAAATCATTTCTTTGAATTTTTAATTTTTGTGCATAAATATCAGTATGAGTGTGAATCTGTTGAACAATTTATTCGTAAAATGAATTGGTCACTTTTACAAGTAAGGATAATTGTGGCAAATACTTGTTCGGTTTGTGCAACTGTATCCATTTCCAGCAAATCCAGGCACACACTCGCATATAAATGACCCATTAATATTGCGACATTTAGCATTTTTATCGCATCTACGTGGTATTGTTAAACATTCGTTAACGTCTGAAATTAACGGCTCAATAATTGCAAAAAATAGGTGAATAGTTGAATGAAAAGCAGAGAAATATTTCAAAAAAGATGGCGTCCAATAAATTATTGCATCAGTCAATCGCAAAATTCTATTTTAGATTCAATTATGTTGTGAGAATGAGTGGCAGCAATGGTTAAAGGTTACTTTCCCAGGAAAGAAACCCATGAAGAATCAATGAAAAATTTTAAACGGAAATAAATGAGAAGTTTTAAGAAAATGCATCGATCTATAGAAGATGATCACAGATTTGAAGATTTGAATCCTAGTTGAGGGATAATTCTACAGTGGACGAAGAATTCAGCTAATTTAATTTTTTAATAGTTCAATACTTGTCAGAAATAAATTATAATGCTATTTTTGGCATATATTCAAGTCAAAGTTCTCAAGAAAACTAAAAATCAGAAACCTGCACATTCGAATCCATCGCCTACATATCCTTCTTTACAAATGCATACACCATTAGTGCATGTTGCATGTGGACTACATTCATCGCAGTTGATCGATGAGCGGCCCAAAATAAAAAGTGAAAATAATTTCCGGTACGTAATAAAAAAGAAATAAGCGTTAAAATTATGCTTATTTATTTATTTATGAGAAGCGAGCAAGCACAAAGCCATTTGTTGAAGGTTAAAGTAAGTATAGGGAATAGAAACTTTAGAAGCTGAAAATAGGCGAAAAAGTGGGACAAAATAAATCATATATTTAAAAAAAAAAACAAATGTAAATGCTGTTAAGTCATCATAAATATTCAATTATTGCCACTGAGCACACTATTAAGTTTCTTATTTGACTAAAGAGGACGAAAAAAAAAATAATATTACTAAGTTGCTTGTTCCAGTAATTAATAGAGAAATTGTGGATTGACATTAGTTCCACAAACTGGTTTAAATTAATTCAACTCATTACCTCTCGTAAACAAAATCTTATAAGCAATGATCAGATATTGTTTGAATCTTCTATTTCTAAGCGAATCAAAATTTTAAAATTTTATAAAAGTTTTCAATTTTGCAAATTAACGAAGGATTCATCGGTGAATGAAATATTTCTGCAAATATTGGACTAATATATCGAAGTGAGGGGTAAATTATGTACATTCTATAAGTAATTGTAATTCCTAAATGCAAGAATGAACGAAACGACTATTTTATACATGTGATGAGAAAGACATTTAAACTATTTCTAAAAGTTCTAAACACCAGATTTAAAATTGTAAATCTAGAAGACTCTCTAACAACAGCACATTATTGTTCAAGTCAAGATTTCCCTCAAACAATACCTAACAACCATGATCTGAAAAATCGTTTTACTCAAATTAATGTAACGTAGCCAATAAAAATATGTGAAAGATCGAACGTTTAGCATTGATATGCAGAACTATATATTTTTCATTTCATAAATTGACTTAATTTGCCTTTTCCAAAGCTACTTAATTATATTATTTAGGTCATCACTGAAAAATATTCAGTTCTCCATTCTGCCATAAATAAATTGTCAGTATATTAAAAAATAGTATTTTACTAACGCCATTATTCTCCATCATCAATAGTAAAGAGCCAACTAACTATCTTGAGGCACGATTTTGATACGACCAGGTAATAGTTACTTAAATAATCTAATATCTAATTATAAAAACGACCAATGTAATGAAAAATTTATTAATTATTGGAAGTAACCTGTTATGCAAGATAGTGTCAAAGCTTTAACTAGATCTAAAAAATAGACTGTTGAAAGCACATGGCCACGATCAGTAGATAATGACCAATTGTAGAAAATGATTAGTCACAATTTCTAATCATTGTGAAGTAGTCGATTTTTTCCGTATTGAAGGATATTATTTGTTTGCTTCAAGGTTTGTATAAGGTATATGTATGAGTCTTTCTAATACCCTATAATGAATTTTAGTAATACCGATTGATTAATCAGTTATTTGAAGGATTATGCCTATCATCTTTTTTAAAAGCAGGATTTCATTTATGGCGTTACAAATGTTCACATATCTGAACGAACAGTTTACCTAAACCAACATATGTACACTTATGGCCATCGCCTCGATATCCTCCCATACATTCGCATGTAAATGAACCAATAGTATTCACACACCATGCATTACGATCGCATGAAGCAGTGTGCATGCGACATTCATCAATATCTATAAAGATTTTTGATAAAGATTTTGATAAAGATAAAGATTTTCAGATTTTGTGATATTCAAAAGTTAATGCTATTTTGAATCTAGCTCTATGAAGCCGAAATCTTGTTTAAATTTTATGTAAAAATTTATACAATAAATTTATATTTTATATATAAATTATTTATACAATAAATAGTAATAAATATGATTCACATAAGAATGCATCCAATAAAAAGTTATGCACCTAGTTTTTTTTTTTTTTTTTAGAGCACTCACTATTACTGGTTAGGCTTGTTCCGCTGGCTTGTTGCACTAGAAAAATATATCAGGGAGACAAATATCCCTTGGCGATAGGAGTGAGTCGCCGGTATTATCACCGGATCTACTCAGTTTACCAATCCGAGAAGTAAATAAGGTTTCAAGTCACCTCATACCTTATTTATTATTAATGAACAGTAAATATTAAAAAATACAAATTTATAGAATACGTTCAGTCATAAATTAGTCATTAGGCTTAACAGACAGTTGCTATTGTTTCGTTATTTCATATTTAAATATTTATACTTTTATACTTCCAAGCAACACTAACCATTACATTCACCATACAAATCTTTCTTGAAGCCGTCCCTGCATTCACATGAATAATTAAATTTGGAATGAGATTTACAATATGAAGTACGAAGGTCGCATCGTTCGCACGCTAAAATTCATAATTTTGCGAAAATTACGAAGTTATGTCTGTTATTGCAACGCTTATTGTAGTTTGTCTCGATTTTCGAATAGCACGCATACGATAAAAAGAATTTTGTCCCCTTAACGCATTGTCAGATTCCGTGCATTTTTGTCGCTGCTGACAAATTATGCATTAAATTGCAGGAAATAGTGTTATGGTGACTGAGACAAGTCGATATTAGATGTTTGATGCCATGAAATAGCATATTTTTAATCGCAAGAAAAAAGCAAACGAAGCGCATGGAAGAATAATTTCACCTAGTTGCGGCGCTAAGCGTTCTCCACAAATTTTTCTGCATTGATATAAACTATAAAATCTATTCGCATTTCCTCCGCAGCCGTAGTAAAAAAATTTTTCGCAACGACCATTTGCTGCATCAAAATAGTACCACCACTGTCCTCTCCGATCGTCGTCACAGTGGCCTTGGTCAAAATTTAGTAAGCACAGATCTGCAATGAAAGTCAGCTATATGGTTATAGAAAAAAGCTTTTCACTTATTAATGGTTATATATAAATTTGCACACTTTAACAGACATGAAATTTTTCTTCCCGTGATGCTCTGTTACTCAAAAAGAGCAAGGTATATATGAATGGTCAATGTCAATGCAGATTAATTTCTTGAGCACCAGCGGTTTGAATCCTGTCTCTACAGGAATAAGCGTGTCACTCGATGTTGGCGATTCATGCAATTCCTTTATCAGGTAACTCCCTAGTGGATCTCGTATAGTACTAACAGCCAGTGAAGTCAACTCAGCTAGAAATAGTGAGCGCTAACAGTTTATTTTACTTAGCCGAGTCGATAAAAATCGTCCATATGTGTTTATTCAACTCCATTTGAAATAATTCAGAAGAAAACTACGAAGAAGTTTCATTAAAAAAAGATGAGAATAAACTACCAGGAATAGCAAAGGGATTGTGCGTTTTGTATATGCACTGTTTAGTGCAAAGCTGCTTGGTGTCGAAACGGTTCCGGTTTCCTAGACAGCCACCATAATAAAACGTCTTGCATTCGCTGCTATTTTTCTCCCAATACCATTTTATCTGATGAAAAAAAATGAAATTCTTTTCAATTCCTTCCGCTGCAGCAAATTTTTGGCGAAAAAAAGAATTAATTCCTTTCATCAAATAATAGCCAACGGAAGTAACTGCACTAAAGAACTGCACTAAACACTGAAAACCTAGTTAAGATAGAATACAGTTGAATGGATAGAATGTGAAAATGGCCATTTTTACGTTGAAATTCTCGTCTTATGGCAAGCGTAAATTCGGCAAGCCATGTATGTGCACAAAACGATTTAAAAATGTTTTGATTAATCCATGAACAATGGACAAAATGGCATACAGCGACACATCTTCAGTTGAGGTTCGAAGGTCTAATAATATATCACATATCTGTCACTCACATTGAACTGAGTTTGTTCAATCTATGAAGGGAAAATAGTGTATTGCTTATTATTTTCAGCTAACCGTCGCCAGCATTTTTAGACCGATTTTTTATTGGAGCAAAAGCTATCTGTAAACATTCTTTTTAGTTCGATCTAACCCCTTCTGACATAAATTTAATGATTTATAGCAAGATCAGTAAAATTGAAGATAATGAGAGAAACCTGATAATATTGACATGGGCCAGGATCCATCGATTCCATACATTTATCTTCCTCTGAACATCTTTAACATTATGATAAGAATTTAATAAAAAGCTCAAATGGTTTTAAATTAAATGATTTTTGCAATTCCAGTAAAAAAATAGTGATTTCAACCTTAACGGCCACGTAATGGCTGAAAGATGGCCAACAAATTGCAATTGCAATTTAAAATATTGCTACTAATTGTTTCTTCAATACTTTGATGCATCCTCTTATTGCTGAGTATTTTCTTCTTTTGATAATAGGAAAACAAATTTTAACCTAAAATTTGTTTCAAATGAGGAAACAACTCAAATACCCCACCGAGAATCTCTACTTCACTCAATCAACTGCAATAAATATAAATCGAGAACCCTACTTTATAACTCTCAGCTTAAGTGAGGTAAGCGGAATCGGAATTGCAATGCAATGGAAGCTTTCACATTAAGCAGCTTTACCAAGAAAGTAATTAAAATATTATTTTATGATCCTTCGTTCTTCTAGCGTTTATGATATAATTTCGCACCACAAATGTGAGCAGATAGATAAGAGATTGTGATCTAGAGAAACAGATTAAGAGTCGAGTTTTATATCATTAATAAACTGCTGAAAATCATCCTGCAAGCAGGAAAAGAATTCTAAACTTGTGATTATTCACGAAAACCCAAGAGCTTTCCTCGCTCATTTTAGAAGCATTCTTTCATGTTTAGAAATTTCCACGCAACTTCGACTTTTCTCGGCGCGGCACCATCGTTTATTTGTTTCTTTGCCTGGTAAATTACTACAATATGTTGTAGTATTATTTTCTAAAATTGCTCAGTGAATCGGAGAAAATTGAGAAAATTATTGCAAATTGTGGGCCATTTATTAAAGACAATTCATGAAAAAGCGTGCCATAATAAAGTTCTCATTCCTGGGACATAAAACTGATATGCAAGGATTGATGAACTTAACTTCGCGAAAAATTATAGGAAACATAACCTGAAAATATTGGAAGAACGGTGAATTGAAGAAAGAATATAATGATAATCATCACTGCTACACTGATCGTATTCAAAGAAGACATTTATTTGGTATATGCTATGCATCAGTGATGAGTTTCACAGTTTTATTCATTCATATATTCACTTTTTCTGCATCTGATGGATATGCATTCAAGTAGTTTTAGTCACGAAAAGCCAAAAAAAATATTGACCATCAAATTCCCATATGAAGAATATTTTCGCTTCTTATTTGATCACTTTTTAAACCAGTGTGTTGTCATTTCTGAGTTCTGTTTATCTGGATTGAAGATCAAACAATGTTTTCTGTTTTCATTTCGATATTCCTGCTATTTTCTCATTTTTTTAACAAAAATGTTATAAAATTAGGACAAAGATGCCAATAACGTCGCTTCTCGTGGGTTATTTGTTCTACAGTGATATTTAGCTTTTGGCGAAGATATAGTACTGCGATAGATACTGCACAAGTTGAGAGAGGAGAAGGAAAGAGGATAAAAAGAGGAAAAGAGAGAGAGAATGGAAAGAGTATGCACGATTTTTGTCGACGTTGTCTCGTTGTTGATCAGTTAAAACTCAACGTTATCCGTTATAAAGTCAATTTTTAGATAGAGATTCTAAAAATCTTAAAACTAGCTATTTCCATATATTCAGAAACTGTCTAAGAAGGTGAATTTGGTTATGCCGTGGCACAACGTGGTTTTATCTGACCAAACCTTCGTATAGTTAGCACTGAAATCCAAAGAAAAAAGGATCGATGAATTTCAAATTCATATGCAAAACGTTAATATTTGTATATTTTTCTTAGTGCTTCATATAAATTCAGTAGATAGCCATCATCCAATTGATATTGTTTTTACGGGGAGAGAAGTTTAATTCACCCGGTGTTCATTATCAGGGAAATAGTAAAATTTTGTGAATTATAACAATACGATGAATGAATTGCACATTCCTATGCAACGACAACATTCACTTCTTATAAACACTCCAGCATGGTCAAAATAATTGCACATGAGTGAAGCCTTTCCAGGCTTCTCGGTTATACATAACAGAAACTTTTACCACTGCCCTATGTATCGATGGGCAATCGTTTGTGACCTCATCATTCCAAATCGCACCATGATCAATAATTTATATCACCAATAACATTTCTTTGTTTTTTTTTCAACTTTCCAACCTTTTCATTTTCCAATTTGATGAATTAGGAAAATTTGGAGTCCGTCAACAAATTATTACACTAATTGAAGCTTTGAACTTGCATCAACATATTTAGGTAGTACATTTGCCTTCATCAAAACTTATAACCTACAAAAATATTTGAATATTACAATTAAAATTAATATCCTGCAGTTACAAAATTGTATTCGGCTACAACCAGTTTCAAGAAAGGGCAATTTATTGTATACATTTTCTTTTCACAACTTTTGCGGTCTTATCCCTGTCATTCGACGATCAATCAACTTAGAGGTGGCAGATCTTATTACAAAAACTTTTCTATTCTTTGCGTATATATCTTTTATAAATCTTAATCTTTGTTCCAAAATCAGAAGTTTTAGTTCAGTTGCCTCAGAAAACTCTTCAACTCGCTAATTCGCTAGTCCTTTAATCCCAAGAAACTATACCATTAGGTCAAAGCATGTCAAAAGCAATGGGTTAAAGTTATTTATTTATAAAATCCTCGTGTTTTGCAAATTATGGCTCTCGTAATATTATGGCTAAAATTCTTTCCTCATTTGTCCAATGGCGAAATCTACTTGATTTTTTGCCAAAATATATCGATAAATCGTATTTCTTGCGAAAATCTGAAAGTACTTATTTCATTATTTCGTGATTGTCTTTTATATTTTATGAACCTTCCCACTTGAATCCTTCAATTGTTTTGGCACTGAGCATTCTTTTACTCCAAATTATAATTGCTCCAATATTTATCCAGTATATTGAGTCCAGTGCAGTTTTGCTATAGTTCTTATTTTTTTCACTCTTGTTTTTCAATTTAAATTTTTATTTGCTTTACATCTAAATCTAATGATAAATTTGATTTCATTATTTTAGTATTCTCATTTTCAACTTTTATTTACCTGATAATGGTGGAGGTATCATGTATTATAATTTCTTGAAGAAACTGCTTACAGTTCAATAGGTGTCAATAGGATGAGAAATTTTTACTAAGAGTAGTCCGTAAGGTGCTAGAGATGCTAGAGATAATCTGACAACTATCCTCATTAAATTAATTAATCTTGGTTTGCTTTATTAATTTTGAAATTTAAATAAAAATTTTCAAATTATATAATAAAACTATCTCGAAGAAATTTTTGAAAAGAATAAAAATTTTTGATAAATATTGGCTTGAAAAAAATAAAAATTTGCTAAAGAAGTCTGTGTGACAAGAATAAAATTTCCCTTAATATTAAATGAAGGTATATCGTTAAAACAGTGAAAATGAATGCTTTTTTAAATTTTTTATTATCCTTCCAGCTGTTATTGAATGCATAAAGTTTGAATGAGCCAATTAAGTAAAATTTAAAATATAACACATTCTATTTTTATTACCAGTTATTTAGGTCTTATCTAATATTCATTGTTTCAACTACTTATGATATGAAACCTGTAATATGCAACTTCTGTAGTTCTAAAATGATTAAGTCGACCTATTAAATCTGTCAATATAATTTCCTGAAGAAATACTTTTTGACTATCCAATATTTCACTGTCTGGATAAGTTCGCTAATTAATCGAGCATTAAAGAGAATTCGGCGAATTTAATTTGAAAAGAAAAAGCTTTTTCCTTTTTTATTGCCATAAGCTTAAGGGAAAAAATTTTGATTAACTGGATTGGCTAATTGACACATCCTTTGTTGCTCATTAATGATGTTGCTTATCTTAAATGAATTCATATTCGCGATAAAAGTTAGATGAAGCTCGTAAATGATAAAAGTTAAATAAATTCCCTGGTTCATAGTGCTATTTATGAAATAATGTAACTTTTTATGAAAAAATACATTAATAGAAAATAATAGAAAATGAAATAGCGATTCATTTATAAATATATAATGTACCTAAAAGAGCCAAATTGTTTGTAGAATTCACTTCAAATCAAATCATGTTCTCATGAATTTCTGATACTGCTGTATGACTGATTGCAATAGATCTTCATTGCTGAATACCAGTCATTTGAATTAACGGCGATCTGGCTTAGTGGCTTAATTCTTCATTCATAATCCTTTTTTTTTTAAATCGCGAACTGATAATTTAAATCCCTCTAGCACATAGAACTTGGCTAATCTAACTAAGAGCTTGTCAGGATTAGAATTATTTCTCAAATTTATCCTTTACTCGATTTCAAAATTTTTTTGGAGAATTTTCTTTCAAAAGCCTCCTTTTTGAATCCAGATTATTGCTGAGGGAAAAAAATAATAATATACTACATTTACTATTTCCAAATTTTTCGTGATATCTCGCAAATGCAAACAATTTAATTTTTTAAACATTTTAACATTCATTTTAAAATGCAATGCAACATTTACGATAAGACAAATCACTAACATCTGAATTTTTGGGGAGAACTGACCGGAGATATGGTTCCGCTTTTATTATAAAAATTCTATTTGATGACAAATTAGCTTTTCATTTCTTATTCTGAATAAAAAAACAAGTTAAACGAAGTTTTGTGCATACTTTAATTCCACTCGTTCAGATTGGTAAATTCTAATAGACTAAAAAGTTTATTTGTACTACTCGAAGATGACATAGGACGATGCAGAACTCTTTTTAGAGCGTAATTTACGATGGCAGCAGAAGTTCTTGAGCCCGCAGTTTATTCGGCTCAGTAAGTTGTTTACACCATATGGAACAAAATCGATCGAATCCTGTAGAACTAGTTTATGAAAAGTTTTATTACAAGTTTTATCGCTATTGATTGATTCCCTCTGATTAGTAACAGCAATAGTCGTTAGGCAAATCCAGAGATTATTATTATCACTGAAACCGAAACCAATTTACTAAGGACGAATTACGTTTAGAATGCTGAATTGCCTGAAAAAGACAA